AGTATATTCGAATGAATAACGCAACTTGAAATTAGTAATGCTCCCATGAATTCACTATGATCATAACTAAAGGGAATCAAAGTCATATCTATCAAGAAAAAACCATAAAACCATGAACCAGACAATCGCAGGCGCCGAGAAAATATCCACCTGGGCATATCAACACTTGAAGATAAGACAACCATGAAGATGCCGTCTTTCATAGAGAATCATTCCTGTAACGCCGCCGCTATGCGCCAACCACCTGAAATACATGTCGTGATTCATATCCCTCTACGGGAGTAACATCTACCTTTTCATCAACGGGTATCATATGGTGTTTTAGATCCCAGCCGGCCCGGCGGCAGAGTTCTGATACAACCACGTCGCAATCACCCAAAAGATCAATATCGAAACCAGTGTGCGACACAGGCTATATACGGAAAGTTTAGTTCAGCCCAGTTGAAGGGAAATGTCGTCGATAAAACTCACCGTGCGTGATATGTAGATCTGCGGGATATCGCGCGGCAAGATCCCCGGCACTTCTGCTACGGGGGCCACCTTCAGCGAAGTTCCAATGACAATTACTAGGTCAACTAGCTCCCTATCGTGATGGATAAGGCGACGACCAAACTCGTCAGGAAGATCTTCGCCGAAGAAAGTGATATCAGGCTGAAAAAGTAAGTAAGTCAACATGGGGAATTCTGAAATAAATATAGATCGACGAACCTTCATGACACCAGGATTCGGAATTTCATAGTCTTCCTCATCCGAGCTATCTTCAAATTCCTTCCGATCTTTCTGACACCCGTTGGAACTCCGCTTTCGCTTAAGCCCTTGCGGTTTCAGTGCGTCGGCTTCGATTATTTGTCGGCAAGCGCTGCACTCAGGAACATTTCCCGCCTTGATCTCGCCAAATATCGCATCACCCGAGACCTTGTGTTCGCATTTGACACAAGTCGCAGATGCAAAGGAACCGTGGCATTGCACAATATTCTCCGGCAGAACACCCGCATTGGCCTCAATGTTGTCGATATTCTGAGTATAGTTGGTCAACAACTTGCCCTTGTCCTGAAGCAGCTTGATGAACCCATGTGTCGGTGAATATTTCTTTTCGGTAGGGAGGATGTCCTTCGCGATGGAGAAAAAGATGCTCGGATCTTCCCGAAAGACGTGAATATCAAAGACTTCTTGCGGGTCGCTTAGACCAAGGTGCTCCAATTTGGAGTAAAGACCGGTATCCTTTGAACGGAAATCAGGAATTCCAAGACTCGTCGAGATCTAGTCGGCAGAAGAGACATCAGCTTCTTGTCCTAAGACAAGTGTTGGAGAAAGTGTACTTACGCCCGCGCCGGTCAACACGATAATGTTTTTCGACTCCCGCAGGAGGCGCACAGCATCGTCGATAGTGTTGTAATCGGGAAGCTTTCGTCGACGAGAGAACTCACGCGAGATGGCGATCGCGAGAAGAGGGTGAAAGGACTCATCGGGTGCGCCTTCGAGGAACGCCGGGGGGACAATGCCGAATGCAGTGCATAGCTTCTTCGCTGTCACGGTCTCACGCACGATGGTCTCTTCCACAAAGGCAGCCTTACCGATCGCGTGAAGCCGATTTCGAAAAGTGACGGCTTCTTCGAGAGTACAGGCACCAGGAACTATAGGAAAATGCGCATTGTGAGCTTGAGTTTAGGGTGGATTCCGATAGCGGGGATGTCCGGGGCAAGGGAAGAAGGGGATATCAGGGGCACGTACCAAGCCCATCGCGCAGCTGTTCGTCGCGCAGCATCTGGATTGTGTCATCGCCAGACATAGCATCCCAGCCATCTGAATCATCGCTGTCGGTTTCGTATACGGAGGATGCCTCCTCCAACGCGACCGACTCCGCGTTGACCGGCTCCGCGACGTCGACAGCCTCCACCTCGACCACAGGAACCTTCACCGGGGTCTCCCCGCTAGGCGCTGGTACGAGATCCATCCTGCAGGAGTTTAGGCAGCCTCAACGTCTCGTTCGCGCAGTGAGCGTCGACAAAAAATCGGCGTATGCAACCGGAGGCGAATTTATCCGGCGCCGAGGTAAGTGGCGAGGGACAACCGTGGATGGGCGAATGGGCGAATGGGCGGGATAGGCAGATTGTGGTGGATTGATAGATCGGTGAATGGGGGAAACTTGAACTTGAAAGAAGGACTTGGACCTAGGGAGATAAATGGTCTAATATATAGATGGACTACTATGTGTCTTTGAGAAGTGTCATCAATGGGCGACAAACGTAACAAAGACGGGCGGGAAGTAAGAGGGGTAAAAAAAAAGAGAACATGTACATAGTGTATAGATGTATAGTAAAATGTCGTGACTTTTGGGGTGATATTCTTTCAATCGGCCATTTCGTGGTCATCATCAGAGTTTGCCTCGATCTCACCGTCCCATTCGCCTTCACCTTCTGCCTCACTATCGTCATCCATATCTTCACCAATTTCCTGGTTCATTCCTTGGACCAGTTCCAGGGCATGATCACGGAGTCGCTCATCCTCATATTCTAATACTTCATAGAGTTTCAAGCTCTGCTTGAGCCATTCCCGACTGGCCACCAATGATGCTTGTCGCGGGGATTCTGAGGGGTCTTCCTCTGTCACATCCTTGGGCGCCTGCTGCTTCTCCGCCAGCAGATAGAGACACCAGCCTCCGAGGTACCATGCCTCCACACTCTGGTCATCCTCGAGAATCAATCGCTCAAGCACTTCAAGGGCCTCGAATTCCAAAGAGACTTCCATCAGAAGTCGTGCAAGACTGATGCGCACCGCAAAATCGGGAATAGTGAGGTCCTCTGGAGGTAGATCTTTCCAAATACCGATACTTTTCCGGAGCGCTGCTTGGGCATCCTCGGTTCGCAGCTGTGATATACGGATAGATGCGAGAGTCTGCAAGACTTCGGGGGCATCTGGCGTCACCGTAATAGCTTCTGTGATAAGGGCATCGCACCGGGCCTCTGCATCTTCTTCCCATCTAAAAAAGAGAGAAAATAAAATGTAAGCAACGAGAAAGCATAGGTCGAGACAGACGAAACTCACGAAAGATCGGTCATATAGATCTCAGCAACAGCACAGAGCGCATTCGACAGCTTGGTCTTCTTCTCTTGGGAGTTTTCAATATCTTCTTTGCTGGTTTTGCCTTCCAGAGACTGTAAGACTTGTCGCAGGGATGCGACGCCCTTTTCAAACCATTGAACACTCTCTGAACCGCCTTGCTCACTCAATTGAGCAAGCCACAGGAATTTCTCAGAACCTCCACCCTCAGACTCAGAAATAGAGCCATTGGGATCCAGCTCCACAGCGCGAGTGAAGCATTCCCTCGCAGTATCGATATCGCCCAGCTCAACGTTGATTTCTCCCAGCAGGTTCACTGCTGGTAGCTGTGCCGGCCCATTGTCGCCCGCTAGATCAAGCGCTTTCTGTGCAGTTGGCAAAGCCTCATCGGCACGACCTGTTTGCAGGAGGATCGTGGCTTGATCGAGTAATGTGGAGGGATCTTGGGCCATGCTGTGTTTCGAGACGGAGCCGCCGGGGCCGAGGACGGATTTTTGGGAGGATTTTGAGGACTTCTTCGATTTATTCTTCTGCGGTCTGGGTTTACCCATGGCAATTTATCCCAATAAATGTAAAAAAAGGTGTGTATGATCGTGGTCAATGTAAAGGTAGCGGAACGCGGGGGACCTTGAATTAAAAAAAAGTTGAAGCTCCAAAAATTGGGTGTTTGACTGGTTTGCATGTGGGACCGCAAGACCCAATCGATTGGGATTGAACATCGCCCGCACTGGGTTTGCGACGGTGATGCGATAACCTCAAAAGAAATATAATTCACCAGCTGTATCCCGTCACTTCTTCTTTGGGGATAACCAAGACCTTTTCCTCTGTCTCTGCCTCCGTTCCCTTCGTTCTCCCCCCACAGAACGCTCTATTTTTTCCGCTTGGCCAGCTCGTCCCGCCAGTACCCCTCCGATCCGCCGGCGGAACAGACACAATGGGCCGCGAAGACCAAACAGAGGAGCGCGAAGTCCTCGACTCAATCTTTCCTGAAGAGATCACAGGTGAGTGTGAAAAAGAACTCTAGCTAGGAAAATTGAACCAAAGAGACGTTATTGACCTGGAACCCCACCTGTCAGACATATCCGACATTTCCTACAGAGTATCGATAAGCCTTGAGGCTCCCTGGAGTGAAGATGAGGAACTGGAGCAGCCTGTGATCTGCTTGGAAGTTTCGTACCCGGAAGAATATCCCGATGTCGCGCCAGATCTCAGCATCTCTTCCCCACCCAACGCCCAGAAGCACCCACAACTGGATATTCAAGAAGACCGGGAGCGGCTTCTGGAGTCTCTCCAGCCTACGATCGAAGAAAATATGGGAATGGCAATGGTTTTCACTCTTGTGAGCGCACTGAAGGAAAATGCCGAGGACCTGATGACGGAGCGTGCGAATGCAGTCCAGGCCGAGAAGGACAAGGTAGCTGCGAAGGCTGAGGAGGAAGAGAACAAGAAGTTCCAGGGCACACCTGTCAACCGGGAGACTTTCTTAGAATGGCACGCAAAGTTCCTCAAGGAAACAGAGGAGGAGGAGCTGCGACAAAAAGAGGAGAAGGAAGCAGAGGACAAGAAGAAAAAGTCCAGCAAGGACGAGAAGAAGCTAACTGGTCGCGAATTGTGGGAGCGTGGATTGGCAGGCAAGGGCGATTATGAGGATGAAGGGGATGATGCTCTGCCAGCTGTTGAAAAGCTTAAGGTCACAGCATGAGTTGCTATACAGTTAGTCAGTCATATTTAGCCGGGTTGCCAGACCCCTATGAAAATACTACCTCTGGTTTGAATTCTTGCCAACACATATCTCCCTCTTATGGTTTTATTTTGATTGGTAACTTTCAGTATGGAAGGATATCGCATCAAAGCATGGGGTATCATTGTGTAAGTGAACGCGACTCAACATCGACTAAACCGTCTTTCTTTCAAGGGCCGAAGAGGCATTTGTACATGATTCAATCCCGACCTGCAAGAGAATCTCCCTTTGCACGCCTCTCTTTTTCTTCTTCCTCTGCCATAGCGCGCTCCTTGAGCACGACATTCCACATTTTTTGGGCCAGTTCTGCAGCGGCTTCATCCGATTCACGAATCTGGTCAAATACTTCAGTGAGACCTAGTTGGTAATGCCGTGCCCAAGTAGTCGGCTCCTGAGCACCCGTCATCCGGTCCCAACTATCCTCGTCCTTAGCGAAAAGAAGATCAATCGTCAATCTGTCTCGGCGCAGGATGCGCTTCCACCGTCTTTCCAATTTATGCCGTATGACACCGCTAAGATTTGTCGGTTGCGGCTTTTTGATGCGCAAGAAAGGCAGTCCCCGTGCGTTAACCAGGACTGGTATTTTGCGCACTCCTTTGATCGGGTGTGGACGGGATAAGATCGAGGATGTATTTGGATGACGCACTCGGGTCTTTTCCTCGAAACGCTTCGTTTCCATTTTCCGTAAATCTTTGGCAGACAGGGGTTTCGGTGCCTTCTCCTCCCTGAGTCGTTTTTGTTGAGCCACCAGTTCTACCTTCGCTTGTCTAGCTTGTTCAATAATGGCGCTGAGTTTGCTGGCATCTTGGCCGTTGCCATTGGAAGCAGATCCTAGCAGGTCGAGTGTCTGTTTCCAGTAACTTCATTAGTATCCTTGAAGTTCGACGATAGACGTGGCAGGAGGGGCTCGTGTACCTGATAGCCGGCTTTGAGGGAGTTTGCTATCTGAGAAGGACTATCTAGTCCTCTGTATTTGCGAAATTTTTGCTTGACGAGAATTCGTGTCTCGCCGCGCCACGGCGGGCTATCAGCCAAGGGAGAACATTGTCGCAGGAGAGCTCGATAGAGAGATAAACCTAAGTTCCCAAAAAAACAAGGGTCAACACCAAACCAGGGCCAAAACAAGAGACAATGACTTACAAGCAAAGCGATGTACCCCCGAGTACTTAGGAATTAACATACTGTGAAAGCTAGGAGTGCGGCGAGATGGCGGAAGTTCTCCGCAGGAAGGGAAAACACGGTACCACGTGATCTAGATCGTACATACCAGAATCGCGACTAGGTATACAATTTTGGAATGGATGCTCTAAATAAGTACTGGAATAGGTATGTATGAAAATTGGAGATACAATCGCTTTTTTCGGAATCGGGAATCAGTCTTTACAAGGGAACTATCAGAGTCGGCAAGTTGCAATTTAGCAAAATGTCGAAAGGCAATACGTCATCTCATAGGAACTTTATGAATAGAATAAATTGGGCTGCGAAAGGAAGCACGCCGATGCTATCATGCAGAGAGACTGTACACGCTCTAGGAGAATCATCAGAGGAAAGAGGAGAAGCAAAGAAACGTAAAAGAGGACGGTCGTAATGCTTTGGATTTCTGGACCCTATTGATGAGACGTGGGCGTTTAGAAAGTCGAGCCCTGGGGGGTTGCGGCAGCTTCTTATGCTGAGGCAACGCCATGTATCTATGAATGATGAGTTAGCTCTTGGCACATATTCTTAGAAAGGGGAAGTTTCACCTCCGGAGCTCGATCAGAACTGTCTCCATAGTAAATTCTCGCTTCCACTGAGCCAGGCAAGGAAGCTTAGTAGGGTCCACCTAATTATTTCAATCACTTTCAGTTATGATTCTTTGGAATTGTGGCGGATTTTCAAGTCCCTACCTTGCCAGAGTTCTGGTCGACGCAGGGAATGTTGACTTTCGAGGTGAACTGGATGGTAGGAGGGTTATCAGGATAGTCGGGACCGCAATGAATGTTGGCACTGTATATCCGGTTCTCATGGACGCTCTAATAGAAACCTCGAAGTAAGCATATATCCAATACTCAATACCCCAAGTCTGTGAGAAAGAGGAGACACGAACGTGAGGCGGTCCAAGAATAGTGCCGTTCCAGTTGCTCATCATCATATCTTCGCCATCAGCGAGACCATACGAGCATGCCTCTGCAATTGAGAGAAGAAAGCCATTGGTCAGTTACGTGGTCCAGTGTTATCAGGGTGTGACGGATCCTACCTGCACCCAGGCCCTTTTCGCCTTTCTCCAACTCTTCCAGTAGGCGGAAGTTCCGCGGAATCTTGGCAGCACACATGGTGAATGGTAGTAATCAAGAGATCAACAAAGATCCAGAAAGGACTCCGAAGTCAAGAAGCCGGGAAGAGGGCAGGAGGGGCAACCACCCACTTTCTGCCGCTCCTGCCTGTCCGACTGACCGCCTGGAACAGTCACGTGTGATATGGTCTTTATCGAATGTCTTGGCATTTGGACTGGAGATGCCACGCTGGGGGATTGTTGACTGCTCCGCAATTTCACTGCACAGGTCTCAACAATACTGAGTATCGTGTTATCTAACGTCCCATCTATATTGAGGACGACTCGACAAGCTCTGGGAGTCTCAATACGCGTTGATACGGGCCAAAACACCCCGATATTGCGGACACTGCGACCTCCGACCATCAGTATAACGGGCGTTGGCCATGCGTTGATGGGATCATTCTTCATTGGAAAATGTCCTCCCAATTTCTGCAGACCGAACTTGCCAACCTTATTCAAGAATCCAGGCGGAAAAATGCCGACTTGCGCAATGTTGGTCGACCCCTTGACCGTTATCTTTCCCCTGTGGCCACTAATACTCGACATAGGCAGCAGAGCAATCACTCAATGAGCTGAAGGCGCTACCATCAACTTCTGAAGCGCAAATATCAGCAGGTATGCATTAGCTCGCTGAAAGTTGGAAATTGAAAATGAGAATGACTGACATGTACTGTAGATCTGGTCCGCAAACCCACATTCGTGGAACCATTTATTATCGCATGCCATACTCGACATGCGAAACTTGCGGGTATCGGTGTAATTTGCCTTCAGAGGCTGATCGCTTCCAAATCTTTGCCATCTCATCGCCTGAAGGACGTTCTTGCTGGCCTAAAAGAGACCACCAGCCTGAGTATGTTCTGAAGCTTGGTAATGGATATTGTACCAAATACTAATGTTTTGCAGGTCTCGATATCCAGCTCAAGATCTTACAATCACTACCTTCGCTTTTGCAATACTATTCGAATGATCTTAGTGGAGAATTACTCGCGAGCACGTTGGAAATATGTGCGACTTTGCAAGCAAGCAAGACGATTGCAGTCAGTAGCACAGCGGCTGCTACCCTCCAGCAACTCGTTGTTTCTACATTTGAACGAGTGTCGAGCGAAGACAGTAGGCCATTTTGAAAATTCCCCCATTACAGAGCATAACTAATGCTTTCTGCAGGGCTTCCCGACGATGCCAAAACAACAACACATGTGAGCGTAGATGGCCAGTCTGTGGATGTGGCACAATTTGCATATGACGCTTTACTGGTACTATGAAAGATCTTTACCCTGAATATCTTCGGTGCTGACATTTATTCGCAGGTTCTGGATGATCTCTGCCGGATTATTGATGGTGAACAGTTGCAATTTCTACGCACCAAGACATTGTCCTCGGCATTCGTCCTGGAACTAATAGAAAGTATCATACTGAACAGTGGTCGGCTGTTTGTGAGCCACCCTGAGTTGTCACAGGTTCTTCGAGTGCGCCTCATGCCATTAACTGTACGATATTTGTCTGAACGTCATTCGTTTTCTGAAACAGTCCGAGTGGCTAGAATTCTTCTTGTTCTTCTGAAACGGCACATGTCTCTCCTACCCGCCGAGTGTGAAATGGCATTTGGTCTTCTCACTCATTTATTGGAACCGGATGGAACAGCGCCCTGGAAGCGAGTGCTATGCATGGAAGTGTTCCGAGGACTTTACTCCGAGCCTGGAGTTGTCCGGCAGATATACTCCCTTTACGATGGAGAAGAGGGCAGGAAGAACGTCCTGAGGGACCATATGGCTTCTCTTGTAAAGCTCGCTTCGGAAAAGCCTTCATTGATTGGAGTTAGCAATCAATCAACAATACCGCTACGACCAGATCACTCACGGTCTGCTACGGATGATCAAATCGCACTTGAGACTGGCGGAGTTACAGGCGTCATTGGATCATCAGTTCCTCAAACTGAGACCAAGGTACCAGGTATCAGCACTCAGTGGAGTCTTGTTAGGACGCCCTACATTGAGCTTCTCGACAAGTCAGATCCGCCATTCCCTCCAGAAACCTACATTTACAGCCTTGTCCTCAATTGCATTAGCAGCTTCGCCGAAGGACTCGCGAAATTCATTCTGCCGCTCACAGTTCCTGACCTGAAACAGAAGCGCAAAAATCGATTGGCAAACCAGGAACAAGGCCCCGATTCTGCTAGATCATCGCAAGACCTTCAAGCTCATGAATTGGGAAGAATCAAACCCTCATCCTCTTTGAAAAAGTCCACAGCCCCCATCAATCCTTTGGATCTGCAGTCCCACGTTCAGTACTCTGCAATCCGGACGTGCGCCGACATTGTTGAGAATTGCTGGCCTGCGGTTCTTGCGACATGCTCAACCTTTCTTCGAGCATCTTTGGATGATGAGTTCTATCACAACCTTGTACGAGCATTCCAAAAGCTGGCCCACGTGGCAGGTCTTTTGCGGTTGTCCGTTCCCCGCGATGCATTCCTTACGACACTAGGGAAGGCTGCCATGCCTGCAAGCACAGGAGGATCTAAAGCGCAAACCCTTGTCAATCCCAGTGCAAGTGCCTCTCAAAGCCCTGACACGTCCAAGAATAAACGCAAAAGCTCGGATATACCTCGAATCAATCCTTTGCCTTCTGACCCCTCCGCCGGCGCAGCAGCACAGAGTGTCCCGGTAGCTTTAAGCACAAGAAATCTTCTGTGCCTACGAGCTCTGTTAAACCTTGGAATTGCACTGGGGCCAACTTTAGATCAGCAGGCCTGGTCTATCCTTCTTGAAACACTGCAATATACTGGCTTGGTGATTGGTGCATCTAGTACAATGGTCAAATCGACGACTAGTGGAGAGACAACAGTCGTCTCTGGCAATGATGTTCCAACTGCAAATCTCGGAACCGAAGTAATTGCAGTGCAAGCAGCCTCAGCTAAGCTGTTTGAAAGCACCGGTGATTACCCTAGTGCTTCATTCCGAGAGATCCTACTCGCATTACTCAATCTCTCCACATTTACCGAACAAGAATCCCAAAAAGAATCTGCACAGGAAGTGTCGGAAACACCTAACTCGCCACAGTCGTCGCGACGCCCTGGGGCCCTTAATCAAAATGCCCGACGAGTGTCACACACTGTGGGCAAGTCGAGGATGCAAGACGAGGAGCTGAATTTTGTGCTGGAAAAAGGAAATGATCTGGCTAGATCGAACCTTGAGAGGCTTTCTTCGCTTGATGAAGAAGACAATATCGCGTGGCAGCTTCTGACCCAAAGTCTTATCTCTACGTCTACAAATGTCGCCGTCAACCCTAGCCTTCGTCTACAGGCCAGTGGAATATTGAATTCGTTAGTCTTCTTGACAATGAAACCAGGGGAAGTCGACGATGAGAAGGCACGAAACGAGGTACAGACCCGAAACCTTCAGACTCTCAAAGACCAGGTCTTCTCGCTATATTCGTCGGACACAGTATCGTCGAAGTCGCTTCCGATCACTGTGACAGAAATTCACGAACAATGCTTGGAAATCCTGCAAAATATACTCGAACAATATGCAGAGACATTCGTGGATGGTTGGAGTCTCATCTTTGACTTGATAACCGGCGTTTTCCAAGGGATAGCAAAGGTGGAGGGTGGAGATAAACTAATAACCCCAACCGAGCGTAGGGCATCAGGTCTTCCTGCTGGACCTCGTTTGGTTCGTGCCGCCTACAAGTCATTGCATCTTGTGGCTTCGGACTTTCTCTCTCTTCTGCCTGCCACATGTCTATTAAGTCTCGTCAATTCGTTGTCCAGCTTCGCCTCTCAAACACAAGACTTCAATATCTCCCTCACAACAACCTCATTTTTCTGGAACGTGTCCGATTTTCTCCAAGGGCAGATTGAGAAATTTTGTATCGAAAGCCATGTTGACGCTTCTGTTAGCGAAGAGGAGCTAGGCAAGCTTACTTGTGACAGTGACCCCTCTGTTTCAAGGAACTCGCTTTGGCTTTTGCTACTGCTCCGAATCGTTGACATCACAACAGACCCGAGATCCGAGATTCGAAACAGCGCTATACATACTCTACTCAGAATCTTTGACGCATACGGACAACAGCTTCCCCGAAGGCATGGCGCCTATGTCTGAACAGGGTTCTTTTCCTGATGGTCGAGGGTATCGAAACCAAACTACTTCAGCCCAAATCAAAGCAAGGCGGCGATACAGACGACCTCAAGTCCAAGGTTGCGACAACAGTTGTTATGATTAATGGCGTCTCGAATTTGATTACAAGCTTTTTCGATACCATCGTCAGTGATGAGGAGTTTGACCAGTCTTGGAAGCGACTTTTGAAATACCTACAAGCTCTGATTGATATGCGCATTCTGGAATTCAGCGATGCCACTTTTGTCAGCCTTTCATCTATTCTCGTTTGCGTACAACCCTCGACTGGTATCAGCAAGGAAGCACTTCGGTGTGCATGGGACCTTTGGGCCAATGGCCACCCTGCTGCAGACGAAGCCGCCCTTGACCTCGATAAGCCCAATCAAGACGCAGCGCTGGCCTACATTCAATCCTTTCAGCAGATCTACCGACTGTACAAAGACAGCCTGACCACAGAACAAATCGAGAAGGTTCTCCAGCATTTGCGTCTGCTGGTATGGAACTCTGTATCCCCGCCATACTCGCCAGATCTCGATCGCCCTTCTGCTGTCCAGGACTTGGTCATCAATTGCCTCAAAAAACTTTGCTCAGAGAAGGAAGAGTCGCAGGCAGCTATTTTGCTGAGTCTTGCCGACCTGTCTGACTCGGTATTGACAAAGTGGTCTCTTGGCGATGATTCACGAAAGCCGACGTTCGTGGCATTCTCGAAAAGTATCATCGATCTGGTTTGTTGGTATATCGCAGACTTCGGTATCAAGCAGGATATTTTCACAAACGGCGCCTTGGCAACATCACTTGAGCATCTCGGTGCGTTGATCACGCAAAAATACAGATGGCAGGGCAAGGACCGTGAGCCTTTCCTCTGGCAGAAAGCTGTTACAACCACATTGAACGTCCTTGAAGCCGCTGTCCCGTATATCGAAAAGCGTTATCCCGAAGCAAGCGAAAAAAACGTCGCCCATTTCTGGCAATGCATTGTGGACATCACCCATGGCATTGTCTCTGCTCGCGGTTTCCAGACCCAGCAGTTAGCAAATGCACGTATACTATCCGACGAGGCTTTCGACATCGCAGCATTCACCCGTCTGAAGACGTTGGTACTTCCTTCACTAGGAGCATCTGTCATCCCAGAGACCGTCCGTCGTGACTTCGCCTGCGCCCTCTTCCACTCCTCATTCATATACCCACCGCAGCGTTTCGATCTTCCCAGTTGTCCCATCGAGCAAGAACCTCTCAAGGACTTCTATAAGATTCGCGACGGTCGCACATTTGACCCGCCCCCAACGCTGCGTCCAAGGATAGCATATGTCCTCATGGATACATTTTTTGAGCTTGCGACGAGTGCCGTTTCTAAGGACGCCGCTGCTGCACCCAGCCCGCAAACCTTGCTAGCACGATCCATCTCCCCCTATCTTCTTCTTCGATGCGCCATCGCGATAAAGTGCTATATCGCCGATCAACCTCTCCGCGGCTTAATGCCACAACCGACCCCGGCACGCAGGGAATTGCTTCATTTACTCGTCCACGCGGTCCAACTTCGGAGCGAGCCCTCAGCCATTCCAGATCCCCCATCCATCAAGACGGTTACAGTGGCGGCGGGAAAGAATGACGATTCATCCCTTCATCATCGCAAGCATCTTGAATGGCTATATCCGCTGGTTGCCAAAGCCATCCAGGTTGCGGGCAAGGAACGTGATGATGGACAGGTGCTTGAAGCGCTTGGAAAGGTATTGCACGAGATTGGACGCTTTGAATAGAGGCGATCATGCCGAAAAGTCACCAGCGGGACAAAAAGAGACCCGGTTCTGCTAGAAGACACCCGGAGTTAACTGGCGATAATGCATAAATTCTTGATTTAATCACGGTCGGTTTTTCTGGGATAGACATTTGTCTTTGGACGATAAAATCTAAGATGTTTCCCAAGATTTTTATTTTAATTTTAAAAAACCGGTTTATTGATCTTATTGAAATGTGTAGACAGTAGAACGAAAACGGTGGGCTACAGAGTGATATCGTGACATGACCATGACAAAAAGAAAAGGATGGTACAGGCACATGGCGAGGGTAAACAGAGTTGAGGAAGAGGAAGTTTGCGGGTGCCTAAGATGAGTGATGTGGGTATAGATAGGAAGTGAGAGGGTTAGATCATCACTCGAAGAGCTAGCATTGCGATTATGCCGCAGGTGTCGAAACGGGCTGCTGGGCCTGTTCAGCTGGTTGAACTGGCTGAGCCGGCCGAATGGGCGTCACCTCACGACCTGGGCCTGCGGTAGCAGATCCTGGGGGCAGAGCCTGCTGCTGTTGCTGGAGGAGGACTTGCTGTTGGATTTGCTGCTGCTGGGCGATCTGGGGCGTCGCGGCAATCTCGGGCGCTTGGCGGAAGAGGGCAATCTCTGACTGCTTAAAGTAACGACGGGCATCTGCAATGAAGGAGATTCCATTTGTTAGTGACACTAGAACCGTTGAAATGCGAATACAGCGACTCATCGACTCAGCGACTCAGCGCCTTGGTGAATTGGTGGAGGCGTGGGATGCCAAGACCAGGCTAGCGTGGGGGTCGGCAGGCCACGGCACGGAAACTTGGATTTCGGCCGTGGGATATGCAAGCCGGGCCGACCAACTCGTACCAATTGCCGACGGGTTTTGATAAGATATCATTGGCACTTGCTTGCTCCACACCATCGTTGGGTGCATCATAGCTAACCGCTATGAATTGGGTGGGACCGATATAGAAACACAACAACGTACCTTCATCAATCAGCACCAGGCTGAGATAATATCGTGTCGAGTACTTCTTGTTGACATCGCGGAAGGTCGGTGTCAGGTCAAAGCCACCGAGGAACAGACGGATTGGAATGGTTTCGCCTGTGGCAAGTTAGCATATTGAAGGTTTCGGCGATGTCTTTTCCATGACAAAGCAACACGGTCGCAGTTGACAAGTCCGGTGGGAGGGGCTTTGTAAGAACTGACCTCGAGAAGGTGAGCCATCCATTATCTGGCCGCAATGTTAGCACTGTCCACACTGTCCACGCGAGCACACGCCAGCCTCAACTCGAGGGAGGGGCATGTTGATACTAAGACATACCTCGAATCGCACCAGTGTCTCGCTCTCATTGTACTGATTGGGAGGAGATCCGGTAGTTTCCCGTCGAATGATAGACAATTCCATATGTTTAATCTTCAGTCGTACGAGCAGGAAATAGATCCGACCCACAATCACGTCCTTAAGGTGATACTTGGATTTGGAGTACTCGAACTCAATATGCAGGCAGTCTTCAATTCCGACATCCATCTTGATAGGGCTGTTGGTCTCGGGTGGCATGCGGTACGAATACACCCAGAGGTCCTTTTCGCGGATGACGTCGGCCATGCGCCGCGAGACCGTCACGCGCACGAAATAGCGCAGTTTCACATTGATGCCATTATAGGATTCGTATTGCTTCTCGACGTTCTTGAAGTTGAATGGGAAGGTTTGAGGGTGGAGCAGCTCGCCGGGCGCGGCGAGTTCTTGGACAAGCGACAGGAATTCGTAGTGGTTGCCTCGATCGTAAAACATTTCTGTCGCCCCAGGCAGTTAGTGTCGTCCTCCCTTCCATGACTCGGGGCCAGTCGACGGAAATTACGCACCAATGGTTCCAATGAATTGCACTTTGATTCCTGTGTGCTCCAATCGCTTTCCATCCTTTGGCCGGATCGTCACCGCACCCTTGACGGACTCTCCGTCCATGTACAAGGGGACCCGCTCACGGCGGGCCTTATCGAGCTTGACATCGACAGTTTGGCGATCATCGAGGTTGTCCAGGACGACATCGATGTCGACAGGGGTGGAAAAGAATAGCGAAGCCATAATGTGCAGCAGCCGTAGTCAAAGATGGAGGTCAGGCAGCTTAGCTCGGGGATCCAGAACGTGGCCTCGCTGCTTAGTCATACCCCGCAAGGCAGCTATCAACCACACTCCCACTTGAACAGAACATTCAGATGATCCCAGAATTGATGTTGAATGGAGTGTGATATTCCAATATTTGAGATCTAGCTGGTTGGTTCATGATGAATTGCAGTAGGCACTCGGAAACTTCAAGTTCCAAGATTCCAATTACGGGCTGGGGAAGTACATTCCCGGATATATATCACCGAGCCTTTATGCTGTAGTACTATACTGCAGGGCTCGTAGGCACAGGGCAGTGCTTCCAAGGGTTGCTGCATGGTATTTTACAGACTTCGAGCCGTTGAGTTTCTTGTTCCCCGGCCTGATACAAAAAGAACTAGAACCTAAGCACCCTATCTACTCTGTCGGGTTTTGATTTCCGACATACGTTGTTCTTATAGGCCACGAGGAGCCCAGCCAGGATCTGAGCACTTTTGTGACCATTCATGATGAACCCCGCACTGTTTCCCCAGATTCGAAGGTTCAACCTGAAGTTTGTGATGTAACGTGGTTCGGTGAGAGGGGCTCCAAGTGATGTACTTTGGCGGAAACGCCCTCATGCGTGCTGTCTACCGAGTTGGAGCCCGAGTCGGTGTGACTTGACTGCAGATATCCCTGCTCACTATTGCAAGGACTTTTGGAACCCCCTCCTGCTTTTCAGCTGGAGCTCTGAGATGCCTCACTTTGGGCTGTTGTTGCCTTATTGAAGCCAGGGACATCAGCACACGTGGAGCGAGTCGGAACTTGTTTACACCGTATATGCATGGTATTTTAGTTTTTTGAAAGGATTTTGGGTGTGACCCATTGGACTCCAAACCAGGTCTTGCAGAAAGAGAGGTCAAGTGTCAGATACCCCATGGGATAGATCAAGTTTCCGGCGAACATTTCCCTAGAGGGAGATTTTCGAAATGGAGATCCAGTGGCGGTGACGGAGAGAGACAGACAGAGACGGGGAAAAATACCAAAAAGGATCAAGAAAAGATAGCGTGGGGGTTCCTTACGGTACGGACCTTGTATGGTGATGTCATCCGAAACCGGATGCTAAGTATACTCCCAGGAAAAGGACAGATACGGAGTATTCGGAGGGGATAAATGCCATTGAGAGAGTGATAGTAAAAATATGTATATAGACTGCACATATTCATGTCTTGAATCAAGTTAAATCCCTTCGTCATTGACGATCTCCCTACGACCTTGTGTATGTACCCGACAGATCGGAGACTCATCCCACTCTCCTCCACTCGGGTAATGACCAGTCCGCCAATAAGCATTCCCCCACTCGGCTTCTGCTTCTTTCTTTCTTCCCCCCCGACCCACCCTCATACTTTTAAAAGTGATTGCCTCTTGTCGCGCGACTCCTTTTTCTCGTTTTCGTTTCTTTCCTCTTTCTTCAATACTTTCTCTCTACTATACCCTGTACTTCTCCGTACTCTCTGTACTTCTTTCTATACTGCATAGACCACCGTCCTCAACCAACCTTCTCCCCTCGTGTATCACCGCGGTCTCATACCGTCATCCACTCAGCCCCGGCTAATTTCCTTGGAACTGCCCCCCAGACCAGTTCTCCTCTTCTTCTCTCCTCCTACTCTTCCTCACCACCATGCTTTCCGCCGGAGAGCGACCTCAACCATCGGTTACACCCGCCATAATCTCTGCTTCCATGCCCATCCAACCCAATGCTGGATCTTCCGCCATGCCTTCCGCCCTCAACTCCCAGAATTCGCTGAACTCGACACCCACCCAGCACATCTGGGTAGTTACCGGTCCCGCAGGCTGCGGCAAAAGCACAGTCGGCCAGGCCCTGCGCAAGGACCTGGGACTGTCCTTCTTAGAAGGCGATGATGTATGGAGACCCTGCCCTGCCCTCGATATACCCAATGATCGAGAAGAGAAAAAGCAACAGCTAGTTAACACAGATCGCGCAATAGTATCACCCCAAGGCCAACAAAGACAAGATGGGCAACGGCATCCCCCTCACCGACGCAGACCGCTGGGACTGGCTCATTTCTTTGCGCCAGGCTGCCATCGACGCTCTCTCCCCCTCCGAGTCCAATAACTTCCACCCACCCGCCGGTGTCGTCGTTGCCTGCTCTGCCCTCAAGAAGAAGTACCGCGACGTCATGCGCGTTGCCGCCTATGGGTCGCCCTCTGTCCAGATTCACTTCGTTTACCTGAAGCTCAGCGAGGAGGTCCTCATGCAGCGAACCACCCAGCGTCAGGGCCATTATATGAAGAGCGATATGGTTCGCTCGCAGCTACAGGCTCTGGAGGAGCCTAAGGGCGAGTGGGATGCTATCACTATCAATGTGGAGGGCTCGCAGCAGCAAGTGGAGGAAAATGTGCTCAAATCGGTCCATGCGAAACTCTCCGAGCTGAAGTGAGACTTTTCTCTTTGCTTTCGTTGTATACAATATAGCGATGTGACGTAAGCTTGCATCGGAGGATTGCACCTTCTCCGCGTGGTGTCATGGGAGTTTCTCTTTTACGATATGGATATTCGAAATGACCGGCTCGCCTAGGATCGAAACCTAGAGGGCAAGCAAGTGTCTTTATCTGGCGTTGTTTGATTACCGTTTGATCGCATTTACTTTGACTTTCATTTTCGCTTGCGCTTCTGCTTGTTTTTGGCGTACTCGTACGAGTCTGCAAGGCTTGTCTTTTGATACCCCCCCAATGTCTCGGGGCGAAATGGCATACATACACTTTTGTATATGACCAATGAAATCCCATCAAATGGAACCTTCTTTGATTGGGCAGGAGAAATCTAAAATAAAAAAAGACAGAAACTTATTTATAAAGAAAGATCTTCTAAATCTTATTTTTATGCTTATGCCTATGCACAACTATCTATTTCATCTCAAGTTCAGAAGCATCAACTCTGGCGCCTCAATGAAGTTCCGCACCAGATTGCCCATGCGCGCCATTGTCGCTCCATCAATGACCCGGTGATCCGCGCTCCAACTGAAATTAACCTGCTCTCCACGAGCGACTTGACCCTGCTCATCAAAGACGGGTACGGTCCTTGTGCGTCCAACGCCAAGGATAGCAACCTCCGTCGGCACGATGACAGGAGCCACATATGTGCCGCCGATATTTCCAATATTGGAGACGGTGATAGTACCGCCATTCAAATCGGCGGGGGTTAATTTACCTTCCTTGCCAAGGGCACTGAGGCGTGAGATTTCTGCCGCAATGTCGTAGATTGATCGGTTCGCCACGTCTTTGATGTTGGGGACAATAAGACCGTTCGGCGTGTCCATTGCGATGCCAATGTTGTGTTTGGCGCGCATGACTAGCTTGGGCTTTGCGGCGTCAGTGGTGTCGACGCGGGCGTTCAAGATGGGGAATTCGTTCAGAGCGAGTGAGACGGCCTTGACAATGAAAGGGAGGAAGGTGATCTTCTTGGGATCTTTGGCATCACTTGCGAGCTTCTTTCTGATCGATGTTATGTCTCCCACATCGATTTCGTCGGCGTAGAGGAGGTGTGGTGTGTTAAGGGATTTGGTCATGGTTTTGAACATGGCCGATTGGATTGGAGTCAGTCGGACACTGGACTCAGTTTGACGTGTGTCTGGCGTTATGGATGAGGTTGTGGGGGCTGATGTCAATGGAGACTGAGAAGGAGAATTCTTGGCTTCCACGAATCGGAGTACATCTTCTTTGAGAACTCGTCCTTCCTTGCCAGTTCCAACGATATCAAGGATGCTAATGCTATGCGTCTTCAAGAGACCCCGCACTGCGGGCGTTGCAAGGGATGCATGCTTTGACTTGGGAGGTGTCACTGGTGTCTCTGTAGGGACTTCAGGGGCAGTTTCCGAAATGAATGTGGCATGTTCAGATGATTCTGCTATTATTTCGGATTCGGCAACGGCCTCGGTCGGTTCTGGGTCTGCCTTTGGCTCGGCGGGTGGGGGATGATCATCAGGATATTTCGCGTCGTCGACCTCAATATCGCAGAGTGCCTGGTATACGCAGCTCAATTAGCTAAATAATCTCATGTGTATTGAAGTAGTGTTTCTTCGTACCATTCCTGTAGGTATGGTGTCGTCAGCCTCGAAATGGAGCTTCTTAATGACGCCTTCATATCTTGATGTGATCTGCGAGGTTGTGAGTTATTTCATGGATCTAGAATAAGCACGGAGTCGTCTTGAGAAACTCACATCATCGACTGCCTTATCTGACTGATATTGGCACAATGGCTTCCATTCCTCAATGTGTGCCCCCTCCTCCACATACCACTGAATGATCTGGACCTCGGTGATGCCTACAAAAGAGATTAGCAACCAATTCGTCCGATATAGCCAGAAAGGAAGTCCTCCAGATGTGCCTGCTTACCTTCACCAACGTCCTTCAAGATCTGTGACCTGGTTCCCATCAGCATCGAGGCTGCATGGAATCCTCGGTTCAAGACGGGCGGTATGGGGCATGGTGTGCGGAGAAGAATCTGGGGTCGACAAGGTCTCAAAACCCGGGGGAGGCTAGCCCCACTGCGCAACACGTTCATGGTAGAAACAATTTGTGAGATGAAAGAAAGAAGAAGTTGTCAAAATCACGTTCGAAGGGGGGTTAAAAAGCAACAAGGAACGGTGAAATGCATTTATCTATGGTAGCTCCTCCGCGACTCCGCGCCGACGGTAACCGACAGCCACGTGACCTTCCCCGCATGCCATTATTGCGGAGGCGGAGAATCAATCTATGGAATATCAGACATCCACACCCACACACTGCTATTTTGGTGGCCTTACTAAATATACTGACAGAGAGTCTAGAGAAATCATAAATATATGTATAGTATGAAAGACTATCTGAAGCTCAAAGGACTAGATATAGCGGTGTGGACTGACTAATTTCCACCACCTGAAGCTCAACTCAGTATTCTAAGCCTAGGCTCGAAGGCTGGTATATACCTAGGTTATCGACTCTTCTAGGTTTGAAAATTCGAACAATTACATCACCTGTAGATGCCACTGGTCGTTAGATAATACTGAATGTACTGCTTTTCTTTCAACCCCACAGAATGTTAAATTTTGACCATGCTGACTTTGGTTCCTCTGGAGGATCAGGGTCATTCTCTGCGATCTCCACGAAACGAGCCACTGGTGACTCATCCAAGGAGATAATTTTAGTTCGATACCAGATCTTGTATCCAAAGTAGAGTGCTCCAAAGATTCCAATATCAAGGTATGCCGAAATGAATGTTTCGGTAGACCAGCTGCATGAAGACTGTGTCAGTACAGACTTATAATAATCATATTTAAGTATAGCCGAGTAAAAACTCACTGTCCATGGATGAAAGTCGTATAACCACCAGTAAGCAGGATAATGATAAGCGAAACCAAAGTTATCCATGCCGCATACGGTTGAAACGGCGCTTTCCAGGGGAGTCTTTGGCGGGAAATTCCTTGCTTTTTCATGGCATAGTAAAACCGCAAATAAGTGGTGCAAATAACAAGCCAACCCATAATCTGAGCACATGCCACAAGATCCTGTAGCCATGTAAACACCATTGCGGCAGTGGCACTAACAGACATGTAGCCGAGCGCCATCCACACACCGATCGCAAGAACACCCATGTAAGGAACCCCCCCAACGGTTGGTACGTGCGAGAAATTTTGGGGCTTGGCCTTCTCGGGCGAGGCCAAAGAGAATTCGTGAGCCGCTCAACAACGCTAATCTGGTTAGCGCAAGGTATGCAAGCTTGCTGAGTTGAATAACAAACTTGAATTTGCCGAGCTCCAAGCGCTGGTAAGAACAATTGCATTAATTATATGGGGTACCACTGGGATGCCGGCTCGGGTTGCGGCTATAAGAAATGGCGACTGGGCTGCGGTACCAGTGCTTCTTTAGGAGCATAGGATCGTCGGATGGGACCAGAAGAGTAATCATGAAAATCGAGATGACTTTGCCAAAAGATGAGTTATCATATCCAGTGTCTTGATCTTTCAGTGAAGAAAAAAACTTACCATAAAACAAAAGAACACGAACAAATACTCTCTTCGCCGCCTTCGGGATGTTTCTTCGGGGAGCATATGTTTCTGCAGCGGCCATGGAAATGGTCTCCACTGAAGAATAAGCATATGCTGCATTCGCAAAAACAGTCCAAAATCCCATGAAGCGGCCCAATGGGCCTGGGACACCAAGATACTGCACGAATGGCCCGGGATCGTGCCAGTATTTAAAGCCAATTGTTTCGTGGTTCGGGCCACCACCCGCAGTGATAACAATGCCCTGTATAGCATGATGAGTATCGTACTATTTTACAAGAAGGGTTTTCGAATCCATACCATAAAATTCATACCGACAATCAAGAATACTTTCAAAAGCGCAAGATGAAATTCCACCTCACCGTAGATCCTCACAAGGAACGCGTTAGTAGCAAAGAGAACAGCGCTAAAAACCGTAACCCAAATTGCATTATTGAGTGTCACCCAAAACTGCACAATAGTAGCTGCGGCGGCGCACTCGGCCGGAATCGAGATCAAATATTGATATGTGACGTTCCAGCCCTGGGCAAAGGAGAACGCAGGATCCACAAAGTAAGCTGCTGGTCGGATGATGCCTCCGCTAAGAGGAACAAGGGCGCTCAGTTCTCCGATAGAAAGTGTAACACCTGAAATCAATAGTCCCATAATAGTATATCCCATAAATATGCCTGCGGGCCCTGCCTGAGCCAGGGCTCTTCCAGAACCTAGAAAAAGACCGGTTCCGATTGTTCCTGCGAGTGCAATCATTTGAATATGACGCTGTTGTAGACCTCGTCTAGTCGCCGAACGGTTAGTATAAGGGTCTGTTAAATCTAAAAGCTAGAAACAGACCTCAATTCTTTCGTCTCTGCAAGCTCTGGAGCTCCAGCCCCATCTTTGTCATAGACCTCTTTCTCGATATCGTGGTCGTTTGCATATGTCCGGGACGTAGTGACGATCTCATCACCCCCCGCATCTATACCTTTCTGTGTCATTATCGGCGAAGGGACCTTGCGTTACTGAAAGAAAAAAAAAGTCACATCGAAAGCAAGAGCCTAGCAAGCCACATAAATATAAGCTTCAGGCCCAAGACAAGGATGCAAGAAGATAAGATAGCGCGATTGGAACGGTGCCATGGCCTATAGCGACCGTATCTTGCAAAGTGCGTGGGGGTCGCGATAACCCGATACTGCATTGATCGCCATCGTTGGATGTCTTTCTGGCGGTGACGGGTCAATGCGGACTGTCCGGTTTAGTCGAATGTAGGAGTTGATTGCAACCATGCGATAAACGCACCCCCGCACTAACCTCTCCCTTGCGGGGAAGAAGGGGGGTTCCACACCTTAATAGGGAATCCGGGGAAGACTCTATTACTTGAGAATATCCAGTATCCTGGAGACTAGTAACTGTAATTTGGTCCGGATGCACCTATTGCAGGTACCCGCAGTTGAGATAAGGTTGGGAGGCCATCGGCAAATTCCAAGGTTACGTCTGTCATGACTTATAGCTTGGGATTTGAAGCGGTATCTTGCTTCTAGTATCTCTCACCGAGCATACTGACGAGAAATAACAAACGGCAGCCAGTGATTGTGACAGAGTTGTTCCAAGGTTGACTCGTGAAAATGAGGCCACAGGGATATTCTTTGATAATCAAAAGTCAATAGACATTCTGAAAGGTCTTGATAAGTCATTTTTTAGATTACATTGATTATTAATGAAGCATGCGTAAGAACCACCCGGTCAGGCAGAGATATGACGAGAAGTTGCTAGCTCACAGCTCTTTGGCGTGGAGACATAGTCGGGACTATCTCGAGAATCATCAAGAAATGTGTGATATTCCAGCTCTTCACGAGCTGGTGTCGGGCGTGGATAGACCCGGGGTGAATCTCGTGGCCAGTATTGATGTGACTGTACCAGGAAAACAAGGCGACTCAGGACGCCGAACTCAAGCTTGAGCTTGATGCTGTATACCGCCGATTTGAGCGTCGTTTGAATGACAAAATAGTTGAGATATTCGAAGACCAACAGAATGATGTCCATAACAATAATGAGGGCGTTAATGGCAAGTAGTTGATACATGACCTTGCGATTCGGATTGTGGCCGTGGATGCTGGGGGGTGAGACGCGGAGAATGCTGATAGTTTTGGAGATGTATAGGCCGGAAATGATAAATTCTTGGAGACAGAATCCGGTGAGCTCAATGCGCTCCATTATGGTGTATCCATGGACCCGAACTGAAGTTTGGATAAAGTTGGAGCCGTAGGTGAGAACTGTTGTTGGGACATGCAAGACAATGGCGTTGACAATGATCATCGCCAGAACACGATGACTGACTGTCAAATCTTGCACCACGATATTGAGGCGCGAAAATAACACTAACGCTTGTCCCGTGACCATAAAATACCATCCCAGAGTGGACAAGGTGATGGAGAACCAAAGTGGGCCGATACTATAGTATTTTAGGATAAAGCTCAGGGACTGTGGAATTACACCTAGAACCGTTGCAAGCAACAAGCTCCAGAAGTAAAGACCTTGGTATCGGCGAAATGAGGCAAATATGAGCACCATAAGCTCAATAGAGTTGTAGAGAGCGATTCCCAAGAACACTGTGAAAGTGGCTTTGATACTAAAATCATTGCCCGAGTATTCGCCGATGATCCCATTTTCAGAAGAGTCGCTAGACATGATAGCCGCCGGAGAGTGGAGTTCGCGAGCTCAGACGCGACCTGCACGTTCAATCGATGTTAACTTGGACCGAGAAAGGATTGAATGTGTCGATTATTTCGACCAAGGCACTTGGGCCCTAAGATGGCCTTCGCGCCTAGCGAAGACGAGCCACGATCAAGGATAGTTGACAACTCCAGGGGAACGGCCATGCGAAGTAGTATTATAATGTTGGGGGGATGGGGGTGAAAGTGCCGAGAACGAGTACTTTTGGGACCCCAAGCTCGATGTTAGTGGCTCAAGGCCCGGGGGGTCAGATCCCACGCTAGCTAGCGAGCGAGATACAAATGTGGAAACACCGTGAGGTCCTTGCCTGAGTTGTAGCACGCGGTGGAAAGAGGAAACGAAGCGCGGACTCTGAATTTTTTTGATTGGGGGAATCGGGCCGGGGTAGTATATTAATTCTCTCAAGTAGGTTCCACGCACTGGCACATGCAAACTTCAGTTCCCAGCACAGCGCCAACTTGATCCAACGGTAGAAACGGCGTTTCAAAACTCCGTCTTCAGGCTCAATCGTGGGGTCAACCGAATTAAACGAGCCCATAATGGATTCTTCCAAGAAACCCAACCCCGGAGGAGTCCCTCTGGATATAGGCAATATTTGTGAGATGAAGGCAGAATAGGCGAGAAAGTGTCTGGCCCAGAGGGTCTCGCCCTCGCCATCAGGGGGGGGTTGAGCCTTGGCCCTTTCGGGTCAGCACTAAAGTTTTCTAATTTCCCCGCATCGCACCAAGCGAATGGAATCCTCCAATGAGCACGGTCTGGTTCCTTCGTTTCACCTTGTCGCTGCTCGCTGTTCTTGGTCTTTCGTCGAAGCGATTTACGGCGGTTCACACAATCCTGCCAGAAACTGTAAATCAGTCGCCACGGCTTCCCCCTCCACATAAAGGCTAATTGTTCTTCTGCCTTAGGAGAATGCCATTATATGTGCCTTCACGCCCCCGGATAATTATCGGACGGCAAGTCAATCAAATGGCTAGTTTCTCACGCGACATCCTGACATCCCTGGACCAGGTGGAGGGGCCGTGACTCGGCGCTAAGCCCTGGCCCGATGGAGTGTTGCGGACCCTTCCCCCGTTGGCTCGTTCGCACAAGGCTTGCAAATTTAAAGCTCCTCTCCGTGTCCTACTCTTGGTCCGAATAGACTCTTCTGGCAGGTACCCGCGTAGGTGAAATGTACCTTGGACTTGGCCGTGGCCTTGGGCTTCTCGAGTTTTGTTTTTGTTCCCCTCCCATCCTCTACTAGGACGTTGCTAGCGGGATCAAGGGAAGCCAACTCTGTAACATAGGATTTCCATTATATTCAGGCCTGATTTCGAGGCATTTTCTCCTTTTGGAAAGTGTTCAAGTCTCCTCGCTCGCATGGTAGAGTTCATGCGCCTGTTGAGCAAAATGTGGGATCGGAGCCCCGCATAATTGACACTCGATGCTTAGCAACGGCGCATCGTGATCCCCATCTTCGTCTCCGTCTTGCCACCCAGAATCACTCTCCTCCAACAAGTCGGGTTCGGATTCTGGCGTCAACCGATCATCCGACTCGTGCACAGTCCACTCCCGCAGAATTGATTTTTGTTGCCGGAACATTTTCCCAATATCTCGTCCACTACTTTGTTTCTGGTCTCCCGCACTCTCAATCATGTTTGTCACGGCGATATTCATCAAGCCAAGGTCCCACCCGGACTTTTCAGCGTGTAATTTGCGAAACATACCCATGACATGATCCTGGACAACCCGTTCGGCCAAGGAATCGATACTTTCGTCTAGATTAAAGACTAGGCTCGGCAGTGGAGCCGAGCGCGAGATTCGATTAGCGTTGTACGTCCGCACCCCGTCCGTTTCCGGTGCGTTCCTTGGCCGCGTCGATAATCGGAGCGTGCGTGGATGTGCCAGCCACCTTGGCTGCTCATCATTTCCACCACCCCTGACGAGCAAGTCGGTTCTCATTCGTCGGAGCAGACTCTTGGCCAATACCGTCAATTCCCGCCGCACACTTTCCGGGCTATCAAGACGGCCGCGACCATATGTGTCCTCGATACTGATTTGGGTGGGTAAATCACGTCCTTCGATCACTTCGGTATTGTCCACGCCATGAAATATCCCCCAGATTCGCTGGCCGATCCCTTTCGCGGCACCTGGCCCGCCAAGAGTTTTCTCCAGCAGCGGTGGGCTCATACCAGGGTACAAGCGAACATCGCGCACTGTTACCTCTTCTTCGCCAGCATTTTGCTCTGCAACCCGCGTTCTCAGTTTCTGTGCTAACCGCGATCCAATGCCTGGTATTTTGCGGATCTCGTGGGCGTCTATGAACTGAATGACATTGCTTTCCTTGCCATCGCTGGTGAGTTCGTATGGTGGAACTAGGGTTGTTTGTTGATTTGGTTTGTGAACACTGCCAACTAACTTGGCCAATAACTTGGAAGTTGAGATCCCGCCTGTAGCGGTGAAGCCTTTGTCATACTCAAGCTGGCTTCTCAGGTATGCCATCAAATGGGAACCAACCAAGAGCCTCATTTCCAGTGTTGAGGGATCGGACTCCACAGCGGAAGATTCTCCTCCCGGGGGCGGATATGTAGAGCCATGAAATCTTGTGGCATCGTAAGTGAATCCAACGGTCGGATCATTTCTGTTGAGATGGAAGAAGGAAGTAGTCATGTCATTCCGATTGAGCAGTTCAACATTGTAGTCGATCATTTCTGTGACGTCCAGAGAGAGTTCGTCGAAGCCGAGTCTTTCGACGCGGCCACCCCAGATGAAACCGTGGATGAAATGGTATATATCTTTCGATGCATCTCGAAACCTGGTCAAGTCTTCACCCAGAACAATGACGACTTCGGGACAAATGCGCTTGGCATCTTTGATGAGCTGCAGCTTGTGCAAGCCGCGGCGTCGAGCCTCATAGTTGCAGGTAACAACGATTTGTTTCTGTTGGACTGCCAGGGGTTGGGACTTCAAGGCAGGTTGTTCGACCTCAAAGACTGAGGCATAGAAACAGTCATAGTCCTGGTTTTGTCAGTTCCAGCTCCAGCTCCAGCTATGTAAATACAATGGAATGCTTACCAGGTGGAGGACGATGCGACGGTCGTCACGCACCGGTGCTGCAGCCATAGACTCCGAGTGGAAACAACCACATCCATGGACAGGGGACTGATATTCAAGGCCAAAATGGTGAATGAGACCTGAGGCTGATTGTTGGGACAGGTGAGGATTGTCGTGGCAGGCCAGTCTGTCACGGCCATCCCGAAGGCCTTGGCGCGACTGTGGCTGGAGCTGCTGTGGCTGTGCTGGTGGCTGTGGCTGCTCCCACGGCTTAAGCTGGAATTGCTGAAATTCACGGAAAAAAGGAACAAACATCATGGATGTCTGGCAGTTCAGAAGTTAGAATCATTTACCCTGGCCAAATAGTCGAATTTGTAGTTTTGACCTCCCTGCTGCATCATGTTCGGATGTGGTGATTTACGACGCAGCTACCGGATATAGTGTTTTACGCCGCTCAGTTGTGACTTGCATTGAAAATCTAATCTACAACCGGTCTGAAAATATAGATAAACTTTGGAATTTCGTAAAAAATCAATCTTGTTTTAGGTCACTACTTTCGAGTGAACCGGTACATCCACTGTCAATAAACCCTGATCGATTCATCTCAAGCTCCGATCGTAGCATCTCGCCCTATCAGGCCCCCATCTGGTTACAGTAGAGGTCCGAGAGTAGTTACTGAGAGGATGGCAGATATGCATACGCGGAAGCAATGCTTGGCTAGTACTTTCTACCAATTTAGGCTTGCAGAGAATGGTAGAATTTTGCCAGCATCGCAGCCTTGAATGGTTTTGTATGGCCGGAGAGTTCCCACATATTTCCAAGTTTCTATACACTTATTCGCCAAGGAAAATATTGCTAAATTGATTGGACCCTGAGGATAATAAACTACTTACTCAAGGTATGCTTCATGGGCAATGAGCTCGCAGCCTCTCCACTAGCCTGAGCCCGGGTGGGGGCCTTAAAATGACCGAAGAGAAGAACGTAAGCCCCTTCTACCTACCCCTCTTCCACCACATCTCTAACACATAACATAAGAGAAATTCTGATGATAATGCAAACCATGACAAATAATCAAATCGCTTCTCTTGCCGCTGCCGAGGAGGGCAAACAGATTACCATCTCCGCGGTCGAGAGAAGAGCCAACGATGACTCGAGGAATCCATGGACCTCGGTTCCAGTTAACGACCAAGATCTCTCCCAAGGATACAAGGATATCAGCTTTCGCCAGCTGAATAACTACACCAACCATGCCGCGCATTGGTTATCTGAGAATCTACCCCCAAGCTCCGAGCCATTCCAAAGCTTTGCCTATGCGGGTCCCAAGGATTTGCGCTATCCAATCCTGGCTTTGGCTGCAGCGAAACTGCAGAAAGTGGTATGCATGTCATAATGAAAAAGACACCTCAGAATGCGACATTTGTCTAACATTAACGGTGCTAGATCGTCCTTCCTTCGCCACTTATCACGCCCGATGCTCAGACGAGAATCCTCAATGCCAAGAACTGTGGTCTTTATCTGCACACAGCCGCGATGGCGGAACCCATAGCAGCTGTACTCAAGGAAGCACCTCACGTTCAAGCTATCACGGTGCCTGACCTCAGCGTCTTTGTAAACGAAGACCCAGCACCCACATATACATACTCCAAATCGTGGGAAGAGGCTAAGGATGATCCCTGGGTTGTCTTCCACACATCAGGCACCACAGGTTCGTCGCTTGTACATCCTAGCAATGTATCAGCTAATACTGACCAACCATTAGGATACCCTAAGCCACTTACATATACGCAGTACATGATGGCGATGCCCGGCGTGGTGGCGTCTATTCCAGGCATGGAAGAGTGCTGGGTCGGCCGGTATAGCAACAAACGACTATATACCCCGCTGCCATCTTTACATGTATTTCCAACCCTCTCTCTCTACTATTGAAAATCTTCCCTTTCAGATTTTGGATTCTGACTAATCCTGAATAGCTGGTTGGAATGATTTTCATATTGGGACTGACTACCTTTAACGATACAATCATCGTAGTCGGACCATCCGCACCTCCAACTCCTCAAAACGTTCTAGATGTCATTAAATACGGCAAAGTAAATTCCGCCCTTCTAACACCGGCCCTCATCGAAGAAATATGTCTATCACAGACCGGTGTTGATACACTGCGAAGCCTCGACTATGTTCAGTACGCCGGGGCACCTCTAGCAGCAAAGGCAGGCAATTTGCTAGCGTCGCATACGAACGTCACACCTACCATCGGCAGTACCGAAGCCGGAGGCTACATGACCAAAATACATGGCAAAAAGGACGCATGGGACTACATCAGTTTCCACGAACGTGCCGGGGCGGTCTTCGAGCAGCGCTTCGATGATCTGCACGAGTTAGTCTTTGTGCGCCAGCCCGACGACCGAACGCAGTCAATCTTCAAGCTTTATACGGACCGTGATCGCTACCCGACGAATGATCTCTGGATCGAACACCCTGTTTACAAGGGTCTGTGGAAGATTATTGGTCGTGCCGATGACCATGTTAGCTTTTCGCATGGGGAAGGCCTTCATGCGTCGCGTCTAGAGCCGGAGATCGAAGCTCACCCCGCTGTTAAGTCGGCGTTGATTGGGGGTCATGGGTATTCGGCGCCGGTGCTCTTGCTTGAATTGTATACCGGGAGTGTGGACGAGAATGACCGGGTTTCATTCCTTGCTGCCCTGCAGTCTCATATTGATAAGGTCAATGCTCAGGTCCATCAGTGTGTGGCTCTTTCTGCCGATCGAATTATCATAGCGACGGAGGATAAGCCGTTTGTACGGACGGTTAAGGGCAGTGTTGGGCGGGTGCAGACTCTGGCAGCTTATAAGGATGAGATTGCAGCTTTATTTGCCTAGAGCCCTTGATATAGAAATAAGGAACATTCAGTTCAATGACTTGGGCGAGGGCTAATGTGGCAAAGGAGAGAATGACCATTGATCGTGCTCTGTATGTTGATATAAATGAAGTCGTTGGCTTCGGCAAGTTTTCTGGAAGCAGAGGGTCCCGATAACCAAACTGTGGACCTCACTCCCGTGTCGTCGGTGGGGTGGACGGCAGCACAGACTGGGTTAGGCACCGGGGACCACTGGGACCACGTGCTGAGCCCCGATCCAAGGTTAAGGGGATGGCCAGACTTCAGCGGCTTGAGACGCGCAATGCGGCGGGGTTTGTTGTTCGATGGAGTAGGGGATGTGCACTAACTAATACTTAAACGTTGCATGAATAACTACTACATACATACATATGTACATTGGTAGGATTTGCACTGGCAGTGGAACCCTCGCTCCAGATACCCCTCATTATGGAATACTCTAAAATGGGCTACTGGTATGTACTCGTACGCGGCTAGGGATCCAACGGGCAAGGGTATCGAATGTGCTGGAAGTGATGGGGGCTGCAGGAAGATCGATGCCTGGCCGAGGGGCTTTGTTTAGGAGATATTCCATTCCAGTATGGATCCGGAGTAGGTAGGTAAGACATTACCGTGTCCAGACCGACGCCACCAGTATTCGGACATGGAGCTGTGCGGCTAATAACTCCCCTGGTCCGCTGCAGCTCCACGAAATTAATCAAACGGGAGGCAAATAAGACAGAAAAGAAAGCAGATCTCGTGAGATTCAGAGGCAGTCGTACTCGTAAGATAGCTCTACTCGTACAGTACAGTAGGTAATGTGGCCACACTGTCACTCGTAACTCCAGTTTTCGCCATCAGAGATCCTTGCCCCACTTCTGTTTCTTTTTATAGAACAAACATCCAACAGTCAGTGTATACAGGACTGTGTATATTATTACGAGTACGTAGTATGGATATTGAGAGGCAGGACAACTTCAAGGGACAGATAAATTATAGTAACAGCCTACAGCCTACAGCCTAGAGGATATGAGTCAAAGATCCAGTCCATCCACAACCACACTAGTCTTTAAGATTAAATTAGAACGGCACTCAAGGCCGATCGCCATCTCCGACCGGGCTGGATGTGGCGTCAATAGTTCAAAGTCCCCAGGAAAATCTCTGCTTGCTTCTATTTCTGTTGATTGTTGGTTATTCAGGTGACAGGAGTATTTCAAGCATCTGTATAGATACTTCAAGCATCTGTCTTGTACACTTATACTCCTATAGTATAGGTCTGCTGTGATCTGCTGTGACTGTGACGATCACAAGCGCCGACTATTCTTAGCGCAACCCCTCCCTTCTTTCTTCTGCATTACATACTCCTCCTACATCATACGCTTTCTCTTTCTCTTCGTCATGCCTGCTCAATGACACCTTCTTCTTCACTCGAGTCATCCCTTCCTTCACGCTCATGCTCTTCATCCACCATGTCCTGTCTGCAACCTCCTAGTGGTAGAAGTGACCACAACAGCATCTCCTCTCGCCCCAAACTCACCCTCCAAACAACCTCGCTACCTCTCACCTTTGGCCGATCCACAACTGGCCTGTCGCGCTCCTTCACTGCAACTGCGACTGCATCGCCGACCGTCCGAAACACCTTCAAAAATGCTTACGATGCCACATCCCCATCTTCCACAGCCACTTCACCTACCAAGGCCTCCACCACCTCCGGCCTGCGATTAAACACCACCACCACCACCACCACCACCACTGCCGTCCCTATCGCCAAACCTATTTCCCCCTTCATTCATCACACAAACCCCAACAACTCCCCGTACAGCTATCGCAGCCCTTACAGCCTCCCACTTGGCGTGCGAAGCATTCTCCGCAACTCCCCGCTCGAGGGAGCCTCACGACGGCGCTCAGGCTCCGTTTCCGCAGGCGCGGGTGGACCTGGCGGCGCAGGCGCACGCCGGGTCTTCTTCCCGCCAAGAAGCAAGTCAGCTTCCGACACATCCTCGAAGAAGAGATTCGCACGGAGCGATACACGGCGCAACACCTGGATCTCGTTCGGGAAGAGGCAGTGCACGAGGCAGACAGTGGGGCTAGCAATACGAACACCAAAACCCACACCCACACCCACTCTCACACCCACACCGCCATAAGCGTCACCAGGAAAGATGACGAAGCTGGAATCGAATTAGGATCGGCGTCAGGATCTACATCGGGTTCCGGGTCAGGGTCAGGGTCAGACTCGGATTCAAGCAGTTTATCAGTATCAGAGTCAAGTACGGACGAAGGAAGCGCTGACGAAATCGGCGACCGAACATCTCTGTCCAAGGAAGAGCGCAAGAAACGCCGCACGCTGCGCATTGAGCGACAGGTTCGCGCTGTGGCGCTGCTGGATGGTCTCGAGGCTACCCCGTACTCTCCGACGCCGCAGACGCCGCGACAAAATCGGGTGAAACGGCGCCGTGAGTGGAAGTGGACTCTCGATCCTATCGAGGGGAGTCCGGATAGTGCGCAGTCTGAGCTGCCACAGTCAATACCATACGATCAACCTGCATGCATTTTGGCAGACCCGCGGCCGGAATCGAAATATCTATCGCAATGAAACCGGGTTAGATGGGCGAGGGCGAGGGCGAGACTGAAGTCGCGGGTCTTTTGCTGGTGGCTTTTTCCTTACGCGCATATATAATTGTGATGCATATCTTCAAGATTCGATGAATCATGTCTTTGCTGTTTCTGCTTTTGCTTGATGGCTTGCTAGAGGCGCTGGTGGCTCATTTTTCTTTCTTTCAAGCGATTACTATTCTCATCTCATCCCGTGGGTGCGGGCATATAACTACGACCTCTATTTAAGTTGGTACCATTAATACACCAAATACATCAATGGACATACATGTACATGTACATATTTCTTACACTGGCTTTATCTCTCACTCTTTGAATACTCGTAGAGCACGGAGTAGATAAAGTGTGCTTCTCCAGGTGGACCCGGTATGACCCGGACGCCATCTCCTTGGCAACTTGAAGTGACAAGAGGTGCAGCATTATGCAGCCACAGACAAGGCGGCTATTTGCGATGTATGTAGCCTGTGTCACACATATAACTAAATATTGTTTCTAGGTAGTCTGTACTCCGTACTCCGTATCAACATCGCCATTCTGTCGCATCGGTGGGCCTTTCGTCCCAGCACTCCTTCACTTTCCATGCAGGAATCCCCGCAACTCGCTCTAGCAACCCAATAACACACACAGTACTTTCATCAAATTAAGATCGACGACTTCAAATCGTTGATCCAATGGTGGTCTCTACTAATTTTCCAAGGACGGCAAGACTTGTGCTTTGGCCAATGACAAAAAAGAAATGGAGCTTTGGGATACTGCCACTTGGACTTTCCAGCAAGCAATACCGTTTAGTAAAGGGTACCAAATCTCATCCGTTTGCTTCTACTTCAAGACGGACCAGGGGCCATACACTGGATTCCGGCGTTCTGATCACGTCGGCAGACTCAGAACTGTCACGACCAGCCCTATACTCTGGCGGGGAGTGCGTCATTAGAGGCGATGAAAGAATCCTTTGGCTACCCCCCAACTACAGAGGTCCCCCGGCGGTTCTGGGGCGAGATGCGGTCATGTTGACAAATATAAATAAAATGGTCAAGTGGTCTTTGTTGATGTCAACTAATTGAAGCAAATGAACATACTGCTTTAAGATGTTGGTAAGCCTGTTTGTCGCGCTTTGGTGGGCAATGCTCTCACGACTCTGAATGAGCGAGAGATTTTGTGGGCGTCCTCTTGATTTAACGAGCTCTACCAGTTGAATAGAACAAGGGGGATGGTAGTTAATTGATGCTTTGTCTATTGCAGGCACCATATAACGGAATCAAAAACCTCTTTCTTCATTTCAACTTGAAGGTATCCTTGCCACAATACTTAGGTTGTTCTGGGAAGTAGAACTGTATATTCAAGATATCAACCGCATATACTACCTATCGAGCTGTGACGCACTAGGGATACTCGGAGTTAGCGTACTATCGAAATGAAAAGTAGGTACTTAGTATCATAATATAGCATTTCGTAGTAAGTAAATCACGTATATGCGCCGACCAACGCCATAATATAATCATCCCGAAACCCCCAAGACCCTTCCAAAACATGTATTTACTAGATATGCACTCAAGTCTCAGTCTCAACGTCCGGCTCTCGGCCAGTCAACCCCCCCGACGCCAACCTTTTTCTTTATTTTGTTCAATGCAAACTTGGCCTCGTCCTTCACGAAGACCGCATTGCGTGCTGGACGCCACTGCATTAAGCCCCGCTGTTGTCGCTGATCACTACGTCGGTTAGACTCTTCGGTCTGAGACATGCTGGCTTTCGACGAGGAGGCCTCGGCTGTATGGCTGATTGTCGAAGGACCGCGGGAGAGCTCCTCGCTTTCCGAGTCTGACGACTCATCCGATAGCTCACCATTTCCCCCGTTAACTGCCTCTGCCTCACCAGCCCCATCCTTCCGCCTGGGATTTGGCTGGCCTTTGAGAGGCGGGGGAGTCACTGGGTCATGGGGAGGAGTATCACGACCAGGCTCTGCCACTTTTCGTCCGAGGGAGTCTGTGTAGGCGCGCGGATCTTGACCAAAGGCACCGCTCCAATCGTGTCCTTCACGATCAAGCCAGCGACGACGCTCCGCTGGATCAGCCTGTTTGAGAACATCCCTACCCTCGATGAGCGATTTTTCGTGCTTCTGCTGGACTTCCTCGGGGACATCCTTTTCGACGGTGCGGGACCGCACACCTTGCGCCATGCATGCTTCCCACGTCTCGAAGGTCTCGCGTGAATCATTGTCGACAACGAAGCGCTCGTGTGACTCGTCGATGCCCGGCGAAAATTTGCAGCGGAATTGGAGTCTTCCAACTTCGGTGAGATCTTCGAGACCAGGGACTTCCTTGGCCTTCCAGTTCTTCTCTGTGACATAGTTCTGCGTCAGGCGCGGGCCGGATTTTGTCGTCCAGATGGGGATATCAATATCAGTATCCTCGTTGTCGACTAGATGCTGCAACCAGAGAATAGCATATGCTGTCGCGCTACGCTTGCCCTGGCTATGGAACTCGAAGACGACGGGTGACCTATACCGATGCTTGACGGGCAGACGCAATGAATCGCGGTAGCTCTCGTCAGATGTATCGTAGACCACGTCGCTTCCTTCAAGCTTGCAAGCTGCCCGACCGATCTTGCCAACGCTCCCACCGGTGCGCAGCTTGATCTTCGACTGGCGCCCGAATCCCTTTGCGACCACCTTGTCGGCCACAAATTCAAAGGTGCCAACGTCCCAGCCGAGCATGGCCGGGGGAAGCTTCGTCTCGACATGTCGGAAAAGAAGAGAGAGGCGAATACGTCCAAACCCGACACCACCATCCAGTGGGTACCATCGCGTAACCTGGGAGCTTGTCTGGAAGATGTCGGACAGCTTGAGAGGGACGACGCCGAGGATTGGATCGTGCTCGCGGTATCTCTGGTCTCGAACAGTAACAGTAACCACGGCAGATCGCCAATCGCGAACAAAACGTTCGGTTCCGGCGTTAAATATGGGTTTAGAGCTCACGGCCTTGGGACGTGTACGGTAGATCTGAAAAAAAAGAGAGGGATTGTTAGCGTGATGAGCGGGCGAGTCGGGTTTAAAAAAGGCACTTACCAGCTGATCATTCAGCAGGATCTTGCAGTAACTCGTAGGAAGCTCGTCGCCCTGCTCCTCGGTGTTTTCACCAAATGGTTTAGCAGGCTCGTACTCCTTGCCCTTCCGGTTTCCGTCGCTACCCTTGATGTTGGCGAGTTGGAGATTCACAATCTGATGCACGACGATATGCACAATACCGCTCGGCCAGATCGGGTCGGGAGGTGTGTGCATAACGGCATCTTCTTCCTCGCTGTTGATGCTTCCCTTTTCATCTTCGAACGTAGGATTTCCCTTGAGGTTCTCTGGGAGGTCCTTCTTTTTACCATCCGTGCGTAGCTCTGGCCGCAGCTTGGGCTTCCCGAAGTATCCCACCTCCCAGTGCAGCTGGCCAGGCATCTCACTGCCCTCGTCAAGGCCCTGGAGCTTGGAGATCTGGGGAAACATGCGACCAGGGTGCTGAAGCATTTCACGGATGGGCAGCTCGACCTTTCCGACAACATCGTCCGCCGTGTTACGGTCCGAATCCCAGAGTTCAATGCTGAGGTTTTCGTCCGCTTTAATCAACTCTGGCGTCACAAGTAGAGCAGCAGTCTCTTCCCACATCGGATTCAGGTCGTCGGTAATGACTCGTGTGCAGTACATAGGTTTTCCATATTTGGAGAAGGACAGGTTGATGTACGGATCACTACCGCCGCCCTCACTGCCACGGCGATCCTGCTTGCTCAAGCCGATTGCCCGGTGGATACGAATCCACATAACACCCAAAGCCAGGGTATCTTTGTGGATGTCGTCACCCTTCAGCAACATGCTCAGATCCATCGTCATGGATTTAGGCGCAGCGAACATGGCGCAAGCGGCCCCGATGGCGTAGTTCACGAAATTCGAGATGAGAGGCAGATTGAGGATATTCACCCCTCTTTTGAGCATAGGCACGCAAGCTGCCTTCACATGAGGGATACCGACCAAGCTGAAGGTCAGTTCCTTCGCGAAAGGCGGCTCGGGGGTCATCTGAAGACGAAGTCGAACCGTCCCGACCAATTCGGTAAGCTCGACGAATACAGGGAAAGGAACTCCGAAAAGTCCTCGAACACCCAAGTAGAACACAATTTGCATATGCATGTTACGGGCTTTGGAGGACGCACTTGAGCCCGTCGGCTTGGCGTGATACGCAAATGAAGCTTCCATGTTATAGTAACTACCACCTTCCTCTGCAGCGGCAGCTTCTTGGGGATCTTTATTTTTGATATTCTCCTCGTGGATATTTTGCTTCAGATTCTCCACATGGTCATCGGGAAGAGCACGCATGCTCAGAATGCGGAGGGAATTATTTCCCTGGTCAATTTCGGCAATGCGGACGTTCTCCACGACGCTGGGCGCGGACGCTTGCATGATGTCTTCAATTGTATCAGCCATTGGTATGAGCATGTCTGGGTTGACAAGACCCCAGACCACGCTGAGGAAACTGTTCATCCATTCGACCGATTCGGGGAGAAGATTCGCAGTAGCCTATTGCCATTAGTTATCCATCTGGTAAGAGAAGGGTTGGATTTGGGGGGAAATTACGGTCTCTCCGCGAAGCTGCTCGCTATGCCATTCCATATCTCTGCCACTTCTAATCACCTGCTGCACCCATAGCCAAACGCCGCTTGCGATGCACGCGGCCAGGGGGATAAGTCCTAGCAGCGATCCTCCGAAAAACCGACCGAGAAAGATAATTGCTAATGGGATTCCAATACAAAGCCCCATTCCACGTCTCTCTAGTTGGTCAAACATCGGCTTGTATGATATAGTCGGAGTAGGGTGGAATAGCACGTTCGTTTTCTCTCCGCGGATTGGGACATCGGATGTTGTGCCCTCGGCGATGGGATCTGGGGGCGCTGTGATATCTTGATTTTCCTTATACTCCGAAAATTCTTGGTCATGGCTGGTTTTGACGTCCTGCGTTGTACCATCAGTTCACACTGCTTGTTTGTATCCTAGAGCTTTGATGACGATCACTCACGGTTGGTTGTCCGAGGTTCGCATTAGGAACCGTCAGCTAGATATTCTGTCAGTTAAGAGACCCCAGTATAAGCCTGAGTATTCCTCTGCTCACAGTTGGATTCTTGACAGCATCCATAGATGTCTCATCCTGGTCTTCCACTCCAATTTCGCGACCGGTGGTGGGATCGGTCACCATCCGGGTCTTGGCCTGGGACACTTCCCGTGCCTTATGTGCAGAAACATCCCCTTGTTCATCATCATGTCCAAGTTCTTGAATCTTGCGCTCTCGTTCTTGTTTGGATTTATTCTCCTGGTCAATGCGAAGGTCTCGCTCCTTCTTCTCTCTGTCGAGATGCTCGACGAACTTCTGGACCGTGGGAACGGGGTTTGCACCGCTCCAGTGTTCACCTATACGGTGTCTCTGCGGGGATTCGGTTTCATGGCCATTGCTAGCCATTATTAAGGCTGGCCTTCTCGCAAAATCGTTGTGCGTTAGGTGGTACAGTTACCTGGTGCTGGAGGTCGTAGGTATGTGCAAACGTTGAATATCGAATTGGGAAGCGGGGGGGTTTCTCACAGTACCCCCGTTTGCACTGCAGTTGGAGGAGCGGTATAATTTGTTACAGAGATGTTGAAATTAAGAAATTAAGAAGAAAAAAAAAAGAGTTGTGTGCAGTGCAAAGAGGCCGAGATCTTTGGAGCTGGGAAGCTCTCCCCGGAACGACGTCATCGGGCAGAACCCGGGAATTGCAATGACGCTACCTCTTGGTACTGGATGTACACTCTCGAACCTGTCATTTAATTGGAGTTAATTCACGACCAATTCGAGATCTGCAACCTAGCCCCAATGGAAGGTTGATTTCCCCACATTTATTGCTGTGCTGTTGCTCTCTCCGTCCACAGCGGCGGAATCCCACTCTTGGCAAAGACTGGAGCTCATTTCAGCAAGTTTTGGTCTTCTAACTTGAAACTTGCTGAATATCACAAGCAGCACAGTTATAATTCACTCCCCCGTCGCCATTTTAATCGTCATGCATTTGAAGAAAGGAGTCAGCTTAAACATATGTACGTTGATTGTCGAAGCGATCGGTGCGATAGACTGACTATCTCCGAAGCTCACGAGAGATCCAAGCCATGATGTCACCGCGGAGCTTACGCCTTGGTTTATGTATGGCTTCAATTCAAGTCCAACATTCGGGGGATATCCCCAAACCATGGGGATCCTTGAGATTATGCCCTTCCATAAAGTCAAACTCGCTCTTGGAGGCTCGGCCGCGTAGCAGCGGTACTTAGTCAGTGAACTAACGAATAGGTTGAACTGTCGATCAATGCGATCAGATAGCGCCCTGAATCAGGTCTGTTACACCGACCAAACATTTATTGGATGATCAATTGAGGGTAGACTAGTTAATCACAGGGGTGATCTGTGATGATCTTTCTTTCAATCCAGTGGCCGGCAGGTTGGCGATGTCATATTAGTTCATGAGACGATGATAAATACCGATCGGCAGGACGAATACTAGTAAGGTGATCGCTATCACTACAATTCCTGTGATGGTATAGCGATTTTCACGACTAATGTACAAACAACCTTGGAAAGAATATTTCGAACTTGAACTCTATCATCAATGTAGACTATTAAATACTTAGTATGCGAGGATTACAGTAGGTCTGCCACCACGAAGTTCAACACTATTTTGGTTGAACTAGCTTCTATATGAAGAAACCTCGCTGGATGGATTACAGTCTCCCTAGGGTACCTTAAGGTACGTAGGTTCTCCCTGTGTGTGGCAGTTGATAATGATAATCGGGTCAGGTTTCTTATCACCACGGGACTGCCACGGTGCCCACACTCGGACCCACCACCATAACCACCGATGGACACAACCTTGGGAGAGCATCTTCTCCGCTCGCGCTTATACCGGACATCAGAGTTGACCACCGCACCTCTGCGAGACACTTGAAGACTTTCCCTATGTCGACACCAGAGGAATCGCCAGCCCAGCGGGCTTCTCGTCTGCGACGAGAGCGTCGTGAAGCCAAAATCAAGGAGGGAGGCTCAGCACGCCTTGACAAGATCACCAGCTTGAGTGGTCGCACTCCGCAGTCAGGTATGATCTACGTCTGTTGGTGAAGTGATCTCTTCGCAAGCGAACTCACCGCACGTTGGCCTTCACACTACTAACTTGGCTGTCATTAATCACAGTTCACGAAGATGCCTCACCATCCCCACAGCTCGCCGTCTCCCCTTCGCCCTCGCCAGTGCCGCAAAATCGACCTTCGCCATCACCGCAACCCAACATGAACATGCCGTCCGACGAGACCCTCCAAGCACAACAAGAAGCTTTCCGCGCTATGCTTCGGCAATCGGCCCCCGAACAAGGCCAGGGCCAACAGGGCCAGCAGGGCGATGATATGGAGGACCCTACCATCAAACTACTCAACTCACTATTGGGTGCCATGCCTGGGGATCCTAACGGACCTCCCCCCGGGTGCTGGTGCTCCTCCTGGCGCCATGCCTGGCCAAGAACAACCCGGCCTCAACCCAGGTGCGATCGCATCTGCCCTTGGGCTCCCACCTTTCCTCGCCAGCATGCTCGGTGCAGCGACCCAACAGCCGACAGAGCGGGAACAGAAAGCCACCCGTCTCTGGAAGGGCCTGCACATAGTCTTTGCGATCGGAGTCGCGGTCTACCTATTGTTCATCATCGGAGCGTCAGTTGCGACATTCGGCAGCCCGCCCCCAAAACCCGCCACGGCACAAAACCCATTCCTGATTTTCGTCACCGGAGAGGTACTCCTGACAAGCGGTCGGGCTTTGACGAGTGCGAAACAAGGTGGGATTGGCATGGTTATTCAGCTCTTTAAGGATGTGGTGCGAGATGGTAGCCTTGTGCTGTTTGCGTTGGGCATGGGAGCTTGGTATACCCAAGAGTGGCAGACTGTTGGATGAAATATTTAAGACTACAACGAATGGACGAAATTTCATTTTACAAACGTGTGCCTGGTGGACCTCGTACTGACCGTTCTACAAACCGTAGATAATGCACCAGTCATCTATGGCAGCCATTACAGCTACTTCAAAGTGTTCGGGGTCCTCTGAAGTCAATTGTTACCATGCACTGGCTATGCTTCCGATGTATACATGAAGAGGTGACGAAGACAGTAAGATTCAAACCTACTACTAGATATTCCCTATAGCCATATATAGTTCCTGGGTCTTTTGATTCCCAATTCCTCTCGTTGACTGGGCTTGGTGAAGGATTTCCAAGACCAACGTACCAACGCATTCATCTATGCAGCACCAATAGCATCCAATATAAGTCTATGACAGGTGCGAAATTTGGAATTGGCGAGCTTACCAAATATTCATTTCCCATAAAGCACACATCTTTGAAGAAGTCCCGAAAGTTGACGTGGTATCGACAACATGAAACCAGTATGGCTCTAGCTCGGCGAGGACTTCACCTTGGGGCTAGTCATCTTTTTTTGCAGATTTCTTGGGCTCATATTCGGTTTTCATTCTGGGTGACAACGGCTCGGCCTTATTATTTGGCGAGGATTCCGCCTGAGGAGCTGGCGAGGTTATATTCGGGTTATATCGTCCGGCATCGGCTGTGTTCACGCCGAGTAGTTCCAGTGGGGTTGCGCCAAGTATCATGGTTACGAAATAAGAAGGAGCTTGAGAACTTGAGAAGAATTGTTCAGATAAATGACCATAAGAATAATTGGGAATTGAGATCCATTGCATCTTATATAGAAATGAGTCCGTCCTGTTTGTCTTCATGGGACAATAGATCGAGGCAAGCTGATACTAGCACAGGCCGACGCCTGAAGGACTCATGCGGGGGCATTTTTGTGCTTCATTTCACTCGATTGGGAATAGATACCACCCAAAGGGTGACCGTTGAACAGGAGTTGCGCGCTTATGGCTATGGTACCTTAACCTCAGCCTCGTGCTATATCTTGAACAACTATATGGTCCGCTCCTATCTCGGAAGAGGGTCCAATGAGAGTTTAGATGCGATTAAAAAGGCTATGGGTCACGGGCACGCCGTTTCTTGGCGTGAGTGATCCGAAGCCAGTAAGCTCTCAAGAATGTCAAATCGTTTCCAAGAGTGGTTTCGAGCTGGGTTGATTCATACTTCGGAGCTTCGGGGTTCCCCTTGCAGAGCCTTGCTAAATTCAATCGCGGTAACATAGATTCGGCAGCATCTAGCGCTGTGAAGACCCACTACGCTTAATGGCGAATAATGCTCCGACAAACGTGGGTTCGACTAGGTTACTGGCCACCTGAACGGCCCCCACCGGTGGCTGTGCGGCTTTCCCACAGTAATTTTTTAGTTCCGACTGATCTAGCAGAGGTGAAAGAATCATATGTTGAGTACTAAGTAGTATATCGCAGCTAGTTAGGAAAGCAAATAATGAATTAAAGAAGGGAAGCTGAACAATAATCCTCTCCGCCTAATGAAGATCTGCGCGGCGCTATACTCGATTGTTTCTAGCTTACATCACTTCGCCCGAAAGGGGTATATGCTGCGCTCCTTGAGGGATGCAAGGAAAGGAACAGGAAAAGAAAAGTCCAACTGTTTTTTAAACTGCTTCTTGATTATCACGACCGGACGGTCAAGTACGGCCTCGGTAGCCGCAATCGACCCAGTGCTCCTGCCAGGGCGGCGCACCCCAAATTACCACTACTGTTCTCTATACAAAGTTGGGCACAGACTATTGTATGGGTAAATAGCTTTAGAATACCCATATTCAGTGTCAATAAGTACTTAGTTAGTTGCGCTAGATGTCAGTACTGGCCTCGTATATCAAAGGTATTAGAGATGTATAAATTATGCTACTTGGCATCCTATCCAGTTTTATACTCAGCAATGGTGTCTATGACGCGGAAGCGTGAACACGAAGTATCACGAAGCTCCGAGACTTTATGGCTACACCGATTCCCTCACGGTAGATTACGTGTTCAGTCATAGCTTTGCCAAAATCCTGCCCTCAAATGAGCAGGTGCTCGCGGACTTGCAGGGTTGTCGTTTCCTAGTCAGCATGTTTTCACCTGGGCAGTAGTAGCTTCCATTTTCTGTCCTCACCTTCTCACTACTACACGTATCGCTGCATTCATGCCTTCTTCCCTTCACATACTATCCCACGTACAGTTATATCAGACAAGCTCACCGTGAGCAACGCGTTCTTCGTTCTTCGGGGCTGGGATAGTCTGACGACCAATCTGGGTTCCTTCAACACCCACAAGCGGAGTCTGACGAGCCCAAGGAATCACTTGAGCAGGCTGGAAAAGCAGCCACACACAATAAAACCACAACCGCAAGCCAGCTGGAAGAGTCATGAGTGATATGTTGAAAACTACGACATTCAGGACGATGTCAAGCGATTCTTTGACGTCGACATTTCACAAGTTCGACAAGTCTTTTTCAGAGATCTCGATGAAGAGAATGAAGATGTTGAATTCTTCTGTTCGACATTGACATTCGTCAAATTCTTCCGTCTCTTCAAGCTGAGGAAAGAGCTGAAGTCCAACGGAGCATCTATGGTAATTTATTATACTCCTATCTTTCCAAGGTTTCAATCGAGTAAGTATCCCTCAGCTTACTTTTGTAAGACTTCACAGGCAACCAAGATAAGCTATCATCGCAATCAAGACTTTGAGGTTGAAGCGGAAGACCGAAAGCACATATGCCCTGTAGAGGGCTGTGGTGAAACTTTCCGCACTCGCATGCATGTTATTTTCCACCAACGTAACAGGCACCCCGGGTATGCTACCGAAGAGGACAAAGCAGCCGCACTTACGTGCACCCATTGCAGCAAACCATTGTCTCGCCCGGATGCATTGAAACGGCATCGCATTGTGTGGCTTTCCCGCACCGATATTGAGCAGCCTCCGCCCCAAAAAAGAAGGAGTCGAGGGGAAGGCTCTGATTCATACTCGTGTCCTGCGCTTGGTTCTATGCCCAACCCGACTGATAACGGGCCAAAGCATTACTACAACTTCACAGCTGCGGACTCGCTCCAACTCCCTCCCCTATCAACAAACGTATAGTCCACCGCAAAAAGGTAAAAACAGTCCCTTGCTTTCGTGGCGATGTTCATGAAGGACTATTACGACCGACGCCATCAGAGGTTAACCTTCAAAGTCGGCGAATGGGTCTACGTGAAGCTCGGAAATGGGTACGACATTGCAGGCTATTGAAGGGTATATAAAAAGGCATTCAGTACTGGGTGCCTGTGATCAGCGTGACAAGATATGGTACGCAAAGGGGCCGGACTCGTTCAATTACTTTTTGAAACGACCCTGACGGTTGACTAGTTTGACTTGGTTGCGAAAGCCAAAAAAAAAAAAGCAATGCACCGGCCGGGATTCGAACCCGGGTATCCACCTGTCCTATGAATGGGAGCTTAGGGCAGGTTAGCTTTTGTGACGGGCATTTACAACTGCTTTTCACTTACGGAGGCATCTTGACCACTGGATAACCGGTGCTTCGTCCAACGTATTCTCAACATTTACCAGGCCTTGACTACATCTCGGGACCCAAGTTCAGAATCGATTTCGTGCCATAGAACCTAACAAACTCCAATTGATGGCTGTAGATACGACAGGTTATTAGATTAGAGTAGGCTATTTTTGAATCTCATGAATTGATACTTATATCCCGGACTTTGTGGTCTCTCCGTGAGTAAAACTATCTAGAATGGAAGTATAGTCGACTGTCTCTTCCCACCAACAAATGTTTTCAAACTTCCACGAAACTGGACAGTTCCCGTGGTACCCTGAGGTGCATCGATATTTACACGAAGGGACTCGGATGTACTAGTAAGCTCCCATGAAACTGACAAAGTTTCTCCTGATCCCGTAACCACCTTCGCACTCGACTTCTTTAACCCCATCTCTACGCCGGTTTCTGGCGCCAAGAGCCACTCATTATATCCAAAGCCTGCAGGGCCACTGGCTGGTCGCAGGCCGGTGGCCCACTCGGTTAGAACATAAGTCGCTGCTCCGCCCCACGGATGGCCGAGACTCGTGAAGAGTGATAAACCAGGTGATTTATCAAGCGCGAGATACTCCCAGCTGGCGCCTGTGGACGTGGTGTCGTTACCAATGCCTGCTTCGCCCATCTTGTGAAGCATTGGTCCCCATACCGAGACCAGAAGATCTTTAGCGGTAGTGGAGGCGTTACTCATGAAAAGTGCAGGCAATAAAAAGCCGTTTGTGTTGGGGGAAATCGACACGAGTGGATCTGAAGCACTAACAGTGGTGTCTGCTTTGTAGCCCGGTCCGAGTTTGAGCTCTCCCAGGACTTTAGTAGACACCATCTTCGACTTCTGTGTTGAATTAGCGACTCCAGAAGTGATGCACCAAGCGATATCGGAGACACCGAAGTCCTGGTGTGACGATCGGCTTGCTGAATATGAGCCCAGATTATCATTCCAGAGGTGCTTGTTGATGGAATGAGCCAGCATTTGCGCGGATATCTTATATTTGAGTTCATCGGAGCTGTGGCCCAGTGCTGCAGCGACCTCAGAAGCACCGTTGAGTGCTTCAACCGCAAGGCAGCTCACAGCCGAGCCACCTGAATTGGCACCCACAAAGGCGCTATCCAGATCAACCAACCCATCAGTAGAATTCACCGTCGTAAGTAGCCATCCAAGCTGCTTCTGCCATTTAGGCCATGTTTTAGCGGCGTATTGAAGATCGTTCGACTGCTTAATGGTGTGGTAGAAGCCCAAGAATCCAAGCATCTGGTAGTCCTCCAAAGCAGGGTATTTTCCTCCGGTAGTGAATGCATCAATGGTGGTCGATGGGTCGTATCCCATACTAGCCGCATAGCTCAACTCCCCATTAGGGGCCTGGGTATCCAGAAGAAAAGAAAGCGTGTCTCGTGACCGATCGAACTGAGAGCTGCTCGCGCCAATAATGCGGGAGGTGTGGTAAAAGTCTCCTAGCCAGATCATGCGGTCACGTTTAGGCCCGTCCAGCATACGGTCGCAACATTCGCTTGATTTCCATATCGAGCAGATGCTCCCTTATCGCGTAGATTGTCTTTGTATAATAGCGTACCATTCGCGCTGTCATAGAGTCTGGCATTGCGAACCCATGCGGATTGGTCTTGGTAAGCGCCAAACCCAATGGCACCATTAAGTGGAACTGAACCCCCCTGTATAGTAATCACCAAGCGAAACATCAAATATCTTCTCACCATTTATCTGAACAGAAATGCGATCTCCACCCGAGAGAATGGTGGTAATATTGTACCATTCTTTTTCATGCACATCAAATGGCACGGTAAATGTATCGAGTAGAAGTGTGTCAAGGGTTGTTTGGTTGACAAAGCCGTATCCTTTTGCTAATAGAATGCTGTTCGCGGGGGTGAGGGTTGTATTAATATTTGCAAATGTAGTCTCCTTGGGCAGCTCTCCTGTGAGTAAAAGCTGAAGCCCAGATCCGTATGTCATAGGTTGGGCCTATTCCCGCAAAGGTGAGCACTAGAATGGCCAAACATAGCGAAAGAGATGCCTACCACTGTCCACCATAAACCAGCTCTTTCAATTTTTGTCTCAAATTGTAGGGTGTAGTTTTCAAACGATCCGGTTTCGAAGTTTGGCGAAGCCCTCATACCCTGCACCAATGCACCCTGCGCAGGATCGATTGTCCAAACCGGGCCCTGTGTTCCTTTCTCGAGACATGCGAGGCCAGCTGCTTTTGCCCCGAGCTTCCAAATTTCATTGAATAATTTATTGTCACTATGAAATTGGCTTGGATATTTCTCGGGATCGATGTCGCTAACGGTGGGTACGAATCCAACACGAGTGAATGAAACACTCTGTCCGGCAATCAAACGAATAGACTGCCATCGCTGGCCGCCCTGTATCAAAGGAGATTGTAGCTTTCCAGTCTTGGTGATATTGAAGGTTTCAACTCGAAACGCGTTGGAGAGGCCGGTTGAGAAAGTGTAAGGCCCATCTCCCCATGGGTGCTGCAGCCCATGGTACGGTTCACTATACTTCACTTCAATCTGTACCGGGCCATCTATTCTGCTTATTTCAAAAAACGGAAACCCAGCAACCTCTGTGCCATAGTCAATGGTTGCAACGGGGGACTCGGAGTTGAGAATTAGAGTTGAAGAAAGGCTCTCTGGCCATTTTACTTCTTCCGCTGTAATGAATGACTTCGGAGTGAAATCACTAGGAATGTCAGCTTTCCATAGCAATCGAAGTTCGGAAGGATCATCAAACTCACTGTGAATGGCTCACAGCTGCAGCCTCAGAAAGCGAAAGAAAACTTTGACTCCAGGCATATACGCCTAGAATAGATTTGAACTTCATCGCCAGCTGATCTTGGTTGAAGACCCTGGGGCTGACCAGGGACAGGGGTTTCCAAGGCATGGATCCCCCTTTAAACCATGATTTCATACGCAGAGATCTTGGTAAATGTGGAGTTTGGGTGATCTTTCACCGAGGTAATTCCATTTATACATACATTTTAAAAGTAGAAGATCGTCTAAATGTTACGCGATTTTTGGCGATTTTCGACAATTGCTTCACAACCAATGATTTACTACGCACGAGTGGTACCACTTTTCTGCGTAATTGAACGAGATATATTTCAGCTACCGCTTTACTTATAGTCTTGAAATGGCTCTCTATCCCGACTGATCAGCAAAATGAAGTCAGAGGGAGGTGGAGGTGGATCAGGTCAACAAACCCTCCCCACATTCCGGTCGGCAATTCCGAGAATCACCATGCCGAGAACCGTCATGAAGCTTAGAAATCGAAGCGATTTACAATTTTGAGCATGAGAAGAGTTAAATTGTCGACTTCTACGATTAATCTTCCACGAAGAACAATTGATACTTACAGACCCTCATATGAAGGAATGAATGATATGGTTTAACTAGCAAGCAAAGGTTGACCGAAGACTAATAGAAAGTGCAGACTCGGACAAACCGAGAAGGAAGCCCAGCAAGATGTAGAAACAATTGACCCTCGCAAGAGTATGCACCGTGTCACTCTATATGTATCTCTAGCATAGAATTGGTAAATCAGATATCTCAAATAATGCAATGATTGCGGGCTGTGAATGTGACGTGCCCGAGGTGGGCGCAATGGCGTGTCGGGGTAATTGCGGGGAAATTGCTGGGCAACGCTGAAGAAATCGGGACAAGAGGGGCTGGGAGCGAGAGTTGAACCATGCGATGAGAACAGTTTGGCAGTAAAGCACTGCTGCCTGGCAGGAGTCGGACCCTTTTGCAGCTAGATGTTTTATTATGGTTTTGTGACTTTATTAAGATATGACTCCACACATTTACTGTAGTATTTGTTACACTATATGCGATGTTTGGCCTGTTATTGTTTTCTGCTCGGAGGTCGATGAAGAGTTTGTAAAGGAAATCGAACTAGATCGAGTTGGAAGAATACAGGGAAAAATGCCGAAAGAAAACACGCGCGAGCTCGCTAATTTCTTTTCAAGGGAGGGGCTCTTTGCCAAGGCGTTTACTATGGCGCACCTTTCTCGTTGGCGATTGATGGAAAATGAGTTGCTAAACTAGACTTTACCGGAATTAGCCTTGGCTTCGTCTACAATCAGGACAATTCCGGTGGGATGATCGGAGTCGCATAGTGGGTTGACGATAGTACTCTCAAATTTGAAGATTTAAAAGCCACATCAATGAATCCCAGTAAGAATGAAAGAAAATAAAACAAATGTTCTACTTTCAATCTCTGGAACGCACTCTTGTGGCTATGAAGTTTCTCAATGTGTTGGCGCTCGCCGCGACGGTGCATGCCGCAACCATCTCTCACTCCAAGTCTCCAAGTGCCGTTGACAATGTGACCATCTTCTCACCCCCTTCCGACTACAATATTCCAAGGACACTCTATGCACGCAATGAACAGCTTCCCAACGGCGATCTTCTTGCGACGTGGGAGAATTACTCTCCGGAGCCGCCTCTGGTCTACTTCCCCATCTACCGCTCGAAGGACTACGGCAAGACTTGGAAAGAGATCTCCAAGGTCCAGGATACCGCTAATAAATTCGGCCTCCGCTATCAACCGTTCTTGTATTACCTGCCGGAGCGCATTGGCTCTTTCAAGGCAGGCACTTTGCTCTTGGCCGGGAGTAGCATTCCAACTGATCTTTCCTCTACGAATATTGATTTGTACGCTTCGAATGATGATGGCCTGACCTGGAAGTTTGTGAGCCACATCGCAGCTGGTGGAGAGGCCATTCCAGACAACGGATTAACGCCGGTTTGGGAGCCCTTCTTGCTTGCCCAGTAAGTTTTTCGCCCCTTGGTCATCATTTTGGCTTTCTTCTAAATTAGCTACTCGACAGCAACGGCAAGTTGATTTGCTACTACTCTGATCAAAGAGATAATGCAACATATGGACAAAAGTTGGTCCACCAAGTTTCAAACGACCTAAAGAAATGGGGAGATGTTGTCGACGATGTGTAAGAATGATGAAGCCTCTCACCCCCAAAGGTTTACTAACAGCTCGTCAGCGCCTACCCTACTTATACCGATCGACCAGGTATGCCCATTGTGACAAAGGTAAGAAAAAATGACTCTCATGAGAATGAAATATTGAACAAAAATACTGACATGTTTCTAGCTACCGAACGGCAAATATTTCTACATTTACGAATACGGCTCTTTCTTTAACACGTCATCTTATTCGTTCCCCCTCTACTACCGCATCGCTTCTAACCCCGAGGATTTCCTATCGGCTGAGCACCATAAGCTTATTGTGTCAAGTGGCACGAAGCCCACTTCTTCTCCATATGTTGTGTGGACCCCGTATGGTGGCAAGCATGGAACTCTCATTGCTAGTTCAGGAACGCAGAGTACTCTCTTCATCAACAAGAACCTGGGCGACGGCGAATGGACAGAGATCGAGTCACCCGAGGGACACAGCTACACACGTTCACTCCGAGTCTTGGAGGGTAGCAATGGACGCTATCTGCTCGTGAACGGAGCAGGTGTCTTGTCTGGAACTAGTAACACGGTTACCGCCACAGTGATGGACTTGAAGGATGTGCTTTGAATGCCGCCATAGTAGAACTTTTGGATAGCATTAGAAGTTTCGATGTCTAGATGAAATGATTATTCAACAATCCCCCAATGGCAATTTGCGAAGCTGCATATATTGAAGATTCTCGTGTCTATGAGCAGAATTCCAGAGCTAGAAGGGTATAAATCTCATCCATCTGTCGCAAGCTATCGACGTAAACCCATTCTTCTTTCGCGTGTAGGCCCTCGCCGGAAGGACCAAAGACAATTGACGGAATTCCAGCTTGACCAAGGAAAGCTGCATCGCACCAAAAAGGCATGCTCTGGACTACAGGTTTGTTGTTGTGACCGAAGACAGTGGTTCCACAGGCGATCGCCTTCTGTACGAAGGGATGGTTGATGTCTAGCTTTTGGGTCGGACGAGACATTGTGACGCGTGGCTCGGTGTATTTAAAGCTCGGTGCGTCCCAGCTGATCTTTCGAAGCATCATAGATAAATCGCCAATGATGGACTCTTCAGTTTGTGACGGAACGGTACGAAACTCGATGGTAATCGTGCATTTTCCAGGGTAAGAAGAAGGTTCCTGGCCACCTTTAATCAAACCACAATGCATCGATCCTTGACCCAGAAGGTCGTCAACAGGCAGCTTGGCTTGATACTGCTCAAGTGCTTGTAAGAAACGCCATGACTGAAGAATTGCGTCCTCGCCAGAAACTGGATCGGATCCATGAGCTGCGACTCCCAGGATATCGACTTCTGCCCACACAAAGCCCTTGTGAGCTGTGGCAATGACATGAGAAGTTGGTTCCGCAACAACTGCTGCATCTGCCCTCCATCCAGCGGCCAGTATATCCCGGGTTCCTTGAGAAGCATCTTCTTCATCCGAAACAGCAGCAATGATAATATCACCACGGGGCACCTGGCCACTGGCTTTGATCAATGCAACAGCGGCAAGTGCCGCCGCTAGGCCGCCCTTCATGTCAAGGCAGCCTCGTCCAAATACCGCCTCCTGTTCGTTTTTCATCTGGATAGTTCCTGAAAGGGGATCTGCCTCGTAACTTGTGAGACTGACAGTATCAATGTGGCCATTGAACATCAACGATTTCCCGCCTCCACTTCCACGGAGAACACCGACAATTGAAGGCCGTCCAGGAACTGCCTCTACGCGATGATATTCGATATCACGATGAGCAAACCAGGCCTCAAGGTAATCAGCAATCTCACTCTCTCCTACACCATCTTCCACTGAAAGCGTGGGATTCGATGAGTTGATTTGGGTGAGTGTCTGGGTTAGTGCCACGGAATCCTCGCCGGACACGTCTCGAGGGACAGGGTACTCGCGGGCACCTTCTGTGCTCAGAAGCACCACAACAGAGTCTTTGTCCAAGAATGAGGCATCTTGGTCTGTTATCAAATGCCGAAGAGCAGCAAGGGAGGCACCACCACAAGGACCAGCCGGGACCGACTTTGATGTCAGATACTGCACAGCACGGTGGCTTTCGTAGGATGAAACTGTGACGGAGGCATCAACAAGTCGCTGCAAGTCCGGCCAAGCGGTAGAAGAAACAGTCCCACAGTTCATACCGTTCATGATGGTAGATGGGGTTCTGACGGTAATTGACTTGCCGGCCTGCAAACTTGCTGATAGACAGGGAGCAGAGTCGGGCTCAACTGCGACAACGGATAAAGGTGTTTCTCGAGACTTGCAATATTTGGCCACAGCATGGGCAAGGCTACCCACACCAACCGGAGTGATCATCACATTGGGAAGGAGATCCATTTCGGATGCTTGTTTCTCAACTTCGTTCATCATGGTCGAGTATCCCTCCACAATCCAAGAGGGAACTTGCTCATATCCTTCAAATGCGGTATCTTGAATCAACAGCGTACTTTTTTCCTGGCATCCGCGATTCGATGCCTCTTGCACTGCATCATCATAAGACCCCTGCACGACAACGACCTGGGCACCCTCCGAAGAAATCAGCTTGATTGTGGCTTCCGGCATGGAGCAGGACACGAAGATCTGGGCACTGATTCCCAGCAAGCGCGCCATGAATGCAACTGCTCGTCCATGATTACCCTCCGATGCTGTCACCAATGCAATTGAGTTTTTCTTAGCCTCAATCGAGAGCTGATCAAGGTTGACGGTAGGAGGCAGTCCAAGCTCTTGCGCGACAGCCCGGAAACAGCCCCACGAAGCACCCAGAACCTTGAAAGAGGGAAGTCCGAAGCGATTACTCTCATCCTTGACAAGTACCGCTCGAATGCCCAATTCAGTCGCAACCTCGGGGAGAGACACTAGCGGAGTTGGCGCATAGTTGGGAAGCGATTGGTGGAACTCAGCTACGCCGGCGGGCAGCGCAAGACGGAAGCGCTCATCTGCGGCAGCGGGGTTCAAATAGATTGGTCGTCTAGAAGTCATAGCGAATGAATACCGACCGTGTCGTGTATTTTGCTACTGAATTCCACCACCAGGCGAGGGGCTTGTTAATCAATTAAATTTGACGACGGTCGCGGGACGTTCGGCGTGGTGGGGAAAGCCTTTCAGCGACATCCCACTACACACACGCCTTCTGGTAACATGACGGGGTGGAGCTCGCCACAAGAAAAATCCCCTTTCATAACCGTGGATGGCGATAGTTCGGATAAGAATATTTTGGGCTTATTTTGATGACAAGGACGCCTTCTTTAAACACCCTTTAGTCCGTCGCTCATTCAAGTTCAAGTATCTCAGGGCGTATTCAAATTTTCCTCAAGGTTTGCTACTAGTAGTATCTGGTAGGCAAAATATTTGTCACATCTAGAAAATTATGAAGAGAGACGACATACGGAAGGAGAGAAATGTGAAGCAGAGGGACCTCGGGAAAGACTGTGCATCCATGCTAGACCTTAATAAAGTGAGGGCTTTGGTCGCCTGCCTTATGGGGTGGTTTGTCTCTTCAATTTTCCTCTGTTTTCAAGTACTACGCTATGGTGTCTAATAATCACATATAAATTTACACCGGGGAAACATTCTTTTTGGGCCTTTCACAAACAAATAATTGCTCTATCAGATTTTCTAGTCTTTAGCTATATAAGATCGCTTGATATTTGGAAGAATGGTTGCTCTTTATGTTTCGCCATTAAATCCCGCGGCTCTCGTTTGCACGGGATTGATCAAAATGCACAACTGACTCAAGTAGAGCTTGAGTACCAATGGCACTAATAAAGATATTAGTATCGAAAAATTCTTAGGTTGCGCGGGATCGTGGTACACTTACCAATCTTCATGGGTGGAATACTCCGTAGGTGGTGGCTAACGCCATCCTTGCAAGGGATGAAAATCATGGCAGTTGGGCAGTGCTTGCTGGTATAGACACTGTCATGGCCAGCCCCACTAGTCATCAAGATCGACTTCTGGGGGCCGACAATGTGGTCTGCGGCTGCCTTGATAGAGGAAATGCAGTCATTGTCAAATTTGACAGCAGGGGAGTCTGTGTCGAGAGTCCAATTATACGTTACTCCTTTTCCATCTTGTAAGGCGATAGCCTCGAATGCCTTGAGGCACTCGTCCTGAACGATATGAACGACACTATCATCCGGATGGCGAATGTCAAGAGTAAAGGTGACTTCAGTGGCAATCGTATTCGTAGAAGCGTTTGAAGGAACTCTAAGGATACCGGTGGAGGCCAGGGCATCGTGTTTCATAGCAATGTCATTTGAGGCGGCGATCATTCGGGATGCCGCAAGCAAGGGGTCGTGACGGTTAGCAAGAGGCGTAGTTCCTGTGTGGGCATCTTTGCCTTGGATGGTGAAAGTCAACCATCTGTATCCCTGAGCTCCCTGGACGATACCAATTTTGCAATCGTTAGCTGGAAGAATAGGACCTTGCTCGATGTGAAGCTCGAAATGTGCTCCAAGGGGGTATCCCTTTGATGAGCATTCCAAATCACCAAGATACCCGTGTCTTTCAAGCTCGGACTTGAGAGACACATCGGGGTTGTGAATATCGCGGAGATCCCATGCCTTTTGAATAGGAATGGCGCCGGCCCAAACTCCTGAGGAGCACATGGACTTGGGGAAGCGCGCTCCTTCCTCGCTGTGTCTCAAATCAGCAAAAGTTGCAAAGACTAAATATCAGCCAGAACATACTTTGTCCAGTTTACCACGCCGACATCGTAATTAGTCTCAAAATTGTTCTCCTTCATCGTGCGCAGGACCTCCAATGCAGCCATTACACCCAAGATACCATCATAACGACCACCACGAGGCTGAGTGTCGAGATGACTTCCCATTGCAATCATTGGGGCCGAAGACTTCAGACTGCCAGATTTCCGAGCAAACATATTACCCATCTGGTCAACTGAGAGAGTGCATCCCAATTTCTGAACTTCATCGGCAAACCAACGTCGCACACGTGCATCGTCATCATTCAGAGTCAATCGAGCCATGCCTGTATCAGTTGGGTTCCTGTATTCTTGTAAGTGGTTTGTCGATAGGTATAACCGAGTATGAATCACAACACATACTCGCCATAACGATGAGCTGCACCCCATTCACAAGTCTGATGCAAAGTCTCCCAAAGCCGATCGGCATTGATTTTGAGCGCTGCTGGGGCATGAACTCGAGGGGCGGATGAAAATGCCCGGGTCGCATTGAAGCGCAAGGCGCGTGTCGTGCGCGTTACTCCGTACATTATGCAGACGTGAGATGTGACGGGGTAGAAAAATGTACCCAGTAGGAAGGAAGTAATATGGAGCGTGACGATATGGACACCTGGGCAACCAGGCTTGGTTCCAAGGTTGTTTTATATATCTGGCCGAGAGTGAGTGACACTGGCAGACCGTCGGGTCGTCAAACGTCTAACGAGGGGCAAATAGGACCTGACAAACGCCTTCTTCTGACAGAGAGTGGATAGAGAAAGGAAGACAACCTCTAGGCCCAAGCTGGTTGAATAGAAGCAGCGAGTAGTACTTTCCGATGGACTCGGCCAACATCGAAAGTGAATGGCGGAGACGTCAAAAGCGGACCCATTCGGCTCGGGCGCCTTCCCGCGACATCTGCGAAATTCTAAATTTCTTCATTCTGTCCCAACCCTCATGAGCCAATGGAATGGGCTGCATTTGAATCACTATATCTAAATTTCTGTAGGGATTATAATTTCTGAAGCTCTTCGTTGTACTTTGAAAAAAGGTGTTGATGTTCAATTTGACAATCGTCACGGTGGTATAGCGAATGTTGATACAACCTTGAGTGTAGTAGGTACAGACCAGCCGAATAAATCCTCCTAACACATCCATAGTAACCCAAGTAGCCCAAGTCATGAATAAAAGTTGCCCGAAACAAATAAGAACTCCGATATATCATTCCTTCCCACAAAAGACATCCAAAATCCTCCATTGAACGCCTTATTTGGCATACCCTTTGCCGCGGCAGCAACTGCCAAAGCACTGATCTCCTGGGAATGGTCAATATTTCTGAATGGGTCTCTCTAGGTGCAAGAATACCGTTGTAAGGAATCGGCGCTGTCTGACTTGTTGCCCTCGGCCTTGAACCTTTAGAAGATGCATCACTGTGACGGGTTAGAGGACATGACGTCACGAAAATCGCGAACACCTTACTCAAATGTTCTCTCGGATTGGTTATCGAATTCTTTCGTCCTGGAGGAGTCGTGTGTTGGCAAAATTGACAGCACCTTCTCCTTCAGACTCTTGGTATCATCTTGTCCAGACATTTTTGGTGTGTGGTTTGGATCTGTTATTGGCACGAAATGGTTGCCAAGACTTGATATACTATCTTGATAGATATTGTTCTTGTGTTGTCACGGTGAACTTCAAGTTGAAATCTCTAGTTTTTCTTGAGATACAGAACGCAGTTTGATCTTTTTCTCAAAAATCCGGGGAACCTGGCCCTTTCATATACCTTCCCCGGAAAGCTATTTTCAGTCTGTTGATTTAGATCGGCAAATGAAGGTGACGTTGGGTGGATCCTGTGTGACACAGAAGTATGTCGGCGGACGCCGAAGTCCATGCCCCTGGCCACCAAATTCCCTATCGGTGATCGAATCTTCGCCGATTTCATCCTCGATCGCTAGTAAATCTAAGCATTGTATTTAATTTCCCGTGGGAAATAGGGTCGAGCACCTTCACCGATCAGGGCATCGCCTTGTGATTGGCGACCCGCTCATCTGCCACGATCGGGCCATAGTCTCAACCTTCCTTAATAGGCGCTGTCTTTGTGAAAAGGAAAGATGGGCGAGGAAATTGTTACCTAACGGCATCTCATCGGTGGCTGAATACGATGCGACATGTCAATAAGGTACGACTATTAATTAGCACATACTCGTCATCTCTCGCTCTCTCTCTCCTTGCCCTGGAAGCTCCATGGTTCATTCTTGGGTTTCTAAGTCTATTCTAGAATATTGTCTTTAAAGACCATCCACGGCAAACGCCTCTAGCTATAGCAAATGCTATTGCAGCCGAAAGATAAAGGACACCGCCAAATATGATCAGATCGTCGTATTCTCCTCCGTCACGCTGCTGGATCGCCCCTGCAATGGGGATTCCAGTAAGGGTTCCAATGCTGACGATCGTGAACGTGGTTCCATTTCTTTTACCGTAATCCTGCGTGGCGCAGACCTGAGAGATACATACTGGCGTCAAACTGATTGCTGCTCCACTCCAGAAGCCAAACAACACAGCGTAGCAGATGATCGCGGCGAGATTGTCGCCTGATTTCAGCCACAGTGCGAGAGTCAAGATGGCACAGACAAATGATGTCAGCACCATAACATTGAAACGACCCAAGCGGTCGGCTATCAAGCCGGGGAAAAAGCGCCCAGGGATAGCTCCCAAGTTCAGGAAGGCGATGAGTAGGTATGAGATCGTGTCGCCGACTCCAACATGGATGGCATACGATGCAATATACGTGATAGGTATAAAGACGGCAAATTCCACCAGGAAAACCGCGACAGTAGTGACAGCATAGTGGGGATCTTTCAAGGCGCGAAAATCGACCATAGCACCGGATTTGAGGTTTGCCGGTAGCCTAGTCTTCAAGAGAAGACACGCCAATGTACACATGACGACACAGAACAGTGCAATGATTCGGATCGCCCACGGGAATCCTATCTTAGGGGCCACGAAGAGGATTATCAGGGGAAACACTACGCCTCCTATGCCGCCCGCCGTGCACGCAATTCCTGTAGCATAACCTCTTCGCAAATTGAACCAATGACCAACTGCCGAAACAGCTGGAGTGAAGAGTGTGCAAGCTGAAAGACCTCCGAGCACGCTGAAGGAAAGGAATATTTGGTAGTATTCTGTAGTTGTTAGAAGCTATTCATAAGAATATTATTTGAAGGCAGCATACCTTCGCTGAAGCTGAAACATATAAGAGCTATCACCATGCCGAACGAACCAGGTATGATGACATAGTTCGGCCCATATGCATCAAAAATTGGTCCTGGCCATGTATGGTTAGCACAAAAACCAAACCATGCAACGCTAAATGGACTGTCACCTACCCGCTTGGGCCCCTGCAAAGTATAGAAAGAAGCCATAAGCGCCAAATATCCAACCAATACTGGATTCTGAATAATCTTTAAGTTGATGTGTGCTGGTCCATGCGTGAAGAATCCCGAGGCTATTTAATAACCCCATGGAAGGAATCATGGCACACCATGCCCCGAGCACAACCGACCATGCTTTCCACCCCCCCTTCGGGATAGTCGTCATTATCGGGAGAAGCTTGCAGTTCTTCAAAAAGAGTCGTCGAGTTTTCGATTCTGCCTTTGGCATGCGGGGCTTCCTGGTCTAGCATGATCTAGAGTGGCAGTTAAGAAATTGCACAGGTATTTCTTTCACCACTCTAAGTAGAGGGGATTGGCAAGTCTATAAACCTCGCAAACATATTGTCAGACAGCTTATGAAATCGCTTATTGAAGACTAACTCGGTGAACCCTTCGGCCCGAAGCATTTATGTCGGTCGTAACATTTTTTCATGGACAAGATATTGTAGTTGGGGTTATGGTTCGGCGAAACTGATCGCTCATTGGATGATCCGCCGCCCAATTGATTGCTAATCCGGCGACAGTTAAAAACGGCCGGCGAAGGCGACGTCTGATTGACCAGAATTATCATCACGTTATATCATTCATCTCTCTGTTCTTCAGGTAGATCGTTGTCTTCAAGAAAGCCGCATCGCGTCAGGCCACTCGGTTCAGACCAGACTGGATTTCAAAATATGAATTTTTTGAAAAGCCAAAGATATACGAACCAGGCCGTTTGAGTGAACCTGAATTTATAAAAAGCCGGACGCCTTCTTCCAACATCAAACGCCACCCAATCAACCCACATGTTCGGCGAACCTCTTTCTATCTAGAAACAATCCCCCAGTCTAATCAAAATAGATGAAAATCAACAATTCGCCGCTCGTAATCTACGGTCGGCGATCTCGCACTGATCTGCTTCTTTGCGACCATGGCGGAACTCTTAACTCGGAGTGAATCGAATCGTCATTCAAAGTCCGCCCGCCCGTACCGATCAAAACGACACCCTCCGTGTGACCAGTGCCGTCGCAAGAAGCTACGATGCGAAGCTCAAGGAAACAAATCATGTCGGCGCTGCGAGGCTGCATCTTCGGAGTGTAGTTTCAATCTTGTCCTGCCTCGTCGATCTGCATTGCCAGAACTGAGACCATCGCCGATTGCCCATGAAACCATACCCGTCTTGCCCGATGCAAGCAACCTACCTGCCGAGAATCTCAATGATCCCACACATTTCACCAAAGCCTCGGGTTTCTCAATTACAGAGCCGGATATTCAGCCGGAGTTGAATCCAACATCCGTTGATGAGTTCTTCCTCCCTTCTCAGCCTGAATATTATCTCCCGGAAAGGCCCACGCCACAAGCCATTCAAACCCTAGATCAGCTAAAGGGATTCTCATCACAGGTCATCGGGGCATCGGGAGAATCAGATCCTTGGCTACTACGGCACTGCAAGTTTGATGATCACGGATTCCTCCTCTTCCATCAAGTTCACTTTCGTAATGCAGGTGGAGTACCGCTCCAGGAAAAGATTCCGGTCCATTTCCTGGTCACAGCAGACCAATTATACGAACAAACGAAAGATGAAACCAAATTCGCACCAAGGGATCAGGCTCGGGAGGACTTGAATGCTCTTGTTCCTTTGGATTGCGGCCAGAGGCTGGTATCGTTGTGAGTTATTCTTTTCACATTCAGATTTATCAATACCGTTCATTACTAAGACCAAGCGAACAGGTTCATGAAATTTATCTTTCCAGATTTGCCCATTATATCACGCTCTCAATACGGACTGTCAACATCCCAACCCGCCCCAGAGCAACAAATCCTACAGACAATACCAGTGCACCTCCTCGCCGCAATCTACGCCTCTGCCCAACCATACGCCAAATTCGACGAGTACCTCTGCGTCGTAAACGCCTACTCCGTCCCATCCACAGACAGACTTTGGCGCCTTGTCTTCGAACTATTATTCGAGGAGTTACATACACCCCATCTAGCCACTTTACAAGCAGGACTCCTTTACCTCCACAAAGCAAGCGAAGGCAAGAAAAGCGCCGTGGCAGACAGTTCCTTCGTCTGGTCCTTCGTCGGTCTACTAGTCGGCCTCGCCACGTCCCTAGGCCTCACACTAGAATGTAAACCTATGGGTCTCCCAGCCTGGGAGCGACGTCTACGCCGGCGATTATGGTGGGCCGTCTATGCGGAGGATAAATGGCGCAGTCTGATGATGGGCCGACCGCCCTATATTCGAGAAGATGAGTGGGACGTGACGGATCTCGATGATGATGATTTTCGAATCGACCAGATGCAAATTGACTTTTTGTTGTCGCCTAGTGACGAGTCGCTGCGTGGTGTGGTGCATGTGAGGCAGTTTCAGCATTTCGCGCGGTTATCGAGGATAGCGGATGAAGTGCAGGTTCGCTTGTTGTGAGTAATTCAATCGCCTTTTTTCAATTCTTGATTCGTTCAGCTAACTAAGTACTATAAGCTCTCTTCGCGCATCGCAGCGGCTCTCGTCGAATTTTGACGCATCTCTCGACACGGCTCGGGGTCTACTCCAAAAGCTGAAAGAGTGGTATTCACTTCTGCCGCCACAACTCAGACTGCAGAATCGATTGTTTGCGACGATTGATCGGAGTGGACCGCGATCTCATTGCCTTCATTTTTCGTATCTTTTACTGGAAGTCTTCATCTTTCGCTCGTTACTTCGACCAATGGTCCGGTCTGCTGCGCCGCCGCGGTTATTCGAAGAAGATGAGGACCCGATAACCTTTACGAATATGGTTGATGATTACATCACTCAGATCATTGAGGCAAGTGAAGTTGAGCCTGTGCCTGCGATTGATATGTCCGATGAGCATGGTACCGGGAATGCGGTGCTCAAGGCGGCCGAGAATTGTGCAGCGACGATGCTGCGCTCAGTGATGAGAATGGCGTGTAGTGATTTAGCGGGGTTCTGGTACTCATGTAGGTGGATTTTAGACTTTTTTTTTGTTTCCTCACAGTCCAAATTTCTATTTCTACTTGTGCTAATGATTGGATAGGGTCGCGGGTAGGCTTTGCCACCGTCTCTAGCTTCATGATGCTATTGATAGTACAGGCACCGTCCAAGGAACACGCGCTACGAGCTCGGAGATTGGTGTATATGTGGCGACAAGCATTGCGAGGACAGAGCCAAGGCTGCGAATTGTTGAATCTGGCGCTTGTTCGGCTCGATGGTCCACATTGGACCGGGTTGGCGCGGAACTTTTTCCTTCCTAAGCATGTCAAGGAGGCTCTTGAGTGTACAATTGACCAATCATGAGGCGCGGTAGTAATCAAAGTAAGCCTTGGAAGGGGCAGGGACAGCCGAATCACAGCGATCGCATACGAGTACGGATTTTGGGAGGTTGAGACTGGAGATGAGCTGGAGATAATACGGTTTTTTCTCGGGGTGGATAGGTAGTCCATCCACACCAATCTTTGGGCGGAGCAAAAGGAACCAGCGGTTCGCATGGAGAGAACGTGAGCATGTTGTCCGGACTCCGTAATCGCAATTAGCGACGGGAGTCCGCGGGAATTCAATTGGTCGAGCGAATTTGTGTTTTCAAACTTCCCGAACTGGATGATCGGCCCCTGTGACCGGTGGGATGGACAATGGAAAATGGCACGCAGTGCAGATTCTGTTGGGGCCAAGTGGGATGAGTGGAGCGGCAGGAGTAGCAAGGTGAGACGCGGTGCAGGGTGCAGAGAAGCTGCATGCGCTATCATGTTTAAGGAGGTTAGCTTGGGTTTAGCATGGGATTAGTTGGAGTCGAGTGGGCATTAAACTTGTTAGTTTTGGTCCAGACGGTTCCCACTGATCTTCGCGGGCCTCACATGCTACAGTCGCACGGAGGGGTAGCAGATCAACGTTTAGGCGCAGTCCACCGTCTGCTACCGTGCAATGCCGCGATACGTTGAGTGGGAGTGCCCCTTCAGCAGTCGGATGGTCCAGCCCGATAGCCGGAGGCAGCAGGCGAGGGAGGTCCAGACATCGGGTCCATCCGCCATACAACCGGTAATCCCGGTTGAAGCGTTCCCCCTGGCCGTGGTGTGCAGACGAGCTGCCAGGCACGAAACCCCTTGGTCCCACAATTGACCAATTTCCGTTTCCCACCCCCACAATCCCAGTTGGCTCCCAGCGTGGGTGTGTGGTGGTACGGATACAGCCCGGACCTTTCACCGGTTTGATGCAGGCGCAGCGGGTGGGGACTGGATTTGAGTGTAGTACTATATGGTTTTTTTTGTAAAGCCTTGCGTGCTTGCAGCAGAGGGGCATGATTGATAAATTGACGATGTTGCCAGGTGTTTGTATTCGGACTCGGTGGTATTGGAGAGATTAAACTTCTAGCCGGCCCGGCTCGCTCCCAATGGGGTGTTTTGCCTACTTTGCACACTTCCATTCTGCTTACCTCATCCCCCCCCGCACCCGTGACGATCGGGAGCTGCTTACACGCGGGAGTTCGGGGGACACGATCTTGGAATTTCCCTGTGGTTCTCGATTGCGATGTTCATCCGGAGTCTTGGGTCTGGAGGGATCTCAGTAAATCTGACACCAAGAAATTATTCCCTCGGTCATCGGGGGAAAGGGGAATAAAATGAAATGACGTTGGACCGGGATTCCCAACAAAAGGGCCCTTGGCCCAGTTAGCTCTCTGGCTCTGGAAAAAGTGCCAGGGATAACCGCGGGGGTGATCATTTCGGACAAATGGTTCTCATGAGCAATCTGGCCATTCCATTTGAACCGGGCGGCATCCAATCCGAGCGAAGCAAGAATACCAAGAAGCCGGGGGGAGCGGCCCAAAGTGCATAGTTCCTTAGTTCCTCCGGGGCAACGGAAGTGCTCAGTCCCCCGCATGACCGAGCTAAGTGGCATGCACAGAGTAGTCGAGGATCACATTGGATAGATAATACCAGATGAATTAGGATATAGCTCTACACAATGGCTATAGCTGTAGAATATATACATATATTGATTATCTATTAATCTATTCAGCAACTATATAATACATCTGATAGTAATTAACTATCGTTACTGTAGTATACTCGTATACTACGTGCCGCTCGCAGTGACAGCCCCGCCGCATCCAGCCTTGACCCGAATCGGTGACAGCCAATTACTCCACCTCCCCAACCCAGCACTCTCCTAATATTTAATATTCATATTTCTCCCTCCACGCTGTACCTCGTTTTTCTTTTTCCCTCTCTCGCTTCGTCTCTCGAATTCTCTCTCCACCCCTCCCCCCTCTCCCCCATCCCGTGAGTGATTCCAACATTCCCACCTCCACTTCAAGCTCCCTCTTCCCACTACCCGCCACTGGCACTAACTTTTAACCCCCTCCTCTTCAGCAGACCTCTCTCCTAACACATTGAATTTACCTTCCATTGTGCTTCGGAGCTCACAAATATGTTCGGACGACCGTAAGCCCTCCGTGGTAAGTACCTAGTCGCACTGGCACCGCCGCGCCCGCCATTCTTTTCATCCCACCTTCCCCGCCGATCATTGCTAACCTATCCTCCTCAGGTGCTGGAAGCCCACGAGGTCGACACTTATCACGTTCCCAAAGCTTTCCACGACAAGCACCCCACCGGCACCCACATCAAGGATATCAATGAGTACCAAAAGCTTTATGACGAATCCATCCGCAGTCCGGACACTTTCTGGGCCCGCATGGCCCGTGAGCTGCTCACCTTCGACAAAGACTTCCAGACCACCCACCACGGCTCCCTTGCCAATGGTGATAATGCCTGGTTCGTGGAGGGCCAGTTGAACGCTTCCTTCAACTGTGTTGACCGTCACGCCCTGAAGAACCCCGACAAGGTCGCCATCATCTACGAAGCCGACGAACCCAATGAGGGCCGCTCCATCACATACGGCGAGCTCCTCCGAGAAGTCTCCCGCGTCGCCTGGACACTGAAGCAGCGTGGTGTCAAGAAGGGTGACACCGTCGGTATCTACCTTCCCATGATTCCCGAGGCCGTCATCGCCTTCCTGGCTTGCTCCCGTATCGGTGCCGTCCACTCCGTCGTCTTCGCCGGTTTCTCCTCAGACTCTCTCCGCGATCGCGTGCTCGACGCGAACTCCAAGGTCGTCATCACCACCGACGAGGGCAAGCGTGGTGGCAAGGTCATTGGCACTAAGCGCATTGTTGATGCCGCTCTCGAGCAATGCCCCGATGTCACCACTTGCCTGGTTTACAAGCGCACTGGTGCCGAGGTTCCCTGGACCGAGGGGCGTGATATCTGGTGGCACGAGGAGGTCGAGAAGTACCCCAACTACCTTGCCCCCGAGCCTGTCAACTCCGAAGACCCCCTTTTCCTTCTCTACACCTCCGGCTCGACTGGCAAGCCCAAGGGCGTTATGCACACCACTGCCGGCTACCTGCTGGGTGCCGCCATGACAGGCAAATATGTCTTTGATATCCACGATGATGACCGTTACTTCTGTGGCGGTGATGTCGGCTGGATTACTGGTCACACCTACGTGGTTTACGCCCCTCTGTTGTTGGGATGTGCCACCGTCGTTTTCGAGAGTACCCCCGCTTACCCCAACTTCTCCCGCTACTGGGATGTCATCGACAAGCACGACGTTACTCAGTTCTATGTTGCCCCCACCGCCCTGCGTCTGCTGAAGCGTGCCGGTAACGAGCACATCCACCACAAGATGAAGTCCCTGCGTGTGCTCGGCTCCGTCGGTGAACCCATTGCTGCTGAGGTCTGGAAGTGGTACTTCGAGGCTGTTGGCAAGGAGGAAGCTCACATTTGCGATGTTCGTATCTCTTTTCACTAATATTCGCGGTTCATCAGCTAATATACTTTGCAGACTTACTGGCAAACCGAGACTGGTTCCAACGTGATCACACCCCTGGGCGGTATCACCCCCACTAAGCCTGGTAGCGCCTCGCTTCCTTTCTTTGGAATCGAGCCCGCCATCATTGACCCTGTCTCCGGAGAGGAGATCTCCGGTAACGATGTTGAGGGTGTCCTTGCTTTCAAGCAGCCATGGCCTAGCATGGCCCGCACAGTCTGGGGTGCTCACAAGCGCTACATGGATACCTACCTGAATGTTTACAAGGGCTACTACGTAAGTGTTGAAATCGTTTCCATCCCCGATATAGTATTGACTCTTGTTTTCTAGTTCACCGGAGATGGCGCTGGTCGCGATCAGGACGGTTACTACTGGATCCGTGGCCGTGTTGATGATGTTGTTAACGTTTCCGGCCACCGCTTGTCCACTGCGGAGATTGAGGCTGCTCTCCTCGAGCACCGTAAGTTCACCATGAGGATAAAACCGGTCTTTCGATCAATTGCTGACTCTGTATATAGCTATGGTTGCCGAGGCCGCTGTCGTTGGTATCGCCGATGAACTGACCGGCCAGGCCGTTAACGCCTTCGTTGCCCTGAAGGAAGGCAATGAGACCAATGATGAGGTTCGCAAGGACCTTGTGATGCAGGTTCGCAAATCCATTGGACCTTTCGCCGCCCCCAAGGCCGTCTTCGTTGTTGAGGATCTCCCCAAGACCCGCAGTGGAAAGATCATGCGCCGCATTCTGCGTAAGATCCTGAGCGGTGAGGAGGACAGCCTGGGTGACACTTCGACGGTAAGATCTTCATCTCGATTAAATAATGTCGTGAATTGATCGCTAACTCGTTCTTGCAGCTGTCCGACCCCAGTGTAGTTGATAAGATCATTGCGACGGTCCACGCATCCCGTCGCAAGTGATCGGAAAATGAACGAAACAAACAAAATACTGGGTCTATGATTTCACGATAATGATTCAAAAGAGAATGAGTCTTTTTTGAACTTCTTTCTGGTTCCATTGCCATTGAGCATTATGCAGTAAGCCGCGTTGGGAGGGCCGATGACCCCGGCCCTCAGGCGCCCGAAATTGATAATTTCTTCTTTTATGAGTGTTGCCTATTTGATGTTTGAGATTCCCTGGTCTGTTAATCTAGCAGCGGTGTGAATATGATTTTCTTCTTTTCGGATTTCAATGATGTTAATTTATGAAAATTTCTTTGTTGTGTAGAGACACGGGACGTAGAGACATGGAGACATGGAGACGTTTGAGGGGCATAGTTCCCGTGTAGCTGTTTTCGGGTAGAGCTCACGAGAGCTTCCAATATTTATTATTGCCATTAGCCACCCAGCACGAGGGTTAGCAGCAGGAACACGGTATTTTCCCGAAACTAACCTACATTCACAGCTCCTGCAGCTGCATGCACCATTCCAACTTGAACAAAGCCTTCAACAACAAAGCGATTGAACTCGGGCACTTCCCCATGTAAGGCACCAACCCACTCACGTGACGGAGTGCAGTCCCCCGGAGGCTGACCTAAGCAAGAGTGCCTGGCTGAACTGGCACACCCGACTTTTCTGTCGCGTCGCTCCCTTCATCCTCCACGCGCTCATCTTTCTTCTCACTTTCACCTTGCTTCATCCATATCCGGAGTGCCGTATGAACCACTAATTCCTGAGCTTCAACCGACACTATGTCTTTCGGCTTTGGAGGTGGAGGATTCGGCCAGTCCAACAACCAAAGCAGTGGCTTTGGCACCGGATCTGGATTCGGTTCCAGCAATACTGCCGGAGGTAGGTCTTCTCTCTCTCTCTGTTCTGTGATTTCTATCCTTGCTTGGCGCTTTATTTTCTCAATCCCTTTGTGCTTTTCTGCTCTCCCCTCCGTGGCTCTTTCTCGACTGCTTCGCTCTGTCGGCAACAACCCGGTGCTCCCTGACTTCGACCCGCGATGGACCATGACACGCGCAAGGCCGCCAACCTCTCGCCTTGATAAACCTCAGTCGTGCCAAACGAAAACTCCCGCGGACTCTCTCGATGCTCAGCGACGCCGCGACAACGGAAATGGTCTTGTTGAAGGGGCCTGCTTGAAAAATCAGTCTCTGACCGCGATCCCTGCCCCGTCATCTAGGCTTCGGCTCCGGCTCCGGATCAACAACCTCCGCGTTTGGCGGTGGTAACACTGGCACTGCAGCTTCTGGTGGTGGTTTGTTCGGCAACACCTCCAGCGGCTTCGGCACCGGCGGAGGTACGTGCTCGGATATGGAGGAGTCTTGCGGGTTTTCTCGCTCAATGTCCTTTCGGTGTATATCTCGTCATATCGACAAATCTCGGATTCTCGACAGCCTACCCCAATCCTAAACACCTGCGAGGAATTCTTTGCGCACTGGTCCAGGATATGACTCGATGCCTTGGCTGGCTACTTCCCCGGAACTTGAGCGATTCGATCCCAGGACAAATTCATCTTATTGAGCTATAATTGCGCCTTTTAGATATTTCATTTATGGGGACTTTCTTTGACAATTGACTAACATGTACTTCTCCCGTCACGCAGGATTCGGCTCCAACAACAACACACAAACTCAATCTGGCTCCCTTTTTGGTGGCCAACAAAACCGTACCGGTGGCTTCGGAACCACCAATACCCCCAGCACTGGCGGAAGTCTTTTCGGAAGTACTGCGAACACTGGAAATGCCGGCGGATTCGGTTCCAGCACTGGCGGTGGATTTGGATCGGGAACTACAGGCGGGTTTGGCGCCAATGCCAATAGCAACACGAGCGGTGGTCTTTTCGGTGCAAACAAACCCGCCGGTGGTTTCGGTACACCCGCAGCCACTGGTGGAGGCTTCGGCTCCAACACCACGGGCGGCGCTTTTGGCAGCTCGACAAACACCGGCTTTGGATCTGGCGCGACTCCGCTAGCGGGCGGCGCAGTGGCTCCCTGCGAAGGCACTGGTTCTACCCCATTTAATCCGTTCACGGAGAAGGACACGAGCTCCAACACCATGAACCACTACCAGAGTGTCAGCTTCATGCCTCCATACAAGAACTATTCCTTCGAGGAACTACGATTGGCCGATTATGAGCGGGGCCGTCGCTTCGGAAATGGAAGCAACCAAGCAGGTGCATTCGGCTCCTCCAGCTTCGGAGGCAACACGGCCGGAACTGGCTTCGGTTCCCAGCAGAACACTACTGGCGGCTTTGGCGCCAACACCAGCACTCCTTTTGGCGCCGCTAACACAAGCGCACCATCTACCTTCGGATCTACCCAGACTGCCGGTGGATTTGGCTCCACAAGCAATTCCAACCCCCTCTTCGGGGCCAACAAGCCTGCCAACTCAATGTTCGGCGGCGGAGCGGCAACCACCCAATCCGGCTCTCTTTTCGGTGGGAACACGGCCACTGCTGGCACTGGCGGTGGATTTGGAAGCAGCGCAGGAACGGGGGGTGCCTTCGGTTCTAACACCAACACCGGTGGCGGCCTGTTCGGAGGAAATCAACCTGCCAAACCTGCCTTTGGTGCTACTCCTTCGACAGGTACAACTGGTGGCTTTGGCGCTGGTGGTGGATTCGGAGCCCAGCAAAACACCACCAATTCGAACCCCTTCGGTGGAAGTGCCACTACTGGATCCACTGGCTTTGGCCAACAACAACAGACCGGCGCTAGTGCCTTTGGCGGCGGCTTGGGAGCGAACCAGAACCAAACCCAGAATAAGTCCTTGTTCGGCGGCGGCACTGGTGGTGGCTTCGGCTCAAATACTCAGCAGCAGGGCACCGGCGGCTCCTTGTTCGGAGGCGCTCAAACTCAGCAGCCCGCAACTGGCGGAGGCCTTTTCGGCGGTGCTAACACCCAGCCTCAGCAGCAGGGCACCGGAGGGCTCTTCGGAGGGAATCAATCTCAGCCCGCGGCCGGTGGTGGCCTGTTCGGTGGCCAGAACCAACAGCAACAGAAGCCGGGTGGTCTCTTTGGCGGCGGCACTGGCTCTACAGGTGGTGGTGCATTTGGTGGCCTGGGTGCCTCTCAAACTCAGCAACCTGCTGGAGGCGGTTTGTTCGGTGGCCAGCAACAGCAAAAGCCTGGTGGCCTTTTCGGTGGCTCTACCGGCGCTACCGGGGGCGGCCTCTTCGGACAGAGCAACAACACCCAGCAGAATGCCGGATCCTCACTTTTTGGAAACCAGAGCCAGCAGCAACAGCCGGCCGGTAACAGCTTGTTCGGCGGATCCCAGCCTGCACCACAACAATCCCAGCCCGTTCCCGGAAGTCTGACTTCCTCCCTGCTTGGTGGTAACCCTTACGGCAGTCAGTCTATCTTTTCTGGCTTGCCTACTCCCGATGCTCCTTCCCCCGGTCCTCTAGCGACACCCCTCTCCTCCAGCATGAGGCAGAAGCAGCGAGCTCCCCTTCCTTACTCCATCACGCCCGGTGGAGCTAACCGCCTGTCCACTCCTCCGAAGCGCCAGGGATACGGTTTCTCCTACTCTCCTACGGCTCGCCCTCCAGCTCCAGCAGCACCCCCTCTGGCTTCAGTAACAGCCTTCTCGGTGGCGGTGGTGGAAGCAGTAGTCTTCGCGGCAGCATTGGAGGCAGCTTCGGCCGCAGCTTCAGCAAGAGCTACTCCACAAGTAACTTGCGCAAGACTTTCGACCCCGAGTCAGACAGTGTTCTGTCGCCCGGCGCCCTGCAGTCCAGCGGTGGACGTAGCAATGGTGGCAGCATGAAGCGTCTTACTATCGACCGCAGCTTGAGGACCGATCTCTTCGCTCGTCCCGCCAGCACATCACCTGCCCCTACCCTTACCAACGGCGATGATTCGACCCACCCCGATAAGCTCAAGAAGAAGGTCAGCTTCGACGCCAGCCCCTCGGCTGTTCAGGGCACTGAGATCGTCCGCGTCGAGTCCAAGAGCCCGGAGCCTACTCCCCAAGCCACTCCCCAAGAACTGGGCTTCCTGCGCTCCCAACGCCGCAGCGGTAGCCTCAATGGAATTGACGGAAACGGCAGCGAGCGTCCTGAGATGGAATCAATCAGCCGTGACCTCGCTGTGGTTCCTGAGAACGGCGAGCCTATTTCTGCTAATACCTCTTCCGTGAAGCGTCCCACCTTCGTTCCTGGCTCTGACCCTAAGCCTGGCGAGTATTGGATGAAGCCTAGCCGCGCCGAATTGAACAAAATGAGTCGCGATCAGCTCAAGCAAGTCGTGAACTTCACTGTCGGCCGTCAGCACTGCGGTTCGGTCACTTTCAATGGCGCCGTTGACCTGACTACAGTCGACATGGAGAACATCTACAGCAAAATCGTCGAGATTGGTGTGCGAAAAATCACTGTTTACCCCGATGAGACTATCAAGCCTCCGATGGGTAAGGGTCTGAACGTCGTCTCTACCCTTCGCATTGAGAACTCCTGGCCTCGTGGTCGTGATCGAAAGTCCCCGCTTCCCATTACCAGCGGACCCCTGTTTGATAAGCACATTGACCGTCTTCAGAAGGTGCACGATACCGAGTTTGTCGACTACGATACCCAGACTGGTACTTGGGTCTTCAAGGTTCCTCACTTTACTACATATGGTCTGGACTACGATGAAGATGAAGAAGGTGAGAGTCTCGACCAGAGTACCCTTGGAGCGGGTCCTGATGACAACCGTACTCCTAAGGCTCAGCCGGACCACCCAGTCAGCTTTGAGCAATCCGCAACCTTCTCAATCGACGAGTCTTTCGTTGGCTCTATGGCTGGAATCGACGATGATACCTTCGACTTCAAGAAGCGCAAGCTCGTTCCCGGGTCCTTTGGTAGCCAAGCTATGGAGATGGAAGATGAGGAGATGGGTTCTGAGGGCGAGACTGAGTCTTTTTTAGAGGAAGGCTCCACGGGTTCAACTACTGAGCATGAAGATGATGTCACCGAGAGCCAGCGCTCTGGCGACTCCGTAGTTGGATCTGATGAAGACCAGGAGATGGACATGGCGGGTTCCTTTCCACACCTTCATCATACCGTGGAGCGGGAAGACTCCCAGAGCACCGACGGTGAACTGGACACCACCCACCCAATCAAGCACTTTGGCACACCTCCCAAGCCTCGCCTCGACCTTAGTGGGGACTGGGCGGAGCAGCTTCAGCGCACCATCAGCCCTCGCAAACAAAACCGCGATGCCTTACGTGAAATCCAGGCCAATGCCTTTGCCGACCGAGCTCTCTTGAACGACGGCTCCCCAGAAGCGAAATCGAACGGATCTCCCAAGAAAGGGTTTACGAACAGTATCGACTTGATGAACTCGCTCTTCCAGCAACCGCGGAAACAGAGCGCCCCTTCGCCGCTGAAACCTTCAAAGGTGCAGCCTAAAGGCTTCGAGGTTCGCACTCCCTTCTCTGTTTGTACTTGATTTTGTCTTTTACCCATTCCACATTGTTCATTGTTTTACCCACACTTCAGCATATCCCCAGTTTATCCTTTGATCATGTAACTAGCCTTCTATTCACTTGCACATCCCACCCAGATAGTTAACTAAATTGAGAATACTCTGAGCTAAACCCTTTCCCTCTTTCCAGTGGCCCTACAACAAACAACCCAAAACCTTCGCCGGCGATGAGGCCCAAATGAGCCAAAAGGACGTCGCTTTCCACGATTCGTTCAAGCCTCGCTGGGGTCTCATGGACTCTCTTGTTTGCGCCAAGGACGACATGGCCGAACCGATTTCTGGTGTCAACAACCGCTGGCAGGAGCGTTTGTCTGTCTTCAGCGAGGGCAGAGATATTGCGGTTTTCAAGTACCACCAGACGGGCGAGGTATGTAGATTCGATTTGTCTGTATTCATCAATGGCATCACTGACCTTCTCTTAGCCGCAAGAGATGCTCAATGTGCAAAAGCAACAATCCACTGTCGAGCGCATTGACGGAACTCCATTCATTCGTCTTCCCAATGTTGATATGCGCCAGTTTGCCTTTGCGCATTCCAAAGAAGAGGAAAGACTGGTATGGCAGTTAGCCAACATTCTATTCAACGACGACATCGAAGATGACATTTCTGCGGGTGTGCCAACTCAGCTGCGATCCCAATTCGTGCATCGCATCAAGAAGGACCGTTTGACTCGTCTGTGGGAGAGCATCATCCGTGAAAAGCACACGCAAACCCTGGAGTTGATTCGTTCGGCTGAGGAGCGTGCTGTCCACCTCCTCTGTGCTCACCGGATTGAGGAGGCTTGCAAGACTCTTATCGATAGCAATAACCTTCACCTTGCTACCCTTGTCGCTCAGATCGGCCGTGACGCTACCTCCCGGGCGGAATTGACAGACCAGATCGAGGTCTGGCGTCAGAACAACGTGCTCTCTGAGATGAGCGAGCCTCTACGTGCCCTTTACGAGCTTGTTTCGGGCAATGGTCTTGGCAGTGAAGGCAAGACCGGCGGTGCTCTGGAAGATCGGGCTTCCACCTTCCTCCTCACTGAGCGCTTTGACCTGGATTGGTTCCAAGCCTTCGGCCTCCGCCTTTGGTATGGTACTACCGAGGATGAGCCGATCGAGGCTGCCGTGTCTCAATTCTTGAATGACCTGACTCTGGGACTCGAGCCTGCTTTCCCTCACCCTTCGCACGAAGACAGCTCTCGCGCAACTCTCCAGCCCGGCGCCGATACATTAGGTCGTGAATCGCCTCTTTGGGTGCTCCTCAAGACGTACGCAGCTGTTAATGGCGCTGCAAACGTTCCCCCTGTTAGCTTCCCCGCCGCAATTTTACCCGAGTCTCTGTCTGGTGACCGACTCAACAACCGCCTCTCCTTCCAGCTTCATCATGTTCTTGCTGCCGCAGTGGGCAAAACTGATGCCGTCAAGATCGACCAGCATCAAGTCGACCGCCTGGTCTGGGATTATGCTTCTGAGATCATTGCGAATGAACAACTTTCCCCTGCCCTTTTTGTCCTTCTGCACCTCTCCAAGGCCGAAGATCGCAAGCGGACTGTGCAAGACACCCTCGCTCGCTTCGGCGCTTCTCTCCCTGATCCTACCATCTCTGACGGCACCACTCCTGACCCAACCTGGCAACACCTCACAAACGAGCTCCAGCTTCCCGAGCCCTGGATCTGGGTCGCAAAGGCCTTGCATGCACGTGCCAGTGGTGATGCTATCCGCGAGGTTGATGCACTGATCCGTGGCAAGCACTGGAACGACGCCCACGCCACCTTCTGCCGCGTTGTCGGACCTACAGCGGTCATCTCCCGTGACTACGCGACCCTTGAACAACTAGTCACCGGTTTCGGCGATGGACCGGAGCGCAAGATGCGCGGCTGGTCTTCCGGTGGCGGCATTTACGAAGACTTCCTTCGTCTCGCAACCGCGACTCGGGGCCGCAGAGATCCAACCCGGTTAAGCCGACTGGTAAATGCCCTCGTGGCAATGGGCGATCGTGTCCGTAGCGGCTCAGGAATCGACGGCTTAGAAGAGCGCGTTGCATTCAAGGAGATGAGCCGCGCTGTAGCTGGCTGGATTACGCATGAAGATGTCCACGTTAGTAAACCCTCCCATACAATCTGGTGTGATAAACTTTCTAACCTCTTGCAGTCGGTCGAGGCCTCAAAAATCCTCGGGTTGCCCCTGACTGGTGACGCCCGTGTTCTTCAAACAGTTGAGATGAGCCGTCGGTATTACGGCGTTGTTATGGCTGGTGGTTTTTAGTTAGCGAGGCATTGATTCTGTTGCTACGAGCCCATCATTGCTCATATCATCTCTTTGCTCTTCGTTTGCTGAGTCCCTAATGTCCTCTTTTTTTCTTCTGTTTTTACCCCAATTCTCCTTTGTCCTGTGATCACGATATGAACTGTACTTTATTCGTCTACCCCAACAATCTACCCATCACTACGCCGTATTCCTACATGTAGAGTCGTTGCCATCCCGATGCGAATGTCGCATTAATGTAGTGACTGACACGCAATGTCTTCGCCCTTCCCTGTAACTATCCCACTGTATAGTAGAAAATCGTAACTCGTTGAGATAATCATCATACTCGGCCACAAGAACAGGGATCATCGACGTTCCTGTCCTTGGGCATTCCCGGGCATCCAGCCTCTATGAAGCTTGTTTCGGAAATTGTATCTACTGGGAAGCTTCCCCGGGTTTAACACCCCGGCAGTGATTCCCGTTCAATTGGAAGGTTCGGTTTAAATTTGAGAAGCCCGGTTTCTGTATTTTCGAATATTACCGAGAAATATATCATGCACAGAGAAGAACGAATTTCCCAGAAACCGAATGAGTGTTGTCCTTTGCGCAGTCGAGATCCATATTTGTCTTTCTTGAAAAAATCAGGAAAATATTTGAGGCAATTCAAGTTTGAAGATACCGGGTCTGCATAAGACAAACATGTAGATCTTACACAACGAGTCTCGCAAGGACCCAGATCATCGAGAAAATAAGATCCAACGGTGTGAATTCAGGGCGCGCCCCCAGGGGGATAGTCGCCGGGGATCTCATTCATTGGTTGCCCTGTAAGAGGGACTGTTTTTGGTGCAAACCTTGAATGAAAACCTTCGCGGGGTACTCAGAGTTATGGAATACGGAATGACTAGCCCTTGGTATAAATGCATTTTCGTGCCTCAATTTTGTGGTCAAGTCTTCAAATTTGGCATGGATTGGACCCCTGACAACCCTCGACCCACGACCCCCTGGAAACCTTGAACCATCACGGGTGATCGCCGCGGACCCAAAGTACGAACACCATGAGATTAAGTCTAGAATCTCTATTGGTATTATTGTTTATTTCGAAGGCAGAGGAGAAGAATAGGCACAGACAGGTATTGGTGGTTTGCTTGACTGCCAAATTGTCAATAGTCATGGGACGGTCTACGTCCAATCGGGTATGTCCAGGCAGGATAGCATCCGGATTGTAAAGCAATCGAACTAGTCAGAATCAGTTTGGTTTTAGAGTCCAAAACTCTAGGTGACTTCACAGGATGAGCCTCGGTCTTTTACCTAACCTAGTCTCATAGATGGGCGGTTTTGAGGGGTTTCAGCAGAAAGTCGCCGATCTGAAGAACGATCTATATTTTGCGACGATCTCATCATCATAAAAAAAAGTTATTTAAGGGTCCATGCTTGCTCTCCTTCTCAACTCGAAGCCAAACAAATACTTCCCATCAACAAAAGCAACTCTCCTCTTTTATCATTTGCCTAAGCAAATAAATCCACCACTAAACAAAATGGTTGCCACAAAGTACCTTTTTGCCGGCCTTGCCTCCATCGGCCTTGCTATTGCCGGCGGTGCCGCGGATATCGAGTCCAGCATTGGAAAGATTCAGGACTCTTGTGTATCTCTCAGCAAGACCCTGAAGGGCTTCACCAGTGATGGCAACGTGATGGGCACCGCCCTGAAGCTCCAAGGAGAAGCCAAGGACCTTCTCGATATCATCAATGACGGCAAAGACACAGCCAGCAACACCGACAATCTGAGCTCCGCCGACTCCGATAAGCTCGAGGATTCGGTCAACTCGCTTTCCAAGTCCGTCTACACCCTCCTTGATGGCTTCGTCGACAAAAAGCCTATTTTCCAGAAGCCAGTTCTCGGCGGCTCGGCCGATGGCCTCGTCGAGAAAGATCTTAAAGATCTGAAGGGTGCGACTGGTGGCCTCGGCAAGGCTATTGAGAGCATTGTTACTGGTCAGCTCAAGAAGGATGCCCCTAAAATCCTGAGTGGCCTTGACAAGCACTTCGATGAAGCTATTAAGGCTTTCTCGGATTAAGTTCATGTTATGGCCGGGCCATGATTCACCTAGGTATTCTGGAAATTATGAATGGACGGGATCAATACTAGTAGTACGGTTCAAGTTAAATTGGTTTGGCGGTTATGATATGGCCGATATGATTCCTCTTGTTATTTGGATATGCCAGGACGATATGTATCTCGATGAAGTGAAAGAATAATATTTCTTTATGCTCCATGTTATTACTACGTCTGTGCCCCTTTAAAACATCAAAATACACATATTTTTGCAGCGTAAAGGATCATATCATTCGGTATCACTCTACGAGCATACAGCGTTTGTTGTTATGTGATCACAAACTAATATCTGCTGTTGTTTACTAATTTTGTCGCAATTTTCATAGGTATCCGTGGATTTTGCGGCTTGAATATAAATCATATTGCTAGTTGTCTGTTCTCATCATCGGCTTTAAACTCCAAATACCTTCAACTCAATCAATCTCGCTTGCAGTCCCTTCTTGGGTGTGAAATATAGCCTAATACTTTCTGAGCTGACAGCATCCCAAGAAGCCTTTATGACACCGTTCGCAACAACCTTGTCGAATTTGCCATTGGAAACATTTGCCCATTTCCCAGATTGGCTAGTCTGGACGCGATAATCACTCGGGGCGTCAAATTTCTGAGTGTCGTTCGCAAAGAACGCAATCTCCGCACTCTGCATCTTGGTTGAACTCTCAAAGTCAATCTGAAACCAAACTTCGCTTCCGTTGCCTATCGGGGTATTTCCACCCATTCGCGATATCGGTCTCGGGGAAGAAATAGACGCGCCCGTCGATAGCAGCGTGAATGCCAGCTGTGTCGGTGACATTCGTCACGGAAACCGTGCCTCTTGGATAATTTGTGCCCGCACCTTGCTGGACAGACACGGCAATCGGACGGTCGACTGACGGCGGGCTTTTGCGGGAAACATTGACCGTCAGACGGGATAGACTGTTCGAACTTGCTGCTTTTTTACCGTCGACTTCGACGATCAGTCCCTTTTTGCCGTACCTGTCTCCCGTGGCGTCCCATTGTACGGCGACTTCGTGTCCGTGATAAAGGATTCGCTCTGCTCGGAAATATGAGATCGAGCTCCCGTCTGCGGCTGGATTGATCTCGAGGGTGTTGTCTGCACGAGGGCGAATACCCACGAATCCAGATAGAATCAGGTCAATAAAGCCGGAGTGAAAGTAGTGCGGAGAACGAGCGAGCCCGACAATTGGGAGGCCAGTAGCTGCATCATAGTCCTCTTCGAGATCCAGAATACCTCCTCGGTTCTGGTTGTAGTGTAGTTGCGCGTACTGCTTGAGAATATTGGTGTAGTCGACTTTACTTATAACATTTGCTGCCGTAGCTTTGGGGTAGTGGTCAAGCAAGTTGGCAAGAGCTGCGAGGACCTGGGTAGTCTGGTATGGCCAGGCAGGACCATTCCACTGGCATTCGCGTTTGTCACCTTCGTAGCGATATTGTCGCATGAAGTACTCATAGCTGGGCTCATTGGTACGAAGGCCATGTGGCCCGGCAAACTTAGAAGAGTCGATGAGGTGCTTCCATGCTTGGGCGAAATCATGAGTGTCGTCCGGGAGGTCGTGGGTCCAGGGCACGAAACCAACTAATTCCCTGCCTCGGATAAAGTCCCAGTACTTGACATCATCGTTGTCCACTTTGTATCGATCGATAAAATGTTCGAATGTACTGTTCCAGAGGAAGTTCTGGACAGTATCCTTGATGGTAGCTGCCTTCTTCTTATACTGTTGCGCAAGGTCTTTGTCCCCAGCGAGAGAAGCGATATTGGAGATAGCCAACGCATTCGCATACTGGTAGCTGTTGATGCTCGGACGGAATGCATTACCGCCTGTGAATCCATCGGAGCCCCCAGAGGCATCAATGCTGGCAATAGTATACTCTGTCGCATCTGTCAAGGGCTGAATCCAGTATAGGCTCTTCGATACATCATAGCCACCCGTTGACATGCTTGTGGTATTCCAGCCCGTATAGACACTTTGCATGGAATCAAGAAGCCCAGTAATGGTATCAGAAACGCCATCAACAAGATAACCTTGCCACGCTCCATCGGCCATGCTTTCGGAGAATTGATAAGGGTTCTTATTCGGTCCGAAGATGAAGTTTCTGTAATCATCCTTGAAGCGACGGTCTCGGCACCAGCGTCCTTCACGAAGGTGCATATTCGTCGCATCTATAAGCAATGCGGATGGTTGCGTCTGCCAGCTCACGTCTTCGAGGAATTCAGTTGAGATGTAGCCATCAGCGCCAAGGTCGCGCTGGTGGGCTCGGAAGATTTTCCATCGGTAATAGTACACATCCTGGATATCAGAGGCACTGGATTCAAAGACTGGGATGCGATCAGAATACCAAGGTGCATCGTTGCCAAAATACTCCTGAAGTATTTCAGCCGTATTTAAACCAAGCGCTGGCGCTGCAAGGCAAGCAAATGTAAACAATTTGTCAAAATGCATTTTTGGCTATCAGGAGATGTAAAGCCAAGTGAGGTGATAAATTTCCGGCCACAAAAGCCAGTAATCTTTTTGACAAAGATACATCTTGACTACTTTCTGCTCATTTATAGTTGTGGCCCGGAGAAATATGCGGTGATCGACTAATTGCCCCTGACGAGTCGGTTAATTCTCCTGCGGGGTGTACATTAGTATTCTTCAAGCCACGGAGCTCCACCGATGCCGAACCCACCATTTCCGCTGCAGGACATTTCGGTTGGATAATGCGGGAGGCTTTTTGACGACAATTTCAGTCATTGAGACAAAACAGGAAAATTCACACTGTGTCGCATCGGAGAGAGTTTAAGCGGGGCAAAGCTCTACATAATGACCAAGACACCAACCGGGTCAGAGACTACTGACAAAGTAGGAATCACTGGGGCTTAAACTGTACGGTTCGTATCGACTACATATCGCATATTATTAGTAGTACCTGCCAGTGCGAAGTGAGCGTATTATAAGAGATTGGTTATATTAGAGGCATAAAACCCGTGGAACAATTTCGGTAGCAAGCTTTGGAATGTACAACAATAAAGATCGACGACTTAATACCCAGCACAGCAGATTAGGTGGTAAATAGCGTCAGGTGGTAGTTTCGCTGATTTCTCCGAGGTTCCAAGGTTAAAAAACAAACATTCACATACCTTGTAAGGACATCCAAATAGAATATGTATTGTATTCCAAAGTTTGCCCTTGGAGTTGCCTTTATGGATGTTGGGTACTACATATAGTAATGTAAAGTCAAGCCTGCTTTACCGATCAACGACCCACCTGATCCATCCGATATGGAGATGTCCCTGATAAGTTCTCATCATCTCTCACTTGATTAAAACCATCCCTTTTGTTGTGTGCAAACTAGAAAACGTGCTTAGGGGGAATGTGTATTTCGTGCCGTTCAAGTTGCCGGCCAGTATGGTTGTATCATGTATGGGATTGTCATTTCGTAGCTGTTTCCCCAAAATTACATTCTGCCGCTGAGGCTCAGGGAAATTTTTCGAATCCCTTGAGTTTTTCGATTTTTTGCCATACTTAAGAGCGGCCCTCACCGCCTGTGGTATTACAGGGTAATATTACTCGTTTGATACACGTTTCATTTCCACTCAAGTCACATTGCATTCAAGCCTGAAGACCAGAAAGCATATCGAGGTTTGCGGTATAGAGTGGATTCAATTTTTGGATTCAAGTACTATGTAGCTATCCAAGGATCGATTAGACCTTCCAATGCGCAAGATTAGGCGTTGTTTATAAGCACATCCAAAGTCGAAGTATGTAACTAGTCCTACCTAAGTAGTCATGTGATGACTCACCAAAAGGCGGTTGATATACCGCCTTCACCATGTGACATGGTGGGGAAATTTTCTGCTGGTTTATTCGGCCCGGGCGGTGTATTGTTGGGGAGGGGAGGCGGCGGTACCACAAAACTTTTTTTGGATCTTCTTCGTGCAACTATTACGAACCCCCACCATTCGCAATACGCCCGAGATTAAAATATGGCTCTTAACATTGAGGCCGAGTCGCCTCACAACACATTCGACGTACGTATCGTTCCTGAGGTGGAATGGCGACTGGACCGCAGCTTGCGATCACCCGACCCCGCGTGCAGGCGCAATTGACTCATGTATGCAAAATGAACGAATTGGCTGACAGTTGTCGACTCTCTAGACTATCCTGGTTCTCGACTTTGGAGTATGTATCTGGCGGACCCCTGGCTATATACCGCCGACTCTAGCAAATGCTGACTCTTCAAGTCTCAAACGAGCCATCTGATCCTCCGCCGTCTTCGTTCCCTCGGTGTCTTCGCTGAGCTGCTCCCCTGCACCACTAAGATCGCGGATCTGACTTGGAAGCCTAAGGGAATTGTGTTCTCTGGAGGTATGGAATGATTCCTTACATGGCTTTTGTCAAGGTCTAACCAATCTACCAGGTCCTGCTTCCGTCTACGACAATGGCTCGCCCCGTAAGGCTTTCATTCCTCCCTCGGATATCCTGTTTCCTATACTCATATATGTGAAGATGTCGACCCTGCTGTTTTTGACCTGAACGTCCCTATTCTGTGAGTACCTACAACCCAACTTGCTGAACTTGAACCTGGACTAACACGTGAGGCGTAGTGGTATTTGGTATGATTTTCTTCGACATCAACGTCAGGATAAGACTAATACTGTTTAGCTACGGTTGCCAGGAGATCGCATGGCGCATTGACTCGAAGAATGTTGCCCGTGGAGAGGCACGAGGTTTGTAATATTCAGCACATTATATGGTTATTTCTAACTCTTTTCTTAGAGTATGGTCACGCCGATGTGAACATCACCAAGGTTAACGACAACGTCGATCGTCTGTTCGCTGGCTTGGGCGATGCCATTCCTGTTTTCATGTCCCACTACGACAAGCTCGTCAGCTTGCCTACGGTCAGTGAGCTAAAGCCGTGTTTTTGGCATAGTCATTGACTTTTTTTTAGGACTTTGTGGTCATTGGTGCAACCACCAACTCGGAGTATGCTAGCATCGCTCACAAGGAGAAGCCTATCTTTGGTTTGTTTTTCCCTTTTTCCAGACGCAGGCTACTTTTGCGACAATATGCTAACATGAGAGAAACAATCAGGCGTTCAATTCCACCCCGAGCTCGAGCACGTTCGTTACCCCTACCCTGTGTCGTCCAAGAACTCCCTCTGATATTCCAATTTAGACTCCCCGCGGAACCGATATCCTCCGTAACTTCAGTGTTGATATCTGTGGCGCTCAGGCGAACTGGAAGATGGGCGACTTTGCTCAGCTCGAGATCGCTCGTATCCAACAGCTCGTTGGTGACCGTTCTCTCGTGATCGGCGCTGTTAGCGGTGGTGTGGACAGCACAGTCGCAGCGGCGTTGCTCAAGGCTGCCATTGGCTCAAGATTTAAGGCTGTCCTCGTCGACACAGGCTGCATGCGTCTTAATGAGTGCGAGCAGGTTAAGCAAACACTCGGAGAACACCTTGGCATTGACCTCACAGTTGTCGATGCTGGTGAGCTGTTCATGAGCCGTCTTGCAGGTGTTGCTGACCCGGAAAAGAAGCGAAAGATTATTGGATCTACTTTTATCGATCTGTTCGAGAAAGAGGCTATCAGAATCGAAAAGGAAGCAGAGAGCACCCCCAACTCTGGCAAGGTGGAATGGTTTTTGCAGGGTACTCTGTACCCTGACGTGATCGAGTCTTTGAGCTTCCGTGGGCCTTCCGCCACGATCAAGACTCACCACAATGTCGGCGGTCTGCCTGAGCGTATGATGAACGGCCAAGGCTTGCGCCTTATTGAGCCGCTCAGACTTTTGTTCAAGGATGAGGTCAGAGCGATTGGCCGTCAGCTCGGTATTCACGAGTCGCTGGTGAACCGACACCCCTTCCCCGGTCCTGGCATCGCTATCCGCATTCTCGGCGACGTCACACAGGAGCGTGTCGACATCGCCCGTAAGGCCGACCACATTTTCATCACTAAGATCAAGGAGGCAGGCCTTTACGACCAGGTATGTCTGGTTATAGCTAGCTAAGACGGATATAAGCTAACCCTGAGTAGATCTCTCAAGCGTTTGCGGGTCTTGATACCAACCGCAGTGTTGGTGTTTTCGGTGACCAGCGTGTTTGGGGCTACATCATCATTCTTCGCGCTGTTCAAACCAAGGATTTCATGAGCGCCGATATCTTTGACTTCAGCACTGAGTTCCTCAAGGTCAGTTAGAGTCATATTTTGGTTACAATACCATGCTTGCTAACTTGTTTGCCCATCTAGGACGTGTCGCGGACTATTTGCAACCAGGTTGAGGGCGTTGCCCGTGTCACCTATGATTTGTAAGTTTTCTCAAAGCCATCCCCTCGGAGCCTTCAACTGACACTCCCTCTTCAGAACCTCCAAGCCTCCTGGCACTATTGAGCTTGAATAGGCGATATAAGAGAAGGAATCCAAACTGAAGATGCATCACTAGCCGGCAGTGGCTAAGGAAAAAGATGGGAATTGACATTTATGGCGTTTAAGGACTCTACTACTAGAAAAGTACATAGAGTGAGATGAGTGATATAGAAATCATTACTACATTTTGATATGTATCCTGGCTCCTGACAAGGTCTACTTCCAGTAGTCATGAAGAGTAAAGACTATCCCTCAAGTTTATTTGATAATTTTCGTAAATGGGTCAGTGCAGCTTTGAATACCAAGCCGTGAGATAATATTGCGTGAAAATGCAATCAGCTGCTCCCCCTCTACTTTGGAATCTCCATACTCCTTGCCGGTCAATAATAGCTTGGTAGCCTGCTCGAACTGCTGACCCATCCGATGCGCAAGATCGTCAGTGAGCTGGTATTCCAACAGCCGACGATGGTTCAGCTTCGGACGATACTCCGACTTTCGAACTTGAGAATCGGGCGCCAGAATCCAATCCAATTTCAGTTAACACAATCCCCAGGCTATAGGCATCGTATTCACGCCGGTATCCGATCCGCGGATTCTCGGTCAACTCAGGGTGCTGGTATGCCGCTGCCTCGTCTTGGGCACGAAGCGGTATAGAGACTGCCCTAGGATCGTCTAATCGAGAATATCCGAATATCCGAATCCAGAGAGATATGGATACTGAAGCCAGTCCATGCTTTTTCCGGATTTGACAAACAGAATGTGTAAGCTGCGTAAATTTCGGTGAAGCCAACATGTGGTATGGAGTTGTAATAGACTGTTCGCTAGGATACGCGATAGTAGAAAGCGGTCATTCAAGCTTGGAAATACCGCATCATCACTATTTTGTGGATGGATCAGGTCATACAGGGACACAATTTCCGGCGGTTTGTCAGCCTCTAAGGCCGGAAGATTGTAGATCAATCCAAAACGTTGTTGAGACTCATCGTGGCAGTAGCCTATGCAGTCATGACTTGAAATCCTTCAGACTTTGGGCTCCGACTAAGAAGTATTGATAGTTCAGCTATTCGCTGTTCTAGAATGTTGAGCACTGCTCGACCGGGCGGAATTTCATCACCGTATTCTCTCCACTCCACGAGGACCATTTCCTCCTCGAAGCGAGCGATGCTCCTGAAATTTCAGACAGGATCCAATCGAGTTGATCGACAGGTATTTGAGTACCCAACCAACACCCGTCAATCGACGAAGAAGATTCCAAATCAATCATGTGCATGCGCTGATCAACAGTGCGAGATAATCCCTCGTATGATGCTCTCGAGGCGTCTCTAATGACAGTGAGCCTTTGCACATCGCCACTGGCTGAGTCTCGGATATCAAATATGCGGGAGAGATCCCCGCTGACTTTGACATGACTATCTTCAATGAAGTTAACGAGCACATCAGATACTTGGTTCTAACAAATACTTGGCCGAAATTCATTGATTCGATGCGACGCAGCTCAATTGATTTCGAACGCAGTGACTTCACCCATCTCTCGGATACTTCTATGCGCAGTTGGCTTTCTAAGACGCGTGTTAAGCTCGAGTCATTCTTGTGAAAGCCTCTGAGCAGACCATTTTTGGGTCGAATTATATGCCACCAGTCGTGGCCCGGGCTGGGTGATGACCTTTTTCTCAAGTTATATCTTGCCCACCTGGGCTATCCACTCGCTATCTTTCTGTAGCCTTTCAATTTTCTGCTTCTTTCCCTCTTTTTATCTATATCTTACCTTCTCTTGTATCTACTTATTTCATGGTGATTATCCGAATGATACAATAATCATCGCAGCAAATACACGAACCTACTCTGATCAAGATTAACCCCTGCGTAACCATGGTTGTGACCTTCCATTAAATAGTCATTTTCTGTGGTTGGTGAGATTTGATCAACTACGTCAACGATTTTAAGCTTGCACATGGGGAAAATACCACTAACCCACTCTTTTGAGCTGGGGTCAACGATCGGTTCTATCAATGGCCTTGAGAAACTAAAACTAGACCGACATCAACGGCACAGCGACGAAGGTTTTTCATTGGCAGCAAATAAAAACTGGCAGGGTCAGAACCAAAACCAAACCTATGGTAAACACCGTATCTGTTTATTCTGCTTCCAAAATCGTAAAGGATGTTAGGACAAGTTAAATACATAGTAATAGTACACAATGTAAGCATCAAGCAATTACATGCCAAAAATAATGCTAGAAAACATCAAAGTGAAAACAACAACCCCCATCTTGGAACTGAACTGGGTGGTCGAGACAGAGGATGCTCCATTGGGGCTAGAAGTCGAGCTCGAGGTGGATGTAGAGGTAGAAGTAGAAGTCGAGCTCGAAGTTTTGTTCGGAAGCGTACCGGTAGCAGTAGCAGTTGGGTAGGAGGTGGCGGAAGCAGTAGCATTTGTAGAACCAAAGCACCAAACATCTTCCCATTTCACGCCCGCGTCGTAGAGACAGTCGGTCAGCTTCTGGACCGATTGATCGACCGCAGGAGCGTAGAGAGCGCAGTCATTGTTGTAAGCCTGTACGCCTGCGGGCTTTGCACAGACTTCGATCATAGATTTGTATTTCGAGGAGTTTGGTACGCCACAGGCTGCGTCTTTGACGGGCAGTTCGTATTGCGCTGTTGAGCCGCATGTAGTGCTTGCCGCGGAGCCGGTAGTTGTGATCGACATGTTGTAGGGAGTCTTGACTTTTCGCTGTAGAAACTCAGCTTGAGGAGGAGATCAACTTTTTTCCAGAATTGCTAGGGGTATTATAAAGAAATAATAGGCGATGGCTCTTACGGAGTAGGGCTGAATATGTGAGTGCCCGTTACTAGTCCGAAACTGTGTGGGGCGGCGTAGGGGACCGACTATTCTAAATCGGCGTGCCTCGTAGATGTTCTGCTTGGCTCGGGTCTTGGGACTGAAACCCATCAAATTTATTTGTATCACAATGACTAATATCCTTTGGCACTTCGCGCCGAGTACTGTGATTTTACGATAATAAAATTTCGTGGCAATTTGCTCATCGTCTTTCATTTGATATTCTTATACTCGCTCGCTGTGTGCCTCTAATCAATTGAGAAAGATCTTAGAGCAGCCCAATTATCACAACCGGGGTGACATAATTATGCCTGAACTAAAACTAAGCAGTCCATTTTATAACGAAATAGTTGGAGGAAAATGTCGTCAAAGACCTTTAGCTGGGATCTGATTTACTAGGCTTGTCTAATTCTAGATATGTTAAGTTTTTTCGCATGGATTTCTGCCGGAAAATGTCGCGTGGAGCTAAGGGAATATTCCTAACCCAGCTTGTTGAGAAAATAAGTTAGAACCCGGCTCGCTACTCGTATGCATTTAGAAAAGGGGGACCGAGCGGGTGGTAGCATCCGCCGAGAGTCCTTGGCAGGCACCGACTATTTTTAACCGGCGGGCCCACTTCGCCCGGGAGACATCTATGAGGCTGGGTTCTCTTACTCAGTTATTGGGTATCGTGCCGCCAATCCCAGTAGACCCCCTGGTCAAGATGTATTTTCTCTCGGCGATCGTTTTGAGGAACTATTCTAGATGCGACGCAGTAGTCAGTGAAATTACACGACACCTCAATCATTTGTCTAGTAACTATTAGTAACTAATAAATAGTACGATTTATTATTTTTTGGGCAAAGTCGCCGCACTTACTCTGAGAACCTGTGGTGTGCAATTTCCGAGATGAGATTTCCCATAGTTCCGCGAGCAAGCATGAAAGTATACATCGAGCTGGATCAAGGTGACTTAATAAGAACGAACTGCGAAACGATTTCCGGAAAGGTCGTTGTTGAATCGAACTCAACATTGAATATCTCCTCAATCACTGTCACGCTGTCTGGGATCTCTATTTCCAGGTCGAGAAATTTTGAGCGGAGCGAGACCCATAAAGTAATTGTTATTTTCCAATACCATTACAGTGGGTCCATTCTGACAAAGTTCAGCTTTTTCAAAAAAGTGAAAAGGTGTTCCCTGAAAAGAGTTTACCAAAGCATTCCTTCTGTGGCTTGCTTTTGGGTGAAGGAAAATATACGTTCCCTTTTTCAATAAGAGTAAGGTATCCCTTGGATAATAACCTTCTTTCTTCGAATAAGGATCTGACGGGTATATTTTAGTTCGCCCCGGTATCTGAATGCTATGGAGTGACATCAATCAATCCTCGCAGAATGCGAAGTGAGGAACCTCACGTTTTGCGTCGGCTGCCTCCATCATGCGGGTACCCGGGATCTGCAGCGGAAATAAAATATTTTCTAGAAGTTCTGACAATGGGGGATAAAATATTAAAATCTTACAACGTGGTTGAGTTTTACAAATGACGCTTAGAAAATTTAAGGCACATTTCTTTCTGACTCAAACTATAGACCCATGAAATATGCTTTTGCCCGCTTTCGAAACTGACGCCCACGAAATCACCTATGTGTCGGCAAGCATCTATTTGCATTGCGATGGGCGATCTTACCTCACCGGATGAATTCTCGTGTCAAATCAATGTAAAACTCCTGAACGGGCCGTGTCTTTTTTCTCAAAATTACATTCCGCTGGCCATCGAAATCAATCAATTGCGTGGAGACCGGTCGGAGCTTAGGTTAAACGACTTCCAGACTATGCTTATTGAAACAACAGAAATCCGCGTAGGTGACTCCATCGAGTCCCTTCAGCGCTGCTGGATCATTCAAACCATGACGAACATGAATGAAAGCCTTTTCGGAGAGGGCATGCCGCTTGGAGATTCCGCCGATCTCCCGAGTTCCATATGGTCGGCTCATCCGGTGCCTTCCTCAATTACCCCAAGCTTTGAGATCTGCAATATCAAGCGAACATATCAACTTGAGGTCCGGCTTGGCTTTCTAGTTGGGTCCTCCAAGGTAGAGCGGAGATGACCCCATTTTTTGATACCCCAACTTTTCTGATTCATGTTTATAGATCAAAAAGTTCATCCGGGAGTTTCATTTTCCCGTCTTCATCTTAGTGAACAATCCTAGTTATCAGGAAAGCCATATTAGGCTCTAGGCGTTTAAGTTCTAGAGTTCTGAGACGGGCTCAAAGAATGGGTGCAGATTATTATTCTGGGTGGCTGCTAAGAATGTGAGGGGGTGCAAAGAACTTGAAACTTGTTAAAACATTTTTTTGTTGGGGCAACTTAAGGTGGAGCTTCCCCAGGATTTGAAAATATCCACAGACCGTATCGAGATCCTCCCATGGTTTCTAAATATTTGATCCAGTTAGTGCCATGAAGAGCAACTAGTTCCTTTCAGGAGCCTTTCGTGTTTTCTTTCTTTTTCGTTTTCACGAAGAATACTGGTAATATAGTAGTATGGAGCGAGAACTGGCTGGCATTATATGTATGACTGGATGAACGAAACTCTCCCTGATGCATGCCCCAGAGTAATCATATTCCCATTTATTATAGACCCACTATCCCGATACTCGACAGGAAGCCAGACAGCCCTTTCGCCGTTTAATTTTATCCATTGCCCGTCGTCAATGGAAATGTCTGGATTCTCAGGTTTTGAAAATGACATTTCAACTTGCGAGAATCGCCAACCAGGCTTGAAGTAGAAACTGCCGCGGGAGAAAGCCGAAATATCGTAAATTTTTTCCGAACGCCAAACATTTGAGATTGTATCCGCAGCCAGATTCCAGAGGCACACCGTGCAATCATAGATGCACACCGTGCAATCATATGACCACGAGAATATACGACAAATGGTCGCAGCGAAAATGAATAATGGGACAGATAACGCCACCAGTCGATCAAAGTCGCTCTCGCCAGGCCATTGTGTAGGTAGGAAACGATCTGTTATGATCTCTTCGAAGCGATGATTGAAGAACAAGGAAATGTCTTTCTCGATGACCTCTAAGGGGATGTCATGGAGACTAAAATCCTTGTAATTCTGTCTTACAAGCTTTGAGAACCCGAGGCGAATTGGTAAATCGGGCCTGCTGGTCAAAAGCACTCTTGGGTATGTAGCAGTATCTGAGTCGTGAATTTGTGGAAGGAGTTGTAGTATGAGACGAATGTCACTATCTCCCTCGCATTCATCTAATGCATCAATAACAATGACATTGATATAAGATGAGACGTTAGAGCGGTCATCTTGCTTGAGCGTGTTAAGCTTTTGAAGAGGTTTAAGAATAAGTTTATCGAATTGCCCCCGCATACCCTTCTCTGCAATGTCGGGATTGTCATGAATTGCTTCGCGGATCTTTGGCAACAGGAGAGCATTATTGATTGCCAATTGCCTTGCATTTGTTGGGAAAAGCTTCCTTGCATTGCCCCTGTCACCGTCACCTCTCTCAAAGAAGAAGCTTGCTCCTAATTATCGTGTATCACTGAGAAATTTCGCGATAGTGCGTGAAATGGTCGACTTTCCCGTCCCAGTCCCATTTAGCCAGAAAACGTCTTCTTGGTGTGGTGAAGAATACCATTTTTTAATCTTGTCAAGGATATCAGTTCGTGTACCTGGGAGGCATTCATCCTTATGTTGGTTCACATAGGAGTCAAACGAAGCCTCTGGCACAGTTGGAAGTTTATTTTCAAGATCTGCATTAAACTTGGCACTGTAGACACTAGGCGAAGTCTCTGAAGATACCTGGTGCGAGATTGAACTCATTTGTGATCGACCCGTGGCTAATCCCTACGGCCAACCCATAATTGAAGCCACGAAGTGCGATATTCGTTTCCATAGCTCTTCCTTGTCGCAACTCAAGAGGAACCACGCGGGGTAAATCGCCCCCAAGTGACAATATTTCTCACCATCACCGGACAACCATCCCTCATACGGCGGCTAGCTTTATGCACCAATGACATTGAATGACATAGCGCACATGCAGGCGCCCTGGTATCAAGAGTAAGAAACTCGTTGTGGTACGCACTTGAGAGACCAAATTTTGGGGTCCACTCGTTTTCCGGCAGATTAGGCGGCGCTCATCGAAAGAAATAATAGCTCCTCCAGCTCTCAAGATTTGTTTGATGAATGCAACTGCTGGCCAAGTTCCAGCTTGATTGATCTGGGATGAGCATGCTCCGCCTGAGATGTATGGCCATCCGAAAGATCATCCGCGATGAAGCCGCGTGGTCGCAATAACGGCGATTCCGCCCATGAAGGTTATTTAAACAATGCAACCGAGCAATACAGCCGGATTTATCAATATATTGCTCAAGAAATCGTTGGATAGCTCAAAGGATAACTACGTTGAAGCTTTGAAGGTAGGCTGTTGTTCTCAACGTCGCAGAGAGAGACGTCGTGGGGCTCGGCGGGCTCGGCGCTTTGACATTCCGCCGAGGTCTACCTGCCGCTCCCAAGCATTTCAGCTTCGTTTCGCATCTTTCCATTCTCATCTACTTTACTTGCATGGTATAGATCGCGATACCATTTTCATTTGATATCATGCGAGGGCCCCTCGCGAATTTGCCTCGCTGCCCTGCTGTGCACTTGCACATCCCCTGCTTCGATGCCAACCGCTACTTGTCTACTATGGAGTCCCCCAGATCCACCACCGATACGCATTCACAAAAAGGTCAGTATTTCAATTATGAATCATGATTCTGAAACCTGTTTCTAACTTTAGAGTACACCAGGTCGTGCCTCCGACGGTTTATTGCGTTTAATGCCCCTGGGTGGATCCGTCACTCGGGGTGTTGGCTCGTCTCATGGGGCTGGATATAGGAAGCCGCTCTTGCAATTACTCAAAGACCAGGGAATCAATTCATGCATGGTAGGCTCGCGCAAGGATGGCTCTATCCCCAACAACGAGCACGAGGGCTGGCGTGGCTTTCGGATCGACGAAATCGAAAAGAAAGCCAAGAAGTCAGTGAAACGTTTATCACCAGATATATTCATGGTCAATGCCGGCTCCAATGATTGTATCCAGGTCTTCAACACTGCAGAGGCTGGAAGGCGTATGAGTCAGATGCTCGATTATCTTTGGCTCGCATGCCCTCAATCCACGATCCTGCTTTCTACTCTCATTCCCAATGCAGACCCACAGGTCGATTCGGTGGTGAGGGATTTAAATGATCAGTTTCATGCATTAACAGAGAAAAATAAAGACGAAAAAAAGAAAATCTTGCTGGTTGATATGCACTCATCGGAAGGGCCCGAAGCACATGAGCTTGTTGACGGTATACACCCTGATGACGGGGGATATGAGAAAATGGCCGAATTATGGGTTCGTGGTATAAAGGAGACTATTGAAAAGGGGTTTATCGATTATTAAAAATCCAATTACAGTCATTATCAATGTGTCTTATACCACTATGCTTCTTCCGACGGACTTGTTGGTATTAGCTTAGTTTCAAATAAACTCTGTTTAAAGGGGTCTTCCAGACACTTAGTTTGGGAAAACCTAGTCAATCAGCCAAGGATCCTCCAAACTTGGATTTATTAACTAATACCCTTGTATTCTAGCTATTTCAAAGAGGTAAAGGTCGAAACTTATTACTAGATACTGCGCTATTACAGTAATGATTACGGACGTCTATTCAAACTCCTCAATATTTCGATTCAGCTTGGTCGGAAGCTTGATAATCGCTTTCCGTACTAGATTATTTTGAGGCTTGAAGAACAAGATGGAATTGCGTAGAATTTTCTAAGATATCATTTCAATTCGACAATGGTGGTATGGATCGGAGACTCGGGTGTGAATGGCCATCTGGTAAATTGCATCAAAATTTCACACTGTGATTCTTGGAGATCAGCGGAGACCTTTCGGATTCGTTGGCTCTCCAGCACATCGTTATGATCCACAACAGTTCTGGCATTTTCCTCCTCGAGCTCGATCATTCGTTGCGCACACAGGCCGGAATATCGATCTTGCCAAGCTCCGTGGTAGAAAGTGGACTGAAGCATCATATTCACGGCTCTTCGCCGGATGAGGGGGTGGCGGCAGCGAGAGGCGACAAGGAAGAGGGGAGGAGTGAAACCAAGGTCGAAGCTGAAAAGCAAACTAAAGGTCTGTGCATCTTTCCATGAGCTAGTGATATTCTCAGCGAGTTCAACGGCGGTTTGAAAGTGACCGATATAGTTGTCAAATATCGTTTCACTCTCAGAGCCATATGTCTCGGCTATAATTATTGAGACGTGGTAGTAAAGATTCAAGAGCTTGATTGTGCAGTCTTGCAATATCGGCGGCTCTCCAGGGAATTGATATGAGCTAGAGTTGAGAGCGCTCTTCCACTGGCGTAAAAGAGTGCTAGAAGCTCGTCTTGGAGCTTCATCCCTCACAGGCATATCACGCTCTGAAGATGAGAATATGTAGTTCATCACTCGGTCAAAGTCCACGCGGGCGGAGTTAAGGGATGTGTATGATGATGGAATTATTGGAGGTGGTAGGCAAAGGGGAACACCGAGATCTTTTAACGCATGTCGGGAGTCCATGCATAGAGAAAACTGCACGCGCAGCCGCTGTAGGATCGGGGTAATCTGATTATTGACAAAGTCAACGGTTGGCCGAGAGTACTCCTGTAACTTGCTATATGTCGCAGTTTTGCGCCTCCACCAATATAGCAGTCTGAAACCTGCACTAAGGTGGAGAAGACAGGCAGCATCACCGCTTCGGAATTGCTCGAAACAGATAAAAAGGATACAAAGGATCAGAACAATATCCGGTCGATGGGACATGTCGGGTGTTTCCGTCTGCACAGATTTGATGGCGAATGTATAATGTCTCAGTGCTAACATTTGTGCTGAGATCTCGGCATGTTTCCCTGATCGACGTATAGAGGTAGACGCATTTCCAGGCTCTAAGCTCTCATGCAGCGAGGCCAATGCAGTTAGGGCATGCTTGACTGGGGCCTCTTTGTGACCAATTTGCAGCAGTGTGGGAAGCCAGTTCTCCACATCGCGGTGGCCAAATATCCGATGGGCGGTTCTACTGCGGAAAAAAAGGAACGCTCGGCGTTCATCATCTGTAAGAGAATCAAATGACAGGGCTTGCTGAGGGGAAGTTGAATAGCCCTCGCATATTCGCTTTGTAGTCACACAGCGCAGGCACGATGGCTTGGTCTCGTCACATTTGATACGTCTGCGTCGTGAATGGTCAGCTGGGTAGAAAGTACCTTGCTAGTTCAATGGTGTCTACACACCGAGACCTAGAATCCGTCGGTTAGCAAGGGTTGAATAGAACATTTGAGATAAACTCACTTGCAAGTAAGACAGCCACTACGTGTCTTGCGTTTTGATACTGCTGTTGAAGCACCAGTCTTCATTGTGGAATGAGTGCCGAAGGCAGTGGTTTCGGGGTTCCTCCGATGCGATAACCAGAGGCAGCCTGAAACTACTATCAACCTGGAAGGTCAACCGCGGTGAGCTCCAGCTCCGGCAGCGATCATTCTGGAGAGGTCATCAGACTTGTAGGATGGGGGATTAATGCATGATATGCGTCAGTGGGAAGTTCCTCTGAAGTCGGGCGGAGAAATGACTGCCCTGCCGCCTTATTTACCAGGTGTCGACAAAACCAGTCTCGGTCGAATTTCCTGTAGAAATAAAAACCTCGTAAAATTGTCGACAGGGCCCGCAAATCGTCTGACCAAATTGCCAATACTATAGTACTATGAAAACTGAGTGATGATTTACGATCCAAAACCTCAAAGAATTCTTCGTGGACAGCCGTACAAGAACATTGATCTATCATGTTTTCCCTTCTACATTCAAGGTTCTGTTTCTCTATCTCTGGAACTAGTATTTTTATTCGGAAAGTCTATATCTATGTTATTTTAGGCCTCTCGAACGCATTCTACTATCTGCAGACTTTTGCAATCTCCCTATCAAACTTTAACACACCACTTCCATTTCCAATCCAATAACGCCCATCGCGACAGCGTTATACTGACCATTCCAACAAACAATATTGCGGAATAAAACCCAATCAAAATTTGAGGGGTTGTCGACTGAAGCAATTTTCCGCCGACGGGGACCGTCAACAAAACTCCAAACGACGCCACACTATAGATTGTGCCATAAAACCGACCATAGTCTTCGGTTCGGCAGAGCTGCCCTGCACATACAGGGGCTAACGATAGCCATCCACCAGAGCCAAACCCAAATATGGCTACAACAGCGTATAGTGTAGCTTCATCTTGCGAGCCGAATGGGACCCATACTGCTGCCATGACGATCAGGGTAGCACATACCATCGATAAAAGTGTGTTAAATCGGCCAAGTTGGTCGGCGGCGAAGCCCGGTATAACCCTTCCGAAAAGACTCATGCCATTTAGGAGAGTCAATGAGTAAAATTGCACATCCTCCGACATATCCGCATAGCGAACGTATGTTGGTAGCAATGCAGCGCAGCCAAATATGATGAATTCGAAAGAGAAAACGGCAACGGCAAGAAAGCATAGACGGGGCGAGCTGAATGCTTTAAAGTCAATTGTTGACTTTGTCGTGTTTTTAGTTGGAAGACGCTCCTTAACAAGGAACACGCCAATCGCGTAACACCCTAGAGCTATAAAAGCAACGATTCGAATTGACCATAGCCAGCCGTGTTGCTTAAGTAGAAAACGGAGCATCAATGGAATAAGAGCTCCGCCGGTTGACGACCCTGCCATGCAGATTCCAGATGCCAGACCACGGTTTCGATAAAACCAGTGACTGAGGACTGCTATAGAGACTGTGGTGATGATAGCGGATGATATACCACCGAGAACACCGAGGCATAGCATAAAGTGCCAGTACTCGGTGCATTCTGCCAGTAAAATATAGCAGAGAAAGTTCCCTAGACTTCCCCCCTATGATCAAAGATCTTGAACCGTATCGGTCAAACAGAGGGCCGACTTGAACACCAAGGAAAAGTGTTAAGAAAACAAAAACCGCAGTTATCCAGCCGACATTACTGACGCTATATTCGGAAAGTTGATGGATACTGATGTAGTCTTGGACGGATCCGACTAAAAGCCGGTTAGCATGATAATTCATGGTACGCGGCGAGGAGAAGGTGCTTTCATACTCGCAGTCTGGAAGCCAAATGACGGAAACATCATCAGAAATGAACCTAAGAGGCATGACCATGCTTGTCTGCTATTCTCTGGGAATGTGTCCTTGTCATCCTCATCTTCGGACGAATCTGTATCCTGTCGAATCTCGGCCGACTTGTCGCTGATCGGCTGCTGATTTAAGGGCGCACGAGGTTCGGGTAGTGTTGATCGTCGCATATTTCTTTGAATTTTGTCTGAAACGTTAAGTTATTAGCATTTTATGGCAGGATAACTTGGAAGCTAAACTGGGTGACATCGTGCATACTGGTGACGTTAACCTCCACTTGGGTCAAAAGACAAGAGTTCCGTCAAGCAAAGCTATGAAATCACCCGGGCACCGTTGTGAGAAAAAGATGAATTAAGCTGCTGGTAATAAAGCAATCAAATCGAACATTTTATTTTGGAAATAAGAGAAAGAAAAGAAAGAAGAAAAGCTGAAGATCCTGAGAGGATATACTATTACGCCTCAAGACAACTCGGCGGGGGTATTCACTCTTCTCCGATTGGCCCGGTCGCTTTTTTAACTCAACAGCCAATCAGCGTTCGATTATTTTCTGGAGCCCGTGTACTTACTCGTCGATTCTGGTGGTTTACACTGATAACCAAAGATGAATTTTCATTGAGGCCGAGGTGCAGTTCGCTACTGTAGGCCTATTAGAGCAAATCATTTATCCTGGTCTTGATCTCGGCCTGGCTTCAGAACCGCACTGTCATTCAAGTTTGTCTAAACATCTACCAGGAACAAGCCCCTTTACATTCTGGGCAGTCTTTCTACGAGATGGACCAAGCTGGAGACTTACTATATTGATATAAACCTAACTAAAGAGCATTTTTACGTTATTGAACCAGTAGGTCACTTCAAGTGAGATGGATAGAAAAGAGAAAGGTTGTTTTCAGAGAAACTACAACTTCAACTCGAACCGTACGGGGAAACAGATTGAACACGTTAAAATGCATGAATTGCTATCGACTGTACATGAAAGGGAAATAACCTAGACGCGACAGGAAAGGGGATCAAACGGAGTAAAGGAAATATGGAGACAACCACCTCCACTGGCCAAGAAAGAATCATTACCTGCCCATAGGAGGGGTTAACGGAGATCTAGATGTAGAAAATTCGACCCATTCCTGCTTCTTTTTAGAAAGACGCTAAGAAATCAGGTTGCGGGAGGGTGAGGGAGGCTTTTCGTTTTCTTTTCATTTTACATGCCGGGGGAGATCAGCTTGCCCTCGGCACGGCTCTCGGGGTGCCAGCCACCAGCGAAGGGGGCACTGCCGAGCTGCTTCTGGTGCTCGCGGATGCGGGCCTCCAGTTCGGGACGGAAATGACGGATAAGACCTTGAATGGGCCAGGCGAAGGCCTCACCAAGAGCGCAAATAGTGTGACCCTCGACTTGCTTGGTGAGCTCCTGGAGCATGTCGATCTCACGCTCGCGGGCGTTACCGGTCTCCATACGGGACATGATCTGCTGAGTCCACTTGCTGCCCTCACGGCAAGGAGTGCATTGACCGCAAGACTCGTGGCGGTAGAAGGACGAGAGGCGGGAGATGGCGCGAACGATGTCAGTGGACTTGTCCATGACGATGACGGCAGCAGTGCCCAGACCACTCTGGGAGTCCTTGAGGGCGTCGAAGTCCATAAGCTGGTCGTCGGCGACGGACTTGGGGATAACGGGGGTCGAGGAACCGCCAGGAATGACAGCATACAGGTTGTCCCAGCCACCACGGACACCTCCACAGTGCTTGTCGATTAGTTCGCGGAGCGAGATGGACATCTCCTCCTCAACAGTGACGGGGTTGTTGACGTGACCGGAAATACAGAACAGCTTGGTACCGGCGTTACGCTCACGACCGAAGGAAGAGAACCAGCTGGGTCCACGGCGGATAATAGTGGGAACAACAGCCACGGTCTCGACGTTGGTGACGGTACTGGGGCAACCGAACAGACCGACGGCAGCAGGGAAAGGAGGCTTAAGGCGGGGCTTGCCGGCCTTGCCCTCGATGGACTCAATGAGGGAGGTCTCCTCACCACAAACATAGGCGCCCATTCCGCGGTGGATGTAAACGTCGAAATCGTAACCGGTGCCGCAGGCGTTCTTGCCGATGTAGCCGGCCGCATAGGCCTCGTTGATAGCATTTTGCAGGACAGTCGCCTCGTGATAGAACTCGCCACGAATGTAAATGTAAGCCGCGTTGGCGTTCATAGCACGGCCAACAACCAAGCAACCCTCAATCAGCTTCTGGGGATCCTTGCGCATAATCTCACGATCCTTGCAGGTACCGGGCTCACCCTCATCAGCGTTGATGACGAGGTAGCGGGGGCGGGGGTCCTTGTCCCAATCCTTGAAGTTCATGAACGACTATAATCGAGAAAACGAAGCCTCTGTCAGCCAATTGCCCGCACAATGCGTGGAGTTCCAGAACAGGTCGGCCTATCGGTCTATCCCACTTACGTATTTCAGACCCGAGGGGAAACCGGCACCACCACGGCCACGCAGGCCAGAGGCCTTGATCTCAGAGATGAGCTGTAGAATTGTGTTAGAACAGTCAATTGGAATTCAAGTTTCACCGTGTCCACCCGATCCTTGACCCGAGGTGGACGGGAAACGTCATGACACTCACCCAGTCGTGACCCTTGAGGACGATATCCTTGGTGCGGTGCCAATCACCATACTTCATTGCCGACTTCAGGTCCGCGCCATGGTGTCCGTAGAGGTTGGTGAAGATCCGATCCTGGTCTTGGAGGCCGCCATGGTGCTTGACTGGGGGTGCCTCCTGCACGGTTGCGAAGGAGCGGGCGGCCGCCCCATGGGCGCGGAGTGAGCGGGTGGTGAGCTGGGAGAGGGAGGAGGACGAGGGAGCCGCCGCTCGGGATATCATGATGACGGATTGCGATGTGTGATGGCGGGTCTCAAGCGGTCATGGAGAGGAAAGGAAGGGGAAGCTGCACGGCAATTCCTGCGCTTGCTGAACGATCCGCCTTTACGAGGCGCTTGATTGGACAGTGGGGGCACGTGATGTGCTGACTCAGTGTCCCTTCCGGTGGTTTCCTATTTCGGACGAGAAGTATTGTTCTTAGCATTAAGCACCCAGGACAATAAAAAGTATAGTGGAGTATGAACGAGAGTGTCGAGACTAAAGAGAGTTAAAAGTTGAGTTCTCGGGGCATCAAATCTGGGCCGTTCTATCACGTGCATTTGACCTGGGCGCGGCTGCCTGCGCGTATCAGGTGATATCACGATACTCTAGCAAGGCTACCTATCAGCTCTATCTTCTAGGAAGAACCTCTTGGTAATTAAATGGATTTTTCAATTTGCTCAAGAAGATTTGTACATAACCAAGTTCATTAGTACCTACTCAGGCGGCCAATTGGCCAATTGTTTAGGCTTCCAACAACCCGAGTTCTTTCTTATTTCTATCTATACTACTCCTGCGGTACATACAGCACCGCCTGCTTTGGCATCGCCGGGCTGTTGGTTAACACCTGGAGCGGATCTAAAGGAATCAAAACCATTTCCCCATTCACCACTCGCCAGGCCCATTGCAGCCACTTCGAGTTTAGCCACCCGCTCTCCGAGTCCAGCCAAGTTACCCCATCAGACTCAGCCCACAACTGTGCACCCTGATTCTGGGCGTATGCCCCCAATTTTTCGAGGACTTCACTACATTCATCCTCTGGGCTGTTCTGAAGAGGATACTCTTCCAGTAGAAAGTCCACCCACCGAATCAGACGTGACGACAGCTGGGACTGCGCTTGAGCTGAGCGTCGAGTAGCAACCAATAAGTTCACCACCAGCGCAAACAGAGCCTGCGGATCTGTCTTGAGGGCGGGGACGCGCTGGCTACTAGCCTCCTCCAAAATGTGGGCGAAACATTGCTGGCTCGGCGCTTGCATCTCAACTGGAAGTAAACTGTAGATCTCTCCCAGTCGGAACAACTCCCCATTCTTGGGGAGAAGAGACGGTCGCTCCAGCACACGCACACGAATCCGGGACATAATCTCATGAGAGAAATGATCTGCCGGAATCTTCTGCATATGATCGTTGAGAAGAACCTTGATATCCTCCCAGTCCTCCCCCCGCTGATGCTCCCGTGCACGAGAAATCGTCCACGCCGCAATAATCAAGGCAGTCTTGTCCAGTGTGATTTGTCCGTTGCGATATATTTGCGCAAAAGCCTGCTTCAAGTTCGATGGCTGTTCTGGCAAGTCTTCGGCAGTTTCCTGAAGGTGCGCAATATGCGCAATAAGCTCGAAGCTAATTTGCGCTAGAACTGCCAATGTGTTTCGTCCGCTACCGTAGCCACCGGGGATAGAGATACTGGTTTCTGTAATCTCTAACTTCCTGCGCTCGCGCTCATTGGCCTGCATGACTGCTATGGCGTTGAAAAGAGCTGGCGAGAAAATCGAGTGTTCCATTGGTCTTTCCTGTGCCAGCAGTGGGTAGAAAATGTTGAAGATGTAGTAATGGTCTTCAACGGCCTTGGCCAGCTCTGGGAACATTTCGGCCTGGCGGGCTTTCGCCTGACCAAGTGGGCTCTCTTCTGGGAGGCCAAGCTTGACAATACGGTAGTCCGTGGGGTTATTCAGGATACAGAATCCGTAGTTCACCAGCACTGTTTCATGTTAGATCTATCAATACCAATGCATCTACACCGGGGAGAGGGGGGACTGACACTGCTCATTGTTACGGGGTCCGTAGTTGTTGGAAATTTCCTCGCCAGGTGAAACATTTTCCTGCACAAGCAGACCAACATCTACATCTCCAGCCCGCCACTCCACCTTCGCCAAGGGTCGATGGTTAGGAAGATCGATCAATGGCAACAAGACCGGGACTGAATCTTCCGGCAGGTCAGCATCCTCCACAGCCCCGGACAAGACCTTGGGCGAGAAAGCCCGCGATGTGATAATAGTTGATGCCCACAGGTACAGTTCCCTAGAGGATGATCAGCCCGGCCCTTGAACCTGGAGTAATATGACCGTCGAAAAAAGCCCATCCAAACTCACCAAGTAAACATCTCCAACCCTTCAACACCCAACTCCTCAAGCTTAGCCATCCCCTCGTCAAATTTCTTATCCCAATGCTTATACCTAAAAACCGAAGCATCCGGAATTCCAGTACCCTGAAGCCAATCGACATCATGCTCGCCAAAAAATAAAGGCGTCGTCAATTGGCCCGGCTGAGGCAAAGTCCGCAGATCAGGGAAACCAAAATCCCTCCTCGCCACGCAGGAACTGACCCATTAGGTAAAACGCCGTCGTCTCCTCCCTCCCGACAGCCTCGATGAATTCCCTCGGAAATACGACGCCGTGGCTGGGGAATGAGCCCTTGGGACATGTGTAGTCGATCGCGTTGAAGTAGGACATTGTCACATTCAGTGGTGTGTTGATTACACGCGTCTCTTTGCTGATGGCTTCGGGCAGGTCTGTCCTCACTTGGATGTGGACGCCCCGGGTGTCGTCTTGGGCGACGAATACAGTATCAGCGATGTAGCCGCCATGATTTGTGACCCACTGCACTAGTTCTTTGTGTGATTCTAGTGAATGACCGTTTGATGGACTGGTTTGTAGGTTAGCTATTTTTGCTGCTATGGCTGTGGGAGGGGATATAAAAGTGCAATGGAATGATGTTGCTACTCGGATACTCACTCCTGAGACGCAGCCATGATTCAGTACTTAACCAGGCAGTCCCTCCTGGTCGGGCTAGTCTTAATATTATGACAGTTTATATCCGTGTTGAGCAAAGCGAGAGCGAAGAGTGATATCATCGAAAAAGTTCTGGCGGGATGGTGGGCGATCCATGAGCCCGGCCCACTTTTTTTTTCCGCTGCACGCCCACATCTAAACTTGAACCACCCCTCGGTCTAAAAAGAGTCGAACATTCCCCAGCCACGGCGTCGTATTTCCGAGGTCATCTGGGTGCTGTACTGCTTATCTGGGGGCTGCGATTCCCCCGCGCCCACAACTCCCGGCAAGTTTTAAGTTTGGGTGTCAAGTACAGTAACTTCAGTTTGTATCTCTACTGCTTGGTCATTTTCTCGTCAATCTAATTTTACCAAACTCTTTGCGACTCTTAGCGTGCAACTTAAATCAATTCATCTTCTCTCACAACTATCGTACAAGGGCATAAAGTCAACTCAATTGGAGACCAAGAATCATGGGACTCGTTAGATTCTTCACTCGGTGCAGGCGATGGCTCAGACTCAAACACCTCATAAAAATGCATATCCACCCCCAAAGATTCGAACCAAAGATGGAAAAAATATATACAAATCCCACATGGTATGGATGTAGGCCTCCCAGCGAGAAGCCTCGAAAGCAAAGTCATCGAATGCGCTCATCTAGATTTTTCCCCGAACAGCGGGCGAGTCTCGTAAGTATGCAGGCAGTGGGTCCAAAAAATGTAAATTTGAGATTGACGAGTGCTGTTAGATCATCCAGCTCTGGGCCCCTCTTTAGTTAGAGGTTGAGGACTTTCGACCCGGGACAAGGATTTCTACAAGCCCGTCATCCTCGCCGTCACTGCTGTCGTTCTGGTCGTCGTCAAAGTGGGATCCGCTCACAACCCGTGATCGGCGGAAGCTGTCGTACCGAGCTTGACTCGGGTGGTTGGAGTAGCCGAGAGACTCGTTAATGATAGCCTCATCCTCGTCGTCCGAGTCGATCATCCCAGTGGCGGTAGGTGCGACCATTTCACCCATCTCGTCATCATCTTCTTCGACCTCCAGCGGGACACGGACTCGCCGCCTCACGGATTCAGAATGGCCGTCTCCATCCTCATCAGAGGAATTGTCAGAGAATGAGTCGGGAGGACTAAAGCCCGAGTCATGGAATGTGGGAGAAAAAGGTGTGATCCGCATTGGATCCAAAGTTTGAGTTAGGGAAAGCCGAGCCGCCTCCATCCACGTCATCATCAATTCCAGCGATCACGAAAGGATTCTCGGACCACTCAGAGTCTCGAGCCCTGGCGTCTTCGCCGTGGTCATCACCATCCTCGTCAACATCATCATTCGCCTGTTGCTTTTGGGCAGCAAGGCGGGCAGCCAACTGACGCCTAGCTCGCGAAGGACCAAGGCTCAGAGGGGCAGGGGGAGGAGGTAGAATTGGAATTGGTTGGCTGGTGGAGTTTTCAGAAACCTAGACAAAGGCATTGTTAGCGCTAATTTCTGGAACTCATGGTTGGGCAGTAATGCAGTGGAGGTGCAAGGGTTCGTGAAGCTAAGCGCCACCTCCATAGGAAGGCAGCGCTGGTCAACACAATATGTTTGAGTTTAAGAGCAGCGATAAAACAGCCAGTTTCCTCTAACATCGATGAGGCGCCCAGAGAAAATACAAGAAACATGATCTCAAGAACGTGGTACATGCAGTGGATGGATCCAATTGAAATATGACAGATATCATAGACTAGGGAGGGAAGAGATGACTCAAAGATTGCAAGCGGAAAGATCAGTGTCTCTGGCGAAAAGCACATCGAACCAATCTACTGGCCGGTATAGCGCCATTCGCCGCCTGATCGATCCGATTGCCTATCTTGCACCAGTCTTGCCAGAGTCATTGAATCGACATCATTTAAAAGGTATTATCAAGGGTAGGTAAGGTGTATTGGGAGGTATTGTGCGCACGTTCGTCACGAGCCGTGTTCGTTAGGTGTTGATCGAAAAGTTACCCACATTCTCGGAGTCGCCTTGGTCGGCATGAATAGTGTTGTCGTCCTGGTCCTCCATTTCCTCGTCTTCATCGTCGCTTGAACTGGCAAAGCCGCTTAGAAGTGATGTGCCACCACCGGCTCCGAATGCTCCTCCAGAAACGCTTCCTGAATTGATGTCAAAGCCTTGGAATGTCGATCCGCCGATACCGCCGTTCAAGCCTGCGTCGGACAGAGCGGAAGAGTTTGAGAATCCTCCCTGGTTCGAGCTAGCCGAGGTGAGTACAGTCTGGCGAGATCCGACAGACATATCTGGGCGCACGCCGCCAAGGATCGCGTTATCCCGTTCCCTGGTCTCAGACAGGGTTTGCTCGACATAGTCGATCCACTCGGGGTTCAAGACCGACTCCATGACGGACCGTGAGAGCAGCTCAGGGGGGTGGCGTTCACTGAACTTCACAACTTCTTCGGCGACAAGGGTAAGATGGCCCATGTAGCCAAGTCGGATCTGCTTAGTTTTCTGCGCTTCATCACTGCGCTTTTGTCCCTCAATAATTGCAGTGGTGATTTGCCCTGTCTCAAAGACATTGATGGCCAGAGCCCGGTTATAACCACGCTCCATCGGACCATTGAAGACTTGTTGAACAACGTCATAAACAACATTGTGGAGGAAGTTGTTCCATGGGAAGCGGAAGAAAAAGCCCTGCGTATAAGTTAGTGTCGGCACCCTGATGAATTGATCAAGGTCAATAACTTACTAGTATCGTTGGAACCACCTTATTCTCAACGAACATAATCTTCAGATAGTCGCCAACAACAGGTTGTCCATCAGTATCATACTGAATATACTGCTCGGCAGGATCTTCAGCACTACCATCATTGATCCTCTCGGATTCTTGTACGGGTTCGGAAGCAGGGGGGACCTCTTCATGTTCAGCAGGCTGTGAGACGGGCTCTGCTGACTGCTTCTTTGGGGAGAAAAGTGGTGGGGGAACGTCCTCGGGTTTGGGTGATATGGGGTCCTTTTGCTCGACTGGCGTAGAAACTTGCTCCTCGCTTTGGGCTTCAGTTGCGAGCTTGATGTCGGAAACCTGATCCGCAAGAACGCCACCGGGGCTTTCTGGTGTTTCGGTCTTTATCTCATTGGTCGAATTAGGCTCGGTGTCTACCTCAGAGGTCTGACCAAAGACTTCGGTCTGTTCTTTGTCTTCAGGCTTCTCGCCAACCAAAACACCAGAAGCTCCGACGTCCTCGAAACCTTCTTCTTCACCTGCGCGTGGGCGAAGAGCTTCGGGTGACCCGGTGTCCATGGCAGAGCCATTGGTAAAATCTGCCGTTGTCTCATTGTACTCCATACCGGAATGGTCGTTTCGACTGGGATTGAAGAACCCCTCACGAATCAACTTCTCGCGCTCCGCATTGCGCTCTCGGACATAATCGTCACTGCCAGGCTCATTTAGAAGTCCCATGTTACTGCAGTGAAGAAGCTCCGCCATCAACTCGCAAGTCTTAAATCGATCAAAACCGAGGGGCTCAATCTTTCCACCCCAAGCTGAGTTAAGGCTGCCCCGGTCGACACTCCTCAGTTGAGTACCATCATGAACAGCGTGCTTGGAACTTTTGATTAGATCCATGAAATGGGGGATATGGCGAGCAAATAGACGGAGGAGATTGCCAAGGTAAATCGGGTCATAAGGAGTAGGCATAGATTCAGGTCCACTTAGGTTCTCGGGGTCATAGTCGGAGTTGTTCTTGCGAATAACCTCAATGACGATACCCACACCGACCGTCAACGGATTGCCACCTTTCAGCATAGCATCAATAAGCTGCTGCACACACTCAGCTGAAACTAATTGGCGGGTCAGGCTGTTGGGGCCAATGCAAGATTGGTCATTGGGAGTTGCGTTTGCGGAGATGGTGATGATCGCCTTCAAGAAGTCACCGGCGGAGGTCTGAACAGAACCAGGGTATTCTGGCGTGAGGAAAGAAAGCAGAGTTGGAATCAAGCCTTGGGATTTGAGCCAGTCTACTGTTCCTTGGCCTCCCTCGGCTTTCTCAAGGCTGATGATTTTCAACAACAGATCCATCACCATTGGGTTATCGACGTGCTGTAGGAGTGAAGGAACAATTCCATCCAATGACTTGAGAAAATCCAACATCTCCTCTGTCTTTTTATCCAGCAGTGTCTCATTCACCTTGGTGAAATAACTTGCTTGTTGGGAGTCCAGGGATGGAGGTCGTCGCAGGAACCCCCAGAAGTCGCGCAGATAGGTCGGACTTTCCATAATTGATTCCAGGATGGAGTATGTCTCTGAGGAAAGGATCTCGCAAGCGATGTAGGCGTGCTTGATGCGGTTCTTTTCGACCCTTTCCAGTTCCTCTGGACCCAGGACATCCTTGAGGGGATCGGACTCTTTCTCTTCCTCGTCCCCATTGTCTTCCTTATCCGTTTGTTCATTTAATGTGGCCTCTGCACCGGTATCCTCGGAGGGCTCCTTAGGGGACTCCTTTTCGTTGGTATCATCGTCATTTTCTTCGTCGTCATTGACCAGGCTCGGTGCGGTCACGTAGTCCATAAGCCGTTTCAAGACATGATCCTCGCGCAGGTATTCTATCAGTTTCGTATTATGCTGTTTCAGCTCCTGGATGATCTCCGGCTCATCCAGCAGGTCCTCGAGGGTCACCTCGGGCTTATCGAGAAGGGTATCGATGGTGGAGATACTTGCATATCCCCCAAAGCGCCAGAACATGATGGAGTATATAGCTAGGCAGAGAGATTCATGAGAAGTCTTTTCGTGTCGTCAATCTCCGAGGTGTCGTAACGGAGCGGGCTATGGTACACTAGAAAGGGATTCGGCAGGGTGGAAGTGGTGGGGTGAGGAAGTTCACCGGGAGCGCGATACGCCGGGAAATCCACACGCACACAAAAAGCTCACGAAAGGGCCCTGTTGGGGGGGGAGGGCACGTCGAGGCCGAATGTAGTATCGAAAAGAGGGAAGGATAGAAGGAGGAAAGTTGATATAGGCCGAAGCGAACCTAGCGCTAAAGCTGGAGTTAGCGATCGAGTGTGAGTGGTTGCATCAACCCCGGAGCGGATGGTGTGCACCACGGCGCAGGCGGATCTGGATCTCACGAGGCAGGATGCTGTGGGGCCAGTGTGAGAGATGAGGTGGGGGTGTGAAATTGCAGGGGTGGTGAGGTAGTGAGGTGAGATTGAGATGAGGTTGGGAAAGAGAAGCAAGGCGCACAACGTACCTCCGAAATGCAAAGAGAGTGACGGAGAAAGATATGGGGGGGGTTGGTTGGTGGAGGTGGAGGTGGCGGAGGAGGAGGTGGGAGAATTCACCCGGGAAGGTTTAAAGGGAGCCAAATGGAAGTACGAGCAGGAATGCAAGGGCTCACCGCGGGTCCATCAAGGAACAAGGGGAGGAGATATGAAGTTGTGAAGAGGACGGGGAGTAAGAGAGGTAGAGTAGAATAGGTAGTACTAGTAAGTGCAGGGGCGGACCAGATCAGTCATCCGGGAGTTGTGGGCGCGGGGGAATCGCAGCCCCCAGATAAGCAGTACAGCACCCAGATGACAGAGTAGGGATTAGTTAGTACCTCAGTATGGAGTATGGAGTATGGAGTATGGAGTACCCTTTACTACATTCTACAGTTGATACTTCTATCCATTCCAGCCATTCCAGCCATTTATATTCTCAACTCCCTGGCGACGGCCTGGATATGCTTAACTCCGCCCTGGAGTGTTCACTATTCGCCTAGACCAAGCCAGGCTGGCTCCAACTCAGTCCTAATCTTTCACACTGAATAATCCCGACACTCTTACTGCTACCACCAGTTCCAATTTCGTTCCAGATCCCAGTCATCTGGATTGATAATGTGGACACAGATCTAGCCCCGAGCCCCCGAAATGGACATGACACGCACGAGGGAAGTGCCCAGGGACTTGGTTCTTGGTCACGTCCACACGTGTGCCCAATCCACTGCCCAAGTCAAGTGTCAATGTGACGCCAGTATGAGTATACCTGCATAATCAGATAGCAAGAATTAGCCTACCAATATCAAATCAATGTGAGAAATCATACCGAGAGAACTAGCACCTCGTGATGTATTCCCAAGACTATCTCATGTAGTCATAGTTCCAAGGTTCTCGCCTTTCTCCTCATCACGTGTTCTGTATCTATATTGATGCCTCAGGCGTCAAGGCCCCACTGACGTCGGCCTCCGCATGGTTGTTGGTTGTTGGTTGTTACCTAGCTGTGAGCATCAGATCAAATCAGACCTGAACGGGAACAACAGCAGATTCGGTGTCAGGACTCAGCTTCCTACTTGCTTTTCAATATTTATTCACACCAACCCCCTTCCACCAAGACCGCATTGTCTTTGCAGCTCCAACCTTCGTACCCCTCGTCCACATCTCGCCCCTCACAATGAACCGCCTATTTGGCTCCAAGAGCACGGCTCCCAAGCCGACGCTCGACGGCGCGATCTCCAAGGTAAATACACCAGAGCTATACTAGCCTGCGAGTATATTATCCCCATAAAGCATACCCTAACAAACCAAACCCCCAGGTCGACGACCGCGTATCCAATATCGACGTCAAACTCGCTGCCCTAAACTCCGAACTATCCACCTACCAAGCCAAACTCTCAAAAATGCGCGACGGGCCCGGCAAAAACGCGCTCCGCCAAAAGGCCCTCAAGATCCTCCAACGGCGAAAACAATACGAGGCCCAGCGCGACCAACTCTCCCAACAATCCTGGAACATGGAGCAGGCCGGCATGATGCAGGATAATCTAAAGAACGTCATGACGACAGTCGACGCGATGAAAACCACAACCAAGGAACTGAAGAAACAATATGGAAAAGTCGACATCGATAAAATCGAGCAGATGCAGGATGAAATGGCTGATTTGATGGAAGTCGGTAATGAGATTCAGGAGAGTATCTCGCGAGCCTATGATTTGCCCGAGGAGGTGGATGAGGCGGATCTAGATGCGGAACTCGAGGCTCTCGGCGAGGAATCGATGTTCGACTCGGCTATTGGGGAAGATACTGTGCCGAGTTTCTTACAGGATGAGGTTGCTCCGCCACAGTTTATCGATGAGCCGCCTGAACAGGCCAAGGTTAAAGAGGCTGCGGGCGGTCTTGGATAAATGCTTAATTGATAGCAGAATTATTCTACTTATTATAACACCTGGCCTATGGGCCTTCGGAGTGGATGTTATGGAGTTCTCTGTTTTCTGTTGTTTTCCTCTTACTTGGGTTACCCCATTTACGACCATATCATCTGATAAACTATTTGTATTCATGCGATGGGATGCTTATTATCCGTATCGATAGCGCGAAAGCATAAGAATTGACTAAATATGCATGATAAAACCATAGTGACACTTCCAAGGACTGGGTCAATTCCTTGGGACGCAATAATTTTGCTTAAAAGGCGCTGCAGTGATGCTATAGCACCACGACGTAGATGCAATGTACATGCAGGGGGGGGACAACGCTATGCAATGGGCAATCAAGATGCTTTACCCATGCCCACCAACACCAGGAGAGCCACATTCATCACCACAATAATAAGCCAGACGAGGACTGCAATCACCGATGTAATAATGTGGTTCCGCATCGAGACCTGCTCGACCGATACCTCCCCATCGTTCTCGGTCCGTTCGGTGGGCACAGTCATGTAACGGTTAAAGCAAGTAAACCAGATAAGAGGGGCAGAGACGAAAGGAAGAATAACGCTCAGGACAACCTGGCTGGCAGTGAGAGTCTTGTCCAGCCCATCTCTGCCAACAGCCGCGGCAATGATGATACTGGGAATGATGCTGATAGAGCGGGTGATGATTCTGCGCACCCATGGTTTAACACTCCACTTTAGCATGCCTTCACTAACCATCTGGCCAGCCATCGTGCAGACAATACCAGCCGAGATACCAGATAGAAGGAGTGCAAGGGCGAAAACCAGGCCGGCAGCTGGCGAAATAGAAGAGGAGAGTAACTTGTGGATACCAAATAGATCGGCATCAGCGCCACCCGCGACATCGTAGAGAGAAGCACCGGCGACGATGAGAATGGCACTGTTCACGAACAAAGCGAATGTAAATAGTGATAGTGCCAGCTCAATAATTGAGTACTTCAAGCAGCCACGAATAGCCTGTAGGGTAGGGCGGTACTCCACCTCCCCATCACTACTCCCTAGAGGAACGGTGGATTCGACATAGCCTGCTGTGACATCGAATTCCTTCAAGCGTGACTGTACCACACCACTGCCAAGGAAGAGGGAGTGGGGCATAACCGTGGCGCCAAGGATACCACAGCTTTGATAAAGACTATATAGATCAGCTATTAGTCAAGTGAACAATTTGAAATAGAAGGTTGCATGGATCGCGTGCTCGTTTGGCTTACCCTTCAGATTGAACGATGGCCGAGGATGGGAGATATCCGCGGAACACCTCTCCGACTGATTGGTCTTTGATCAGAGAGAGCTGAATGCAAAAGCAGACAACGACTCCCAAGACCAGGGCCATGACGAAGAATTCAAAAAGGCGTAGCCCCCACATGGATCCATCGGGGCGGTAGAAAAGGAGAGAAGAAATAGGACATCAACCAAGGTAATGGCGCAGCCCGCTACGAGTGGAATCTTCAGAAGTAGATTCAACGCAATCGCGGATCCAACAACCTACATCACATGTCAGTCAAGCAGTTCGCGTCAGCATACGATTTCAGTGCAACATACCTCTGCAATATCAGTGGCGATAATGGCCGCTTCCGCGAAGATGTACAGGATGATAGTCAGCCAGCGCGGGAGGTGTTCACGACAGTTCTCTGCCAAGTTCAGGCCTGTCACAGTGCCCAGTTTAATGCACAGGGATTGTAGGAGGATGGCAAATAGGTTTGAGACGAGAACGATGAAGAGTAGTTTATACTTGAACTCCGCACCGGCCGCAACGTCCGTGGCATAGTTTCCCGGATCGATGTAAGCGACGGCGATCAGGAAGCCGGGTCCGATGAAGCGGCCGAACTTGGCCAGGCTGCGGCCACAGTGAAGAGCGGATGATGAAAGATAGTCGTTAAAAGGACGGCGAGGTGATCGGCCGGTCATCGAGGGTGGTTGGCACCCCGAGGCCGCGATCACCTCGCCGCTCGGGGACTTCTCGGTGGCGAGATCAGGTTCGTTCAAACTTTGCGGGCGAGAGTCAATGGACATGGTGTCATCGCCTATTGCACCACCATCGTTGCCAGGCCTCTTGCGATGAACTCGGGAGTTGGCGATTCCATTCAAGTCACTGCGGGTCGTGGTGTCCGGGCTGAAGGTCGGGGGGTTCTGGTTCCAGCCCGGATGCTCTAGATCGTCATCGGTGCGCGAGGGGCAATTCATTTCACGAGTGTCGTGTGTGTGTTTGTCCCGGTGTAATTTGCGACCTGTCTCAAGTGGGCTGCAGAAGGCTAAGTAGTTGAGAGTGGTGAGTGGTGCCTTGTGGTCGGGTGAAGACTCGGGAGCGTCTATCGGAGGAAGATCATAGACCGAAGGACCCTGGGAAGTCCGATACTGCCCGAATTTCGTGATGCTTGGCCGAGGAGAAGTCTTGTCTTTAGAATTTTTGCTTCATCCCAAGGGTCTGCTTCAAATTTGTGTTGTATGTTTTGAATATTTAGACAAAAAAATAGAGCAGAGTGGACTAGATTGGGGAAGTGTCTCAAAATCATGCAGGAGTAAATCGACGATTGCGTTGATCGACCCTTTGGGGAAAGAGAGGGGCATCGCAAACGGTAAAAGAGTGGACTGTCCCAGGATTGTGGGTCTCCCCAAGCTGAGACCACGCGATCGCAGATATATATACTCATCACACCAGGGCAGAATGTGTGTAAGAGTAGTATTTAGTTCAAGTTGTGGCCCAATTGCCCGAAACTTGCAGTGAAGCCCTGGAGATAGTTGGTAGTGGGGTTGGTTGTGCGACATGATGCTGCATAAACGAGCTGAATCCGGGATGTTGATCAGAATATGGGCCACGAGGTGCAGGGAAAGTAAGTTTGGGCTTTCAAGTTATGGAAGATAATGGTAAAGTACAAGTGTAGTCAATAGTACTTTTGGTGAGTAGTAGTAAATAGTGGGATGTGGTAGGAAGTGTGGTGTGGTGGTGCTAGTAGAGGAAAGTCACGGTCACGGTAGAAGTATACATTACTACCAATACTCTACTTCCACCACCACCACTTCTAGACCACCGCCCAACCCTGGGGAACAGGACCTTTGAACTTGAACTTGAACCATGGAAACAATCAGCATCGGCCATGTCATCCTGCAGCTCGTTTTCCCCTTCCCCTTCCCCTCACCACCATGACATGCTTGTCCAACTGGTCCAACGATTGACCGCCACCAAACGCTGGTTGCCCCCAGCAACCTCCCAGCCCGCACCAATGTTTACCTTTCCCCCACTCTATGCACCCAAGACCAACCCCGAGGATCGCCTCACACACTAGTTGACCCGGTTGAGAGTGAAGTGGAGATCTCATCCTGGATGTTGCCAACGGCAGCGACTGACCTGTGAGACTTGCTTCAAATTCCCGGGGCAGCCCGCTTTGTTTTCCTTCCCATCATCAGCCTTTTTTTTCTGTTCGACCATTTCACCCTGCATTGCATTTTGTTTTCTCGCTTTCATCGTTTATTTCTTCACTTGCTATTCTTCTTCTTCGCCTTCCTCATCTTCTTCTTCTCCGGTTCCTTTTTTCACTTCCCATCATCATCCCCGGTCGGGTGCCCGTTTGCGCGCTGTTCTCTGTTTTCAACGTTGATCATTCCCGTACGTATCACCTGTCCCTACCCATTCCAATCTTGACTGTCGACTAACCTTACTCGCCCCAGTTGCTGGCCAAAGGTGATAAGCAATGGCGTTCAGTACCTCCGGCCCTCAGATCTTTGATGATGCCAATCGTCCCCCGGCTCGATCTTCGGTCTTCCGGACAATCATGTCCAAACCTCACAAGCGAAACCAATCCGCCGATGATGCCATGGCTCCGCCCTCACCGACCAAACAACCAACATCGGTTCCATTCCCCTGGGCAAACGGCCCATCGTCAGGCCCTGGTCACCTCCCACTATCCGAGATCGTCCCCAACCGCGATGCCGGCGATAACGGCGGTCCCGCTCAGAAGATAGGAAGCAAGGGGAGCAAGGGTGCTCTACATAAGAAAACCAAAAGCGCTGTCTCTCTTAAATCCCTACGAAGCTACATGGGAAAGGACAAGTCCGACGAAACCAACAGTGTTGCGTCTGACGAAATGCAACCAAAGAAGACTAAATCGACCAACAGCCTGTCGGCGATCCTGAAGCGTTCCCAGCGAGGACGCAAAGGTGATGGCTCCAAGCAGAGCCGTGAGAAAGAAAACCGCAGTCCCACCGATCTCATTGACAATTTGAATATGCCCTCCCCGATGCCATCTCCAGTTTGGCTACAGTCGGCCCCGATCTACAATGATTCTATGACTCGTGCACGACAGAATTCCAACGCCGATAGACATCGAACCCTGGCAGACGAGGTCTCGCTCTACACCCCAAAGGGCTATAGCCCCGCTCAACAACGCAATTTCTATGATTACCACCAGCCATCCCTCACCAGAGCTGGGGAAGCGAAGCCCCGGCCCAAGTCCGATTGTCTACAGGGTAACAGAAAACTGAAGGATCTCATGGGAACCATCCAACGCGAGCAATCGCGGGACAGTTATGCCATGGAGAAGGTCGACACAGCATCCTCGAGGGGACCAAGACTCGAGAGGTCGAGAAAGATGTCCGCCCCAGAATCGCCTGCGAGACCGCAAGAGCAGCCAAGTCCCAAGAAGCTGTCTCGGGTTCAGGCAGCCATCTCTGCATTCAATGCAAAGGAAAAGACGTCGACGTCCACAAACATCTAGATTCCAAAGACCTCGAAAGCGAGTTCGAGAAACTACTGGTTGGTGCTCCGAGATCTCGCTGCCTTGCAGTAAATATACTTACACGTCTTTAGGATGCGAGGAACATTCCTCATAACATGCGGGACAAGATGCGGTCCCTCGATACCAACATCAAGGCCGACTTCATCCAGAAAGACAGAACCGAGAACGGAACGCCTCACAGCGCAGGTACGGCCGATAGCCGTCGGGGTCGCGGTAACGAGACAAAAGATTCTCAAGACCGCAGAGGTTCTCGCTCTCGCTCCAGAAGCCGTGGCTTTGCCTTTGGTCGCGGACCCTCATCCCCTGGGAAGAAAGCTCGGCCTGAGAGTGGAAGTAGCTTCCATCGTCCCCGATCGGTTGACCTTTCTCAGCCCGTTGGCGTCTACACCACTCTCTCGGCAGCTGGATCAACGGCCTCTCTCACTGATGCCGCGGCGGTAGACACTGCTGCGGATCCATCTGACTTTGTCCATTATCTGCGAGAAATCCAGAAGCCAGAGATGATTGAGGTAGGCAAGATTCACAAGCTCCGTCTTTTGCTCCGAAATGAGACTGTCGCTTGGGTCAATGGCTTCATCATGGAGGGAGGCATGGATGAGATTGTGCAGTTGGTATACCGCATCATGAAGATGGAGTGGCGGTAAGAATTTTTCTTTCAAGATGACATGTTAGATACATACTGATATACGATACAGTGAGGATCACGAGGATACCCTTCTCCACGAAGCATTGCTCTGCCTGAAGGCGCTCTGCACTACCTCTATTGCACTGGCACATCTCACCAGAATTGAGGCCGAACTCTTCCCCGCTCTTTTAAAGATGCTGTTTGGCGAGGACAAAAAGGGACCGAGCGAGTTTACGACTCGAGGCATCATCATCAACCTCTTGTTCACTCAACTCTCGGCCCTTGCCCCAGGCGAAGCCCCCGGAACGCGTGCCAAGCGCATCCTCTCCTACCTGCGCGACCCATCTCCAGAAGACGAAAGTCAACCCGTTGCCTTCATTGCGAATATATACCAGTCACGGCCATACCGTGTCTGGTGCAAGGAGGTCACAAATGTGACCAAAGAAGTCTTCTGGATCTTCCTGCACCACTTGAATGTCATCCCCCTCCCCAAGGGAGGTTCCCAAATGGAAGACCCCTTCACAGAGAAGAACACCTCGGGAGAGACTACGCCGTACTACCAACGTCACTTCCCGTCCGCTCGCCCCCCTGTTCCCGCCGCTCCATACGTCGGAGGCGTAGAATGGGATGCGACAAACTACCTTGCCGCGCATCTGGACCTGCTGAATGGCATGATAGCCTCCCTACCCACAGTTGACGAGCGCAACCAGCTCCGCGACGAGCTGCGAGCCTCTGGCTTCGAGAAGGTGATGGGCGGCAGCCTGCGCACCTGCAAAGAGAAGTTCTACTCAGCCGTGCACGAATGTCTTCGCACCTGGGTCGCTGCCGCAGCTGCAGATGGCTGGCCCTACATTGCCGTTCGTGAGGGTCCTCCTCGTGGCGGTGATCCTGGCTCTCCTACCAAGTCCCCCAAGAAAGCCCCCGGCAGTCCCAAGAAGGGTGCGCTGGAGGAAAAGCCTCCTAAGCTGGAGCTTGCACTCGACTTTCCCATGAGTCGACCACCTGCCGGTCCTGAAACTCCTTCGAGTGATTTGCGCAGCTGGCTTTGAACGTCGGATAGGATACAACATCCTACCGACAAGATGTTTTTTTTTCACTTCTTTCCTTGTGTTTTTTCTTAACCATTTCTTTTGCTTTTCTCCTCATGTTTCATGATCGGCGTTTTTGAGGGTTTGTCTTTTACCTTTACAGTGCGTACGTACGGTGCCAGCCTCTTGTGCTGACTCGTTTGTTTCGCTTTCGGAGTTCTCTTTTGGAAATCTCTTCTTTTTTACCTCTGGCGTTGGCATTACTGGTGTTTTTGGGAGTTGCATATTCATTTTGTCCGGAGAGTTCTTCTTTTGCTCCTGGAAAGACATGATGTAATGAAGTCAAGTTACGGTGCAGGTGGCGGGGAGAGGAGGAGGCAGAGTCCTGTGTCGATGTTATTTTTTTTAAACTCTGTTCTTCGTTCCTCTTCGCGGTATAGCGACGCCTGCTTTTCGGACTGGATTTGCTCATGATATTTGATCGATGACAGAAATGAGAATTGAATGATCATTCACTGATACACTTGATGGTTTGTTTGGTGGTTATGGTTATAGGAGTTCCGGTATATTGTAGTTATGTTATATTGTACAGTACAACAAATGACCAATAATGTACAGAAAGCACAATGACATGACAGATCGGTGATGCGCTTCGTATTTATCTTCAGTTGTTCTCGTTCGTCTTCTTGACAGGACCAGGGGGGTGGGAGCGGAGAAAACGCCCTGCAACCCAGAGAAGAAGTTCTCTCGGAGCTAAAAAAAGACCACTAGTTAGCTCACGGATCAGATAGACTCAGGTCTAACGCAATTTGTCAGATTATCAGAGATCAAAACTCACTCCATCGAAAGGTGTATCCTTGGTATCCCAATTCATAAACAGCACTGCATAAATCACGACAACTATATAAATCAAGGTCATCAGCAACTAATCTTAATTTCCTGAATATCCCAAATACGGCACAGGATGGGGGGTATCTATTAAAAGAAAACTATACTCACACCCGATAACACCCCACTGCACCAGGGTCACAGTCTTGATAAACTTAGGCCGGGCATACTTCAGCGCCGCGCGCCGGCGATACTTGCGCTCAAGGCGAAACTGGTGTTTGGGCGAGAGCTTGGACATATCCGGTGGCCATTGGCGCTTGGGCTTGTGGGGGCTGTAGTAGGCGTCGTCGTTGGAGGGAGAGTGTTCGTGTGCGTGTTTGTCGGAGGAGAGGCGGAAGGGTGAGGAGGACTTTTGGGTGGTGAGTGTGAAGCGCGATGCGGGCGTCGTGGAGAAGAGGCGGGTAAATGTGTTGAGGGGGGTTTTCTGTATCGTGGAAGTTATTGTTAGGATGCGCTGCTTGCTTTGATGGAGGAGGATTTGGTTTCGAGATCGTACAGCTTGGAGCCATGTTGATGGCTGGATGGTTTGGCCCTGGAGAGTTGCGCGTGAAATCGAGCAGCTGGATCGCGCTGCCGTAGTAGCAGCGCTGAATAATTGCCGTATCATCGGGTGTAAATGGTAAGCTGGGGTGGGCGAAGATTGAGAATGCCCAGGTGCCGGTGATTTGGAGGTGCTGGAGTGCGGAGGTTGATCGGGCGAGAAATTGGATAATTTGACCGCCGTGCTCCGCTTGCTCCACTCGGGCAGCCCTTGTACGAGTATGCAGTGCAGAGTCCTCGGGGCATTTGGGAGTGATTAATTATTTATCTTTATTTTTTGCCAGTGTTTATATATTCGTTGGTTTTAACAAGCTTGCTATGCGCCTACAGGTATCTTTCAATTCGCATTGTATCTGCTAGTACCGGTAGTGTCAGTGTTACTAGGGGTCAGTACTATTGGCCTGGTAATGTATCTGGCACTGTGATGCTACTACTACTAGAGAGCTACTGAAGTATACGTCACAGCACTGCTTTGTGGGCGGTATTAGTATGTGCAGAAGTAGACTAGAGGTGCCAAAACGAAATGGAATATCTGCGGAGGTAAATCATCGGCAGGGTGCCAATGTCTCCACAGTTAATATCCCAAGTGAGTACGTAGTATCACATTCAAGATATCAGCATAGAGCTGGGATGCCGAGAGGAATCGGTCCTGTGCAGGTTGTTCGGGTCAAGCGGGATCGACAGAGGCCCATATGACGTCTGGCCGTCAATGTGTTGAGCCGGGGTAACCTTGACTTTCACGTTCACGTTCATCTGATATGTACTTCGTAGGGGACTGGCATTTTCACATGTTCACATGTCGGGGATCCCTCAATATGGGGGGCCCATCCCGTGACTTCGCCTCGGAACAACAATGATGCGGGTGCCTCGGCTCAGCACGGCGTTCAGTATGCGGCGGATGTCCTTCGAACAAGGGAAATACCACCGGATCCACGTTTGCTTTAAAAGAGAGAGACACCTCCCCAGATTTCGTGGACCACTTTTCATCCTACCCCGTGGTGTTTCCCCCCTTTCTCATTCATTTCCCCCATACACCCCTCAGACCTCTTCCCATATTGACGTCATGTCTTCCGGTATGTACTTCTCTGTCAGCTGTCAGCAAAAAAGATACAGCAGAGCATCTACATGTCTTTACCGAGCATTTGAGCTCGACTGTTGAGAGAGAATCATGAGCTAACTATTTTCTTCAGCTCAGCAACGCCTGAACCAAGTCTCCTCCCACTTTAGTGGCAAGAAGGGAGCCGCCGGTATCACCGAGAAACACCCCGATGACATTGTCGTGACCTGTGCTCTGCGCACTGCCCTTACCAAGGGTGGAAAGGGTGGCTTCAAGGACACTGCCGCCGCTGACCTGCTGGCCGGCGTCTTCAAGGCCGTGATCAACAAGAGTGGTATCGACCCCAAGGCCGTCGAGGATATTGCTGTCGGCTCCGTCCTGGCCCCCGGTGGTGGTGCGACCGAGTTCCGTGCCGCAGCTCTCGTTGCTGGTTTCCCTGAGACTGCAGCCGTCAAGAGTCTGAACCGTCAGTGCTCCAGTGGTCTTCAGGCCATCGTTGATATTGCCAATGCTCTTCAGTCTGGCATGATCGATGTTGGTATCGGTGCCGGTGTTGAGAGCATGTCCTCCCAGTACGGGTGAGTAAACCTATATTATCACAATTTGTTCCCGTGAAGATCCAGCTAACCATTATTTTGAAAACAGCCCCGGTGCCGTCACTGAGTTCTCCGAGCTCCTTGAGTCTCACCCCGAGTCCGCCAACTGCAAGGTCCCCATGGGTGTTCTGTCCGAGGATATGGCCAAGGACCGCGGTGTCACTCGTGCCGCTCAGGACTCCTTTGCTGCTTCTTCCTACCAGAAGGCCCTCAAGGCCCAGAAGGCTGGCCTCTTCAACGAGGAGATCGCCCCCCCTTGATGTCAAGTGGACCGACCCCAAGACTGGCGAGGAGAAGACTATCACAGTTAAGGCTGATGATGGAATCCGTGAGGGCATCACCGCCGAATCTCTGGGCAAGATCCGCCCTGCTTTCGCCAAGGACGGCTCTATCCACGCCGGTAACGCCTCTCAGATCTCCGACGGTGCTGCCGCCGTCCTCCTCATGAAGCGCTCCACCGCCGAGCGCCTCGGCCAGAAGATCATCGGCAAGTACGTCTCTGCCAGCGTTGTCGGTGTCAAGCCCCTGCTCATGGGTGTCGGCCCCTGGGCTTCTATTCCCCTTGCCCTCGAGAAGGCCGGCATCACCAAGGATGATGTCGATATCTACGAGATCAACGAGGCTTTCGCCTCCCAGTGCGTGTGGTGTGTCAACGAGCTTGGCCTGCCCCAGGAGAAGATCAACCCCAAGGGTGGTGCCATTGCCTTCGGTCACCCTCTTGGCTGCACCGGTTCCCGCCAGGTCAGCACCCTTCTGACTGAGCTCCACCGCACAAACAAGAAGGTCGGTGTCACCTCCATGTGTGTTGGTACCGGTATGGGCATGGCTGCTGTCTGGGTTGCCGAGTAAAATAAGGCGCATCTTCTTTTCTTGTATTCTGCACAGCGACTTTTTTCTTCTCTTTCTTCTACCTGCACGAATTCTTATATGTATTGAATACCTCTGAGGATACCACCAGAGATTGATTGAAATTTCATGTATATTTTCACACTTCAAAGGACTTGCCTCCGGAATGGACCGGCGGATATTTGCTTCAAATTCCAGCACTATGCAATTAGTATAAGCACTTTCCAGTAGTACTAGTAGCCCGTGGACTTCATATTAAGCGCGAAAATCCCTAAAGGCCTGTGTAACAGTCATACCCTGCGCTACAGCTTCGATAGCCTTTTCGTCCATTGATATCAACTTTGGCATCAGCTCCATGACTGGGTCAAGCAAGTCGCGAGGAATGACGACCACTCCCTCGAATGGATCACAGAAGACAATGTCACCCTAGAAAGAACAACGCATTAGCTATCCAGTTCAGAACCGACAACTTGAAGAACACCCACCGGAGATACAGTCAACCCTCCAATAGAAATAGGCACATCACGCGCCACAGCCTTAGCTTCAGCACCAGTTCCCACAGTCGATGTAGACCGTGCCCAGATCTATACAAAATGGAAACAATTAGCCACATGTCCTTGACCTTCATTCACACCGATTATAAAAGGATCCAAGACACACCGGCAACCCAGTCGCTTGAAGCTCTCTCAAATCCCGAATTCTACCCCCAACAACAGCACCCTTAAGGCCCAACACTTTCATCCTCGTCGCCATTATACCTCCAGTTACAGCACAGTATTGATCGCCAGGTTGTTCAATAACGATGATAGATCCCGCATTCGCCGGGTCAGCCGCGGCAAAGTCGCCCGCATAGTCGACCCAGTGCTTACCCGGCGGGAAGCCGTGCTTTTCGGGGTTTTCCGTTGCGATAGTCGGTGGTGTGGCTCCCTTTGAAAGGAACTTGAAAGTTGTAGCTGGCGCGGCGATCTTCTTCGTTGTTTCATTTCTGCCGATTATCGGGGAGAAGGGGGCTGTTGATTCAATTATTAGTGAGGTGTTTTGTATCCGGTGGTGATGAGCGATGACCTGCGCCCTATACTATTTTTTTTCTCTGTGCTTTCAATCCTAGTGCTCACAGGAGAGCGGGAGTGGAAGGAGGAGGAGAGAGACTTGTAAAGCAAGTATTCAAGGGGAATCGTACCCAGATCAGCCAAATAGCCTGCTCGTGCCGTACCGCCCTCTGGCACTTTTTGTAGTTTGAGGAGGGCATCTGATATCTGTCCAATGTACTAGTCAGTTCAGGTACTGGAATCGGATGAAGCTGTAGCATGTTATGCGCATACTAGCAGCTCATATATATCTTCTTAGGCAGATCATACATCGCAGGCTGTGTACTTCTCCACTAGAGTCGCAAGTTGCTCATTGAGGGTGGACATGGCGGGGTGCGGGGTGCGGGGAGATGAAGACGCAAGGAATAAGATCTGGTTGTGCAGCGATGGGCGTTCGATTGTACTATATGCCACCAGAAGAGGATGTAAACGTAAACTGGTGCAGATGGTTTAATTGTATTGCCGATCAAGTCGCGCACATGTCCGCTAGTCCGGGTATCGGAATCGACTTCATCAGCCCACCCTATGCCACCCGAGGATATCCTGTTGCATGGTCCGGTTCTCCACTTCTAAGCGGAGGCTGTCCCAGGGCCATACTACACATCGATGTCGACACATATATCTGGGCAGTGACCTAGAAGATCTTCATGCTGTTAGGCTTATGAATGTGACAGAGAAACAAGTACCTAGGTAGGTCAATGGTATTCAACAGACGTGGTGGAAAATACTAGTAGAGAGGATAGTCCGAAGCGATCCCGTATGTTGTTTTCCAAAAGCTAAGTTGATAACTAACTATGCAAAGATTTGAAGAGTTGAAATGATGCCAAATATGTACTCCCTGCAATTCCATGGAAATAACCAGCGGCGAGCTTTATACATAGTATCAATCCTCCTCAGCACCTGGGTTGCTACTAGGCCGTCTCTACCTTTGTCGTCCCATCTTCGTACCATAGCCTCATCGCCATCTGACTGATACTATCCCCATCCCAGCCCTTTTCCATCAAGTCAAGTAGCTCAGGCTGAGACTTAAACTTTAGAACTTCGATCGCAGAATGACGTAGTCGATAGAGAAGCCAATGGTTGACAAAATTAGACTTATTTAATGGAAGAGGGCGTCCCGTTTCAAAAAAGGGCGATCGGTCATCCAATTTAGAGGCACGCAGTGGATCTGGAGATGGCTGATCTTTGGTGTAATCGAGGAGATACTCCTTCAACAAATCCCGCCATTCATCGTCTGTGACTACGACGATATCATCCTGAGGCATTTTGCGCCCAGGATGATTCTCGAGTCGAAGATGTGTTTCATTTAATCCCCCCTCAATGTTATTTCTTTCATCTTCATACTGTTCAAGGAACAGCTGCGCGTTATTGTCGAGGGGTAGACCATTCTGCCCGCGGAACTTCTGTTGATCAACTATCTTGATGTATTCCGTCTCACCTCGGGTAAGCTTCTCAAGTCTTGTACGAAGTACCCGAGCATCTTCGACAAGGGAGATGTATTCAGCTGCTTCGGGAGAAAAGTCGTGAGTATCTTCGGCAGGTACATTATGGTGCACTGGCGAGTCAGAGTGAACATCGATGTCGTGCTTCTCTTGGGCGAGGAGCGTAACATCTTTGCGTAGGATACCAGTAAGCTCTGCCATGTGCTTATCTAGATCTTGTTCTTTCTGCTCTAATGCATCTTCTACCATTTGGTATTCGGCTTCCAGCCCTAGATAGGATGCTGTGGCTGCCTGCAGGTTCTCGATAGTCTGGCTTATTCTCAAAGCTTTTGCATCCACCTCTTCAGGTATGATAGAATTGAGATTATTCTGGAGGGCTCGTCGAATCTGATTCTCTTGTTCCCGTTTGTGTCGAAGTACACTGCGGAAATTCCTGGCATGGGATCGTTGGACGAAGAGATCCTCCTGGAGGGCGGCAACCTTATCTAATATGGTTGCTAGATGAACGTCGTTATCTTGTATATGCACTGGCAAATTATCGGGGAGGTGGAATTGTTGGGATGAGGCTGAAGATAGGCAAGGCTGCGTTTCGTGGATGCGCTGAACTCTCGCGTTCAAATCTGGGTCACTTTCAATAACCTCTTCGGCAGGGTATCCATATAGCGGGACAGTTGATGTAGTTTTGGGAGGAGAATCGTCGGATATCCAACGGGAGTTTGGTTGCAAGGTGTCGGTTGCTGTTGAGACTGGGGACGTCCATACTGGGCAGTCCTCTGCTGGTTGCAGCATAGGTGATAACCTGGCGGCGTAGACCTCGCTCCTAGTATCTTCCCATGGATCTCCAGCAAATGATGCCTATAGTATGAAATCTTGAATATAAGCCAAAGAACAGGATATGTATCTATGCCGAATACGATGGCGATTAAGCTTACCAATGCAGAATGGCTCCGTGAGGTCCCAGGCCAGGATGCCATGACTAGTACTAGTTCAACATCAACTGATCACATCTCGATGTGAAAATCGCCGAGATTAACCGCAAATCCAGCAGGTTAACAGGGATAGTTTGCGGGATGGAGCAAAGAAGTATCCAAATGTATGAAGTGAAAGATACAAGAAGCACAGGTCGCGGCTAGTGTCCGTCGGGCGCAAGCAAGCGAGCCTCGCAGGGCGTCGAGCAGCCCAATCTTCGTTGTTGTGTCACCTGAAACTCTGGCCATTTAGCGCCCCGAGCTTCCGACGTGCTCCGTCGAGCTATCGGATTTCTACATGTTGTGGTTTGCCGTCTTTAATCGAGCTGGTAGCCAGTTGTTCAAGTTATTATAGATCGAATCCCGAGGCGACCGTTAATCGAGCATGAACGACAAGGTACCGTACTTTTGCATATATATCTGTACTTCATTCTCATAATATATTTCGCCATATCAGTCCAGGGCATGTGATTTTTCTTGGCGCGCGAGTGAGTTCAAAGGTTCAAGTTTCTATGATAATTCTTGATCTAGGTAGTGGGAATTACTCGGTCATTGCAGAGTGCCCTTGTCTCTCTTTTAGCTTCAGCCCTGGAGTACTACTACTAGTACTACTTTTGTAATGTAAGTCAGAGTATGAATGCACTTTGCTAACAATTTTGCGTTCTGTTTGGCAAGATGACCGAGTGGTTAAGGCGCCGGTATGGGAATTACTCAACATCCGATCATCATGATCATATCACTAACAAATCAACGGTGTTTAGGTATCTGTACTCTGTACAATACAAATCCCGCGGCTCGAAAGAGCGTGGGTTTGTCCCACTCTTGTCATATTTTTGCTTTTTATCGTAGCGTACTAGTGTTATTTCATAGTGTTGTTGCAGCCAGACTGCATCGTCTCCCGGGCGGGGTCACACGCCATCTTCCAGCTGCATAAAAATACAAATATTTCTCGGTGGACTACTTATTTCACTGCTCAATTCCACAAATATCTGACAAGGAGAATCATTCTTCTGTCGCCTATCATAGAGGCAGTAAAACCCGGCGGTCCTATTCTATTCAGAGGAATAATAAGTGGGTTATCAATTGACAAACCATAAGATACTACCCTACCCTACCCTGAACATGCATGTATATCATCACGACGGCAGAAATCCTCCCACGTAGACAAATAAATCGAGTCACAGATATAGTCTAGATTTCTTTCCTTATTGTTGCTCGCTCTACTGGAAGACATTAAGGCACCAAGGCACCAAGGCTAAGATTGACCGCCCGCAAAGATCTCACCGCCCGCCGAAATTTCCCATACAGATGCAGCATCTTTTTTTTCGTCCTCGATTAAATCACCACATAGCAACCATGAAGCGCAAACTGGATGCAAATGATGTCCCGTCACCCGAAACTGCGGGTGTCGAAGACCAGGAGCCTGACTTTGAGGCTTTGGGCCTGGATCCCCGACTGCGTCAAGCCTTGATTAAGGAAAAGTTCACCAAGCCGACTCTCGTACAAGCCAAGGCAATTCCTCTGGCCCTCGAGGGCAAAGATATTCTGGGTAAGTCACATTCGAGACAATTTAGATATTTACAGCAAATACTGACAGATTCAGCTCGTGCGAAGACTGGCTCTGGAAAGACTGCCGCCTACGTTCTCCCGGTTTTGCAATCCATTCTCCAACAAAAATCTGTTAGTCTTATCCAATCTACCACCGACGCCCCCAATGATGGGCCCGACTGTGGATTTTATTAATGCGTCAATCAATTAGGCCGATCCCTCGTCGAAAGCCACCACCGGCCTTATCCTCGTCCCCACCCGCGAGCTGGCAGAGCAAGTCCAGAAAGTCGTCACATCTTTCACTTCGTTCTGCGGAAAGGATGTTCGCTCCATCAACCTAACACAGAAAGTCTCCGATGATGTGCAGCGTACGATGCTCGCTGATTTCCCCGATCTGGTCATCTCAACCCCGACTCGCGTCCTGGCGAATGTCAACAATTCCGCTCTGTCGCTCGAGAAACTCTCTTACCTGGTAATCGACGAGGCTGATTTGGTCCTGTCCTACGGTTACGATGAGGATATCAACCTTCTTGCCAAGGCTATCCCGCGTGGTGTGCAGACATTCCTGATGAGTGCCACTCTCACCTCGGAGGTGGATACTTTGAAGAGTCTGTTTTGCCGCAGCCCGGTAATCCTGAAGCTGGAAGATAAGGAGGAGAAGGGCGCTGGTGTTAGCCAGTTTGTTGTCAAGTGCGCGGAGGATGAGAAGTTCCTTCTTACATATGTTATTTTCAAGCTCCAACTTGTCAAGGGCAAAGTCATCATCTTCGTCGGCGATGTTGACCGTTGTTACCGCGTGAAGCTTTTCCTCGAACAATTCGGTATCAAGAGCTGTGTCCTCAACTCAGAGCTTCCCATCAACTCCCGTCTGCACGTTGTCGAGGAATTCAACAAGGGTGTTTACGACATTATCATCGCAGCCGATGACCAGGAAGTCATGGGTGTGCCCAAGCCAGTCAAGAAGTCCCCGGAGGCAATTGAAGACGGAGCGGAAGAGAAGGAGGAAATCGGTTCCAGTGAAGATGAGGAGGTGCCCGAAGAAGAAAAAGGCAAGCAAAAGTCGAAGCGCCGCAAGATGACCAGCAAGGAAAAGGACTACAGTGTTGCGCGCGGTATCGACTTCCAGAACGTCGCCTGCGTCCTCAACTTTGACCTCCCAACCACTTCAAAATCATACACCCACCGCATCGGTCGTACCGGCCGCGCTGGCAAGGCCGGCATGGCCCTTTCATTCGTGGTACCCGCCGAACAGTACGGCAAGCACAAGCCCACATCAGTGTCTTCATCCAAAAAGGACGAGACCGTCCTTGCTAAGATCGTTAAGCGTCAAGGCAAGCTCGGCCACGAAGTCCGTCCCTACCACTTCGAGATGCAACAAGTTGATGCATTCCGCTACCGTATGACCGATGCTCTGCGCGCCGTCACCCGATTGGCGGTCCAAGAGGCTCGTGCTCGTGAGATTCGACAGGAGCTGATCAAGAGTGAGAAGTTGAAGCGCCATTTCGAGGATAACCCCGATGAGCTGCGACAATTGCGACACGATGGAGAACTGCGGGCAGCGCGTGTGCAGCCCCATCTGAAGCACGTACCCGATTACCTGATGCCTACTAAGGGGCGGAAGGGTATCTCGAATGAAGATGTGGGTTATGTTGGATTCAAAAAGGCTGGCAATGAGAACCGCATTCGCAAGGCGAGAGATCGTAATCGTGCCAGTGGAAAGGGCAAGGGAAAGAAGGCTGGTGGCAAGGTTGATCCTCTCAAGACATTTAATAGGCGGAAGTAGATTGGGTTTAGCTGGGTGACAGGAAGTCGGCGCATGATAGTATGATTGATACCATTGTACAGTTATTTGAAGCCAAAAAAGGAATCATATTTGCATATTTTTATTTTCTTCCATTCGATTCACTCTATGTATGCTTTTATGCACCCGATCAATAGGTACTATTGGATTTTCTTTCTACATGCGACACCAATATACAAGTTCAAAACTGCTACGCGCGACGGGAATCAACCTCCTCCATCGTGATAGGCCCCTCGATCCACTTGCCTTTGGCCTTCACTCTCAGATCCTGAATCTCCCGAAGCACCTTCTTGCCCAGAGAAACGGCATCTTCCCAAGCCTTCCGTCGTTTCTTAAAGCGTGCTAGAATGCGTTCATGCTCCAGATTCCACATCTCAGCCGGGGAAGCAGGCGATTGCTCAGACGCATGAATAGACGAGGCGAGCGAAAGCTCACGCCGACTCTCAGAATTCTCAAACCGCGCCAAAAGCTGAGTGTCCGATCTAGAGATCTCGTTCATCCACTGGCCATCCTTGGGGTACTCGAATCCTGGTCCCAAATTGATCCACTCGACATCTCGCCAGGAACCAGTCCACTCGGGCCCGTTCGAGCCAGGCCGGTAAGGTTGACCGTCGGGGTCAGTGCCTGTCCAGGTAATGGCGGCGAGCCAATCGCTGCAGCCTTCGAGATCAAGCCATTTCAGGCAGTAGATGGATCGAGATAGTTGGCGGAGAATAGCCGCCGACTCGGCCCAATTGTTCTCCATCGAGGCATACATGTCCGTGCCGCTGTAGGAGAATCTCAAGGAGCGGTTGGTTGGATGAACCAAAGTGGCATTCGTAGCATTGGGTGTGCGAGTTGGAACTGGCCAGTAGGCAAGTGACAAGTGTGTGATAGTTGGAAGATGTGACATGAGATGCAACAAAGTGTTCCAATTTGCGGCGCCTGAACTCGGATGTGCGAGCGAGAGGTAGTGGAGCTTTTTAAATCGCATTCCTTGACCAATAGCCTTCGGAATGATGGTAGTTGGCGGCATATGTGTAGACAGATCATCGGTAGGTTCCTCTAAGTCCAGATCTTGTTCCTCTTGCTCCCACGATGCTGGGACAGCTTCCTGGACATCGGGCTTCGAGTCAACAGCCGTGGGTTTCGTCGATAGGAGCAGCTCATGAGAAAGTTCTTTCAATGTAATCCAGCGGCCCAAGGCGCGGGACAGATCTAATCTGATGATAGTTGCATCGCCCGCAGTTGCAGTCGTCCGATGTCCAATTTCAGGATTATCGACATCGGCCAGGAAGAGCGGCTTGAGCCCTTTCATGCGGTCCCTCAATTCTGGACCATGGGAATGCATTGCTAAATAACTCAGCAAAAGCTGCTTTATGTGGCTAGGAAGCTGAGCTAGAAAGTATCCATCATAGTCTAGATGCCAACACCAATTACGAGCCATGGACATCAAGAGCGTATGCACGAAGGAGCGGTCCCCAGGGAAGGCAATTCCGGGCAACCTGTCGAGTCGATGGGTAACTTGAACATCTTCACAACCAAAATCCACTGCATCGTCCTGAGCCGAAGAGCTCGAGTTCTCGGTATCTCCCGATAGCCAGCTCGCGGGTGGCGGGGGTCCAGGGATAGGGCGGATTGGTCGGCTCCCAAACACCGTTCGACGAGGACGAGGCGGTGGGGTTTCTGGAAGATGTAGGAGGTTCCGAAGTGAGGGATGGACTGATCGAGGGGACACGAAAGATGGTGCTCTGGCCGGGCCTTCGTGGGAGACTTGGGTACGCCGCAGGTGACTGATCAAGTCGTTAACAGAGGGATCGGTGGTGGAACCTGCAGCTTGGCGGGACTGATCATTCTGGCGTATGCTGGACGGACCAAGAGAATGGTGAGGGGTGCTTGGTGGCTTGTAGACGAAAGACTTTTTCTGCTTTTTGGGCATGAGAACTTGAATCGTCCTTGCGGGGAGTTGTGGAGGAGAAGCGGCGACTCGGCTGGCAATCACATTTGGACTAACGTGGTCGCCCCCACGCCAGGTATATTAAAGGACAATGGTTCTATTAAACACAGGGCCCCGCATGTGCAGTCTTCTATCAAAAGCTAAGTCTATACAAAAATATGTGTACATCGTAATTTTTACAGTTGGATCAGATATCCCGAACCCAGGAATCATCCTTCATATGACCTTCCCGGTTGGGGCCCTCTTCCAGCCATGTCTCGACCAGACCCTCTTTCGGATCTTCGTCTGGAAGACCTCGTGATCGGCGGACGTCGAGGACGAGGTTTCGGATCTTAAAGGTGACTTCTTTGCGTAGCGCGACAGCCTCTTTGTCGTTTAACAACGCATCACTTAAGACGCCAGTAGGAAGATCTCGGGATTGCGGATCTGCCTTCTCAACCCTGGTCTTCAATTTCTGCCACCGGGATCTCACTTCGCCAAAGATCTCTTCAGTATCCACCTTGGACCCGAAAGTGACACTCACGTCCTTGCCGGGACGAGGAAGGAATCGTGGGAACTCGCGGCTCTCGTGCATAATATCATCAACGCCCTGAATCCACATAGGAACAACGTCGGGGCATTCCTTTGTTTCGAGAATCAGTCGAGCAACGCCCCACTTGAAATATCGCATCGTCTTGCGGGGTGCTTGGTGGATCTTTCCCTCGGGAAAATGTGAACCCACGAGTGGGAGTTGCATGAGTATGCGGATGGTGCCGAGTGGGCGTCTTCGCCATTGGTAGTATAGGCTATGGATAGATCTGAGAAAGGGTCGATGCAGACATTCTGGAGGCTGAACTGTTGGCGTTCGGGGCTGGCACGGTGGTGATCAACGGAGAAGGGACCTTTGGACAACAATCGGATGGCTTCTGTCATGGCAGGTTGACCCAAGCCACCGAAAGGAGAATGGGCTAGGCGATGTGTTGGTAGTACTTGTCCCATGGTGAAGAAGAATGACAGCGGTCTATGGCAAAATACAACGTTCCCTGTTAGCATTCATTTTGAAGCAACACGCGTAACACAGACTTGCAACTGACCTGGTTTGGAAACAGATATCATGGCTACCGAACGACCACCGCTTATTCCAAAATCGCATAGGCAGTAATCCCCAGATCAAAGGATCATCCATACTAATTCGTCGCAACTTGATGTCAGTCATCTATGTCGTGATCCGGCAATATAGACTTTCACGAGGGTAGGCAGTTCGAAGGTACATACACACTAATATGATTTGAAACTGAGACGAATTGATCAGCGATCAGTCCTCTTCAATCACGCTGGCGCAAATGCTGGCGGGGGGAGCCTTACCTGTAATCAAACCCTTTGACCTTTGCGCCGGGTCCTTTCTCGAATCGAGCAGGGCAGTGAACTCCTCATGGCCATGAAGTTCCGCATGGCACAGCCCTGAGAGGAATGCGCGGCATAGCCCGGCGACTCCATACATTGTCGTGTTTGACCAGACCCGCCAGGGGAGGGACGGGGCCTCGGCCGTTGAACCGGAGTCCATTGTGTTGGCTTGGGAAGGTGTTGACTTCATAGAAAATCCATGTACGATATGCGTGTCTCGGAGACGCAGCGAATGGTCTGGGGTATCAAGACCCTTCGTCAAGGTCGGGTGTGCGCAAAAGGAAAAGCGCGATTGGATGTTTCGGCGAACACATTTGTCCCATCGGAATCACATGATCTACTCCGGGGTAAACGTTCAAATTGTGTCACAATCGAGTAATGTATAATATTAGACAGTGACTGCGGCTCGATATATTCAAACCCATCCGTCCTAGTTTCCTCCCGATAATTATTATCATTTTGCAGTCATTAGTGGTACTTGAATGCGCGACAAAGTTTGCCGTCCATCCGGGATTGTTTTATAGAGTAGCGCACGGACCAGTCGCAGTTCCGACTTCGAGATCGATTTTGCTGCGGGTTAAACTCACCACCCGCAACGTCCAACAGTCATGTTTAAACCTACGAATGCCCTTTTCGGAGGTCTTCTCTGGTAAGCATTTCAGTTTCTCCCGGCTAGCTGCATTGATAAGAATGACCCTGGTGAACTAATACACCCTTTTGTGAATCCACAGGAAGACTCCGTGGCGCCTGTCCTCCCCCCAGAAAGCCCGGCAACGCAAGCGTCTGCGCGCCGTGGACAGCGTTGTCGATACCCTCAGTGCTGCCCTCGCTCGCAATGGACAGAGCGCAAAGGCTGTTGAGCGGTGGTATGCGGAAATGCCGCGCGAGGAGGAGATGCTCCCCAAGGACAAGTACACTCTCTTCGATAAGAAGGAGAAGAGCTACCGCAAGAGCATTCACAGTATGCCAAACCCACTTCCTCCGGACCTACCCTTGCTTTTTGTCTTGGGGAATTATACTAATGGATATTCCTTTCTTGCAGAGCTGCCCAAGTGGACTCGTGTCAGCCAACGTGTGAACCCCCCTGGTTTCTAAATTCGATTTTTGCAATACCCCGAACACGAAAGCACTCCTCCTATTCGCCGGCCAAAAGAACATCGGCATCTGTATTATACGCATCAACCCCGACCTGGCAGTGTCATTCATGCGTCCTGCTTGGGTAGTAAGGAAGGACCGGAGTTTTTGGCATCTGAGAAAATCGTCGTGGCTATTCCAAGAGGAGGCCAGACTTACAAGATTTTATTTTCAGCGATTAGAATTTATCAATTCAATTATCTTTCGAACAATGAGTTACGTCTAATCGATTCCTGATTGAGGAAGCTCGCAGTAGGGATAATATGTTCAAAGCCGGGCTCGACAGGTAAGAATATGACATCGGTGAGAAGTTATTTGAGATATAACAGGCTCCTGTGAGATAGCGAGAAACGAGTGAACAACAGCCAATTGCTATAAACTTTGCCCGGACGAACCATCAGGTTCTCACACCACAACCATTCCAGAAGTCGGGACCCGTTGAGCATCCTTGGAGACGATCTTAAGTGATGTAGACCGGCAACCTCTATGAACTCGACTAGCGACCTCTTTCACCCAGTAGCGGTTGACACGTCCCTCCTGGATGGTTTTGCGAAGACGGTAACCCCGTCCGATATGCTGCCAGTCTTCAAATGTCTCTTGCCAACCGGTCCCACCTTCGTACCACCCATTCTTTTGCTTGGTAGAAACCTCAAATCCCTGAGGTGGCCTCGGGAACATCCAGCATCCTGGGTCGATATGTCCATCGGGCGGCTCTTCAATGGAGTTCTCGTATAATTCCACGGTGCGCACTGCATCGCGAAGTCCAGATTTTTTTTCTCCGTCGGTTGACTGTGGCGCGCCACGAATCGATACGAGGTGTATAGGCACGCTTTTGAATAGGGACCGGGTATTTCGGCTTGGAGTCATATGTCGGCTCCGGATAAGGGACATTGAAGCGTGGGTCTCCCCACTCTCGTCTGGAATCAAGAGCCACTCTTGATACCGGATCGATGACTAGCCAGGTCTCTCTGTTTAACCAGTGATTTGCTAGTTGTGCAAAGTGATACGGCTTCTGGCCGGGAGTCATCTCGTTGAATATCCACACCAACTTGCGTTTCAATCCATCTATCAATCTGATCTCCCAATCGCAAAGCTCAGCATCAGATTGTCGGTCTAACCGATCCAAGAGAACCTTATCATTTTGCGAAGACGATCTAGGTCTGAAAGGCAAACGTAGTCTGACCTCCAGTCCCCTCGTGTGTCCTATTGTCTCGAAAATCGGGCTTGAAACCACTTCCTCTACTGACATGTGGCCCAATCGTCGACGAAATCTGGCTGGTAAGGTGTGGAACTTTGTGATTGTATCGAGAGGTGCCCTTGGAATTAGTTGAAAGCTTTGGTCAAGCCCGACCTGGTTAGCCGAATATCCAACTTCTCTGTTATTCCTGGGTTCTCGGCTGATTGGGATTGATTCTAAAGCAGTCTGTTCTGATTGGAAAGTGGACAGCATGTCAGTAAACGGGGTCCCCGGGGGGCCAGATAAGTCTCGTAATTCACATGGCACTAGCCTATCTGCCTTGACCTGCATTTTAGCAGACCACACACGGAACTTGCGTAATTGAGCATGTCGGCGCGGTGTCTCTGATATAAGCTCTGCTATCGGATGCCTGGGCATTCTGTGGGAATCCACATAAAGCCTGCAATCCTTCAGTTGCAGATTTCCTCGGTTCTCAAGGTGTTTATTCGGAGGCATGATGACTTTGCTGAAATCGGGAACGGACCAGGATTTGATCCCCAACGGAGGAACCCGAATTTGTGACTGCAGCTTCGGGGGGCAAGTCTTGTTTAACGGGGTTGGCGATATAGACTGCATTATTGCGGCAAACACCTCGCTTTGATGACTGTTATGCTCCTCATAGCTTCCATGCATATGCTCGAGCCGAGTAAAGCATTCCTGGTAAATTGAAACCTCGCTGGCTTCCGATATGTGTGTTCTTGAAAGTTCCTGTGATAACCGACTTAAGCTGATTGTCGAGCTCGCCATCGAGGGTTCTGTCATTTGATCGGTCTGGATCTCAATCATGTCGATCAAAGCGCCATGGCATTCGGTAGGGGATCCCGGGTTCCAAATTTGATCGGCTGGACGAGGCTCATACCTTTGAAGAAACCGAGGCATCCAGCTCGGGGTTTTGCTCCGCCGCTGGCGCTTCTGTGTCATTTCTTGACCCGGATCCCACCATACCCAGCTATAGTCCATTCTGCTCGACTCCCACGACAGCCAATCGAGAATACAACTGAATATATTCGTGATTATTCTTTTGTTTCTCTCGTGTACATCGAGCGGTACCCAGCCATACCAAGTCCTGGCATGGCGAGTGGTTGTCAACTTGCCCTCTCTTAGCACTCTGTGTCTGTTCAGCGATCGGACATACTTGCCAATTTTCCAGAAGAGAACGGCAAAGATGAATATACCGACTGTTCCGGCAAATAACTCGCCGAGAACAGCGGGGTTGATTTGGGCATTTACACTGATTGGGTGGGTGTATGGTCCTTTTGGTGGCCGAGGGGGCGATGGGGTAAAGGAGTGGTTCTGGCGGATTTTCAGTGGCGCCATGCTGGTGTGTGCCCATAGACGGAAAAGACTAGACTGGAATATTGATATGAGACATGAGTGAAGATGTTGGCTCAAGGGCGAGATCCAAGTGAGGAAGATCGTGGCTGTGGTGATTGGGAGCTGTCGGGGGACGCTGTTTACTTTGCGGCTCCGACGGGCTCGGGTGGCAGTTGCTGTCCAAGTTGCTCTGCATCATTTTGTAGTACTAGTACCTAGGTATGATTAATGATCTACTCACAACTCTTTGGAAGTTTTCGTTCGGCAAATTGAAAAGGCCAGAGTCGGACAGGGAGAGTCTGACACTCCGATTAGTCGTGGCGAAGTATACAGTACTATACACCTGGGCATTGCAACATTGAAAGAGGCAGGCTTAAATGAGGAATTCCTCAAACATGCTCGTTTTGATGGCGAGACGGTGATAATTTGCGACAAGAAGCTCACCAAATACATCAAATTACCGGGCGGGGACGAGCATTCCTCTCGCAGCCGACCCGAAATAGATCGGACAACCCTCCGCGATATTCTTCTGAACTCCGTACCACCACACCTCATTCGGTGAGGATGTCGCCTGCGTTCTATAGATAAAAACCGCAGACTGATTTTCGACCATGGCATAGAGTCCGGATACGACCTGGTTGTGGGAGCAGAACGAGTTTGGAGCAAGACTCGCAAACTCATTTCTGACCAAATGTCGACTTATGCTGGCTTGACAAGCTATCGTTGGAGAATACCCGATGCAATGAAAATAGCACCCGAGAGCTATAAGCTTGTCAACGGAGAATCGGTATTATCCTACTCTGACGGACGTGCGAATATGGCCCACAGCTTGGGGACGGCAGCCTGAATGTGTATACATTCACACCATTGGTTGGAAAACTGGAAAGCAAATGAACAATTTGACCTCCATGATACTGAAGCGACCAGGATGGCATTACTAGACGAATTCCACGACCGGGATCCGGAATTGCTGGATCTAGTTCGTCATGGGCAAGATCCTGCTCCCCGTTCTCTCTTTATGCTTCCTGTGGGCTGGTCGTGAGAAAATTGCCCTGGGATGACCTTGGTCGGGGATTGCTGCCCATGTCATGACACCCTTTGCAGGTGATGGCATCAATCTCGGCATGCGGGATTCTCTGCTGCAGTCTCGGGCCATACTTAAGGCTTCCAAATCGCCCTCACCCGAGACCAGTCTACTGGCCGAGATCAATTCTCTCGAGAAGCACCTGTTCGTACGAACAGGCCGCAAGTTTGACCAATTACATGCGGACATGGTTATTTTTCATTGATGGATCTCAGGGGTCTGTGATAGAGAAATAGATACTGCGGATGAAGACCTTTCACGAGAGGGGAATCTTGAATAACAAAGAAAAAAAACATTTTGAATTGAAAAAGCTGAAGACCAATGTGACGTGATGCTTGGTGCATTCACCGGCATTCAATGTCCACGTGGGGTCTGAAACAAAATGAAGTCCAAACGACAGGTCATATCAGTCTCCAGTAGTTCGTAGCCCCTCGTTGGTAAATGGAAATAATTGGGCTATTTCACCGTATGGCGGTGACTTTCACATGTCAGACTCAATCTTCAAGCCCGAAGGTCGAGCCCCAGTTCTCCAACAAGGTCCCGCCTTCCTGGAAAGAGGGATGATCCATGTTCATCCGGGAGAACGGAAGCAGGGAAGTAGGGAAACAAAAAGCAAAGATCTAAAACCGGCACGATCCGAAAGAGGTGATAAAATGCCGGTCTCTATCCAAGCGCCGGGTCCACCGAAGCTCGAGCCGTAGAGCCTGCCTAATCGGGAAGGCATAAGGTCCACCGCCACACCGCTCCAGCCACTCGCGCCACTCCCTTGCGTTCAGCCACAGTAGCCACAGCATCAGCCGCAGTGGCGGTGCGACTATTGACATCGGAGCGGGTCTGATCGGCCCCGGGTCCCTGTCCCTGTCCCTGTCCCTGTTCATGAGCGAACAAGGTTCATGGTCACTTGTCCTCCCTTGGAATTTTACTATTTTGTTGAGAAAATATGTCTCGGCTTTCAAGTTTCTGCTACGGGCTACGTGGAGGATCCGAACATTCCCGGAAATTACAACCTAAATCCCATGCATGGGATGACGAGTTGATGCTTGTCTTGTGTCATTCCCAGGGGATATCTTGGGCTCGCCTAGTCCTGTCTTGTTTGTTTCCCCCCAAAAGTTTAAATCCCGGAGTTGCATACCATGAACCATGGTTTGATCCTTTGAAACACGTCCACCTGATCTCGAACATGTCTCAAAGATGCAGATGGCCAAGAACAAGATCGTGATCGTGGACTCCGAAAACCTCCTCCCAGTCGAGAGTTAGCTGTCGATTGCCGAGATGACACTCGACCACGATCACTAATTGCTTTTGCACCCACCCTTTGCTGGCCTGAGTCCCATTTAACCGAATTGGCCCATAACAGTGGATGCGGGAAACCCCAAACCACGACCTGGGAGGAACTATCGACTGGTCCGTGTCAGATCAGCGGCATGATCGTCGAGTCTAGCCTCGCTGGGAGCGGGACGTGCCAAGCATCATACAGGACCTGACCGAAGCTTTTTCCGCGTGGAACACATCTCAGATTCTTGACCCCAAGTCGTATCCTAGCTCGCACATGGTGTTGCGGATCCGACCTCCCCTGATGGTCCCCGATGCGCAGAACAACCCCGAGTGGGGCCTGGCCTGGACGATTCTCGATGGGGCCAAAAAGTGAGGCTGACGAAGCTAAAAGTTGTGGCTAGTGAACGATGGAGTTCCATCACCCCATTATCCAAGGCAGCACTATTGCTTGGAAATCTGTAATATGCGTAACCGGGAAATGAGGAGAAAGAACATCGATCTGGCGCATTATTGCGCTCGACCCATCAAGCTCCAGCACGGCTGCCGAACACCTTTCGGAGTGACCGATGGATTTTGGGCATGATTACGAAATGCGCATATAGTCCCCATGCGCCACAGTTCGCCGTTTGTGGCTTGCATCTTCATGCCTAGAGGCCCGACTTCTGCAGGCTCTTCTCCCTTGATAGATTTCAGCCGTGTCGTCGTCAACTCTATTGTGCTCTACTGAGTTGTTGTCACGTTGTGCTCAAGGCCAGAGAAGCTACCACCTCCCAGAGAGCACTAAACATAGATATGTAGCTGCCTTAGTGGCACTCCCATGATTCGCCTTTCCCCCGCGGGACAGACAAAGCTGAATCTCCCCATGAAGAGCTTTCATCAGCGCCACGATGTGATCTAAACACGTCGTGACAGCTGCAACAGGACGGTTATCGCAGGCGGGGCAGCTCGGGGTGGATCCGTGCACGGAACTATTGGAACACCACCCGTCCTCTGGTTTGCCCCTGCACACGAACGTCGATCGTGCATGGCTAGGCGCGTGTCAAATGTGCACCAAGGTCGCCCCTAGTAAAATCGGTAAGAGAGCGCAAAGTGACCGAATCAAAATCCCGACTGCCAGACGGTGGGCCATGACCTGAAGTGCTCCAGAGTCGATCTACACGCTAGTATCAGATCTTCCTGCAGCGCATCTTCAATTTCTCAGATCTAGCACTTGCCGGCCCTGCCCCCTGCCCCTCTGCCCCTCTTCTGGTTTAACCATTTCCCTGTAAGAAGGAATTTGTCGATCATTCGGTTTGATTTTTTGATTTTATTTTTTCCCCCCAAAATTCATATTTCGATGGATTATTTTCTTTTACCACCCCAATTTTCCCGGAACGTGCTCCTGCAAGGATGTATGCAGACGCCGAAGAAACACCTCATCGGCCGTAAGATCTTCACTCATTCTTGCCCAGTTATTCGATTTATTTCGATTTTTCTCAATGTGAATTCAAATTTCCATACCCGCACGGCATCATAGCTGTCTTGGCCTCGTCCCAGGAACCTGGACACCGACCATTTGTGTAGTACTTTTGCGGGTGGCAACATGTACTAGCTCTCTGATGGTTGACCACACGCATTCTCTGGAACATGGCCCCTAGATGGGATATTGAATGTTCGATATTGGCGTCTCGGCTGCTGCGGGGACGTATATGAAGACCAGGCGATCTCCCGTGAACCATATTTTTTTTCAACCATAATCATAATTTCTCTCATCCCTTTTCAAGGTTCTCACTCCTCCCTACTCTTCAACGTCTATTTTACAGATCGTGGCTCTTGATCTGTCCTCATCTACACTGCGAAAGTTTATCTTACGATCCACCTACTCCAATTATACTTCTCCGATCTGTTTTCCCTATTGCTCCCCGATTGGTTCCATTCAGATCGCTTGGACTTTACTTTGTATTTGCCATACACCCAGGCTAAATATCTCGGCACCCCCAAAATCTTCAATTCGAAGGTTTCGCGATTTTTCTAAAAAAAGGGACAAAAAGATGGCGGCCCGTGAATTCAACCTGACTTTTGAAGTCGCTCCTCCTCCCGCTGTGCGCCCCGGGCTCCCTTTTACCATCCCCGTCATCATAGCCGTTCGGCCTATCGGTACACCTGCGCGAAATGTACAACATCTCGTCGTGAGCGCTAGTTTGCGCGATGAAAATAGTACAGCCCCTGCTGTTGGATTGGGTGGCAGTTTAACGGCCAGCGTTCGCAGCCGCAGCGATAATGCGATGAGCGGATACGCCAAGTTCCCCTCTCTCACAGTCTCGCGACCAGGGAAGTATCGTGTTCGCGTGATGCTGAGTGCAGCTTCTGTCAATGGGGTCGTCACCAAGGAATTCGTCGATTCGGGAGTCATTAATGTGCACGCTGCTGCTCCGGCGGCCCAAAGACCGAGTAAGTGGGGGTGATAAATCATCATTCAATCAATTGAATGCTTCTTATTCGTGTGCCCTATCTATTCCATTCCCCTCAGTGGTTCTCCCGCCATAACGGCCAGTTAGCCGTGGCATCGGGTCTGAGATCACAAGTGGCGCGGCCCCATCTTCCTTTTTTGGAATCTTGCTGATGACTCGATTTTTTTTCTCATCAGCCCCCCTCCAAGCTGGAACCTTGCAGCGACTGACAGCTGAAAATCTGGATATCTCTACAGCGGATATCGCGAAGTGGCAATCTGCATGATCGTATTGCAGTCTCGGAGGAAATGGAACCATTGTTATTGGGTGTTGATGTGGAGTTTCCTGGAGTTTCCTATTTGTTTTGATCGATTTTTCTTTCGATTTTGATTTCATTTTTGTTCGGTCGTCAGGTTCTTGCTTCTGCTTTTTTTTAGTTCTGGTCTTTCGATATTGTTCTTTTTCGTTTAGACTTTCTTTCATACCTTGGAGGCTTGCTACTACTTTGGGAGAATCGCAAGTTTTTTCCACCCCTCCATCTAGTGATTATGCAACGAGTAATGGACAGTCTCTACCAAGAGAAATTTTTTGGATCATCTTTGTTTTTTACCTTGGTTCTTTTCTCTCTTCTCTTCTTTTGGGGTCCCGGGATCCTGGGGGTTGGGAGGGGTGATTGTGATGACGTGACAAGAGTGTTAGTCCACTTTTTCCCTTATTTTTTTTTTTGCGAACGGCGAATTAGAGACTGTAAATCAAATTTAAGAAAAAGAAATCATGTGATATAACCTGGCTCTATTCGGAATTCATCAGAATCGCCGTATCTAATTGGTTACCAATACGAATTTTCATCCGCCCGAATCGCAACTCCATCTCTGTGTGGGTGGTCAATAGTTCAAGGCACTCTTATAGTTCCGAAGAATCCCCAGACTCTGTGCCGATCCGAGCACATACTGCAGAAATGTGGGATAGTCCCAGCCTATGCTCCCAGCTGCGAGTCCCATCAAGCTGGTTTGGTCGTCACGGCCAGGCCGCCCAGGCCCTGTGATATTCTGCAGGTTCGATCAAGGGTTAGCACTTTTCCTGATTTTTGCGATATTGAATATCATTTTGCCAAGCTTCTTCAGTTGTGGGTCATTTGCGGAAACAATCAACTCCGCAATGTCAAAGGAGAGGGGAAAGCCGCTGTCAATTCAGTCGCGCAAAACAGAGTAGGAGAAGCCACAACAAAAGCAATTTTTTGCCGTGCCCCACTATGTGTGGTTGGATTGGAACTGTGACTGATTGTGACCAGATTATGGCACATGCTGACTTACCGGCTTCATGTTTATATCAAATAATGCGAAATTAGTCCCAGGCCCAAATCGGCGAATATCGATCCTTAGTGGTGCGGTTGTCTTCAATAATCCAGCCACACCCTCGCATTCCCTCATAATATTGGAATATGCTGAGTCGCTCTCTATTTCCGCCGCTGTCACAGCGCGTGAATTGACCGTCACGGCTACATTGCCGCTATAGGGAGCTATTCCATCAACATGGTTAAATCGAGTGACGGGAGGCAATGCCCAATGCTGATCTCGTCGATCAGAGGGTGGCATTATGGTTATGGTACCCTCTTCTTCTTTTAAATACTCCTCCAAAAGTACACGGGGCGATTCGTCGAACAGGTAAGCAATATGTTCGCGGAGATCGGCTGGGTTTCGACAGATTTTCACGCCGTGGCTCCCCCTGCCACGCACTGGTTTCGCGACGATGGGATAGTCGTTCTCCTTGATCAAGGCAAGAGTTCCATCCAAGGTCTTCTGAAGGAGTGCATATTCGGCTTTACCAGACCGGGGATCATCCACTGTCCATGATTGGGGCAATGTAAATCCTCCATGCCGCCGTAGTTCGTCATTAGTAAATGACTTGTCGTCGAATCTATCTGCGCAGATTGGGGGTTGGCCGATGACTTTCAAATTGGATTCATAGGGCGTCAATCGAGTCGAGGTCTGTAGCGGATGTTCTGCAAAGAGGACTGTATTGGCCCAGAGGTGTGTCGCCCCTTTCTGAACTACCTCTAGAATCCCTTCTTCGGTGTCGGGATAGCACCATTGATTCTGATCTGCAGGGTCTGGATTTTCCACGGGTGTGAGAATAGTAAAACCTTCTCTTGCAAGCGCATATGCGACATCCGAGCCAGAATCTCGGTAACCTGTATTTTTGTCAGTCGGGTGGTGAAACTAAAGTTGGATGTCTTTTTAGTCTATGCACGAACCACCAGGTTTGGGCGGTTTGCTAACGCCGTCATACATAGGCGGCGCAAGGGCCTGGTACAGGACCGCGATGACGGGCTTTTTGGGGGCCATTTGAGAGTATTGCCTGAATGGTAAAGGAAGTGCGAGCGGTGGGATGGGGACTTGGACGTGGGGGCTGCAGCAGCGGACTAGTGGATGAAGGGGCAGGTTCAGGTTTTGGCGAAGAAGTCGGAACTTGAATCCACCGTTCATTGTATTTGACATGGTAACATGTACCTTTGGATCTTGACCATTCTCTTAAATGGTCAATGTGGATGTTTTCGATGGTCGGAGAACTGCCGATTCTCGGAGGCGGAGCGGAGCCATCCTGAATGAAGCGGAACACTCCGTCAATACGGAACTACACCGGAGAGAAGGGGAAATGGTAGAAAATCTTGAGTAGACAGCACAGCTGGGTCATTTAATTCATAAATATAGCGAGTAAGAATGAGAAAAAGATGAGAAAAAACAAAAGGGACATTGAGCACCAGCTCATACCCAAATATAAAACTAAGACTAGCGTAGCTAGATCACACATGACCAGCAGAGATGATGAAAGGGTATAACATAAGTCATAAGAGTGACATATCGGGGCAGGGAAATAATCCGCTATGAAATATGAAAGCGTGTCCTTCGATTGAAGTTGCAAAGCGATCAATACAATGACAATGCCTCAAGGAGGGAACCTGTCATCCTCGGTGCAAGACCAATGCATGTCCGAGACATGAAGCCTTCTCCGCACTCGGAGATGACATCAAATGTGGGGGAGAGACAAGGATGTTTCGATGGCGAATCAAATGTCGGTTCTCAATTCCTCCGTCGAAGAGATCATTGGATCGTCTCCGCGGCGGGGAGTAACGCATTGTTTGGGGGCCGAATATCGCACGGGGCAGGATTGCCAATTTTGGCTATCAGAAAAGGGGAGGAAAGATAGAAAGCTCATGGGCTAGTAACTCAACCATCCTTGTTGCGAAGCTTGTCAAAGCTGTCACGGACGGTCTCACGAACACTGAAACCACCGAAAAGCCAGTCATTGGAGTGTCGCCCGTAGTGGTTGATGGTTCCACTGTAGCGCTTGTGGTCGCCGCTGTTCTTGCGAGTCGGGGTGGGAGCACGCCTCGGGAATTCTCCTTTAGGTGAACCAGGTGACGATTCGTCGGGCGACATCTGAACAGGGCTTGTAGAGCCGTGATGTTGATCGAAGTAGGTGTGGTTGTGAGGAGCACTGCGGGGGATGTCACGAGGCTGAGACATGCTGGCGGATTTGTGTCTTGAATGACTCTGAGAAATTGCGATCGGGTTCAATGGCTTTGAGGCTGATCGGAATCGCCTGGTGATCGGATTGGAAGATGTGCTGGAGTGTTTCTTCTCGTCGGAACGCTGACTGGAGCGCGAGGAGGTGGTGGTGGTAGAAGTTTGGGACAGGGATCGCTTGGGATACTGACCAGATTGGTATGATTGAGAGTGCATCACCTGGAGAGGAGGGGAGAGGAGGGAATATAAGAGTTCCAAGTATGAAGGTAAAGTTGGAGGACACGGGCCCTCCGGGGATATTTATGTTTATGCTGTCTCTGCCAACTCACCTTCCCTCGTACTCCTCACCTCTCACAACCACCCACAACCACCCACAACCACCCACAACCACTTGCTTTCGCCCCAAGTCTCCTCTTGTGGGTGCCAATTTCCCTGTGATCGTCCTTACGGCCATAGGGCAACCACTTAAATTGCAGCGGGGGATGTCGCAAACCTACCCTCAGACCTGTCGAAAAGGAACGCCCCCAGCCGTCTGTCTCCAATCAGCTCTGCAGTTCAGCCCGAAGTCTCCATTGATAGCGGACCGGCCCTGGAATTCACCAACCGGAGGCTGCAGCAGGCGAACCCACGTATCCACTGGTAAGGTTTAGTCGTGTCGGTGAGAATACACCAAATCCCACCGCGTTGGCCACCAACGAGCCAATCCGCGTTTCTGTCTGCCTTGGAGCCTCCTCGAGTCCGAGCTGGGACCCCGCAGATTGACCGCTGCCCAGAGACACGTCGCCATTTCTGCCGCTATCTCTGCTGCATGCTTCTGTCCAGCTGGTTTCCGTATTCACGCGACCCATACGAGTACATAGGGCTGCACTGCAGAACTTCTTCCCCCCTATTCCCATTGCACCATAAGCACTACGGAAGATGCACATACAGACTACTAGTCAACTATCTTACCAGCTTGTCATGCGGTGAGATTTTGGGGCCTTGTCATAGGGCTGGCTTTTCCCCTTCCCGCGGAGTTAGGCAACCAGCAATTCTCGCTTTATGAAGATCATCCACTTTCTTTCGTCAGTCATGTGGGTCGTACAGCAGAAAGGTCGACCAATCCATCACGAGGCTCGGTCGCCCCGAGTACGACTTGCCAGCCCTATGGATTGGCAAAGATAAAGACCCATTCCTTGTCCGCTCCAGGGCGCTGCGCTCACCAATGAATTATACATCCCTGAGACATTGCCCTTCTAGCGCCCTTCGAGAAGGCCGTCCTAACCGAAGGCCACAGCACGTGTGTGCGACTGACTCATTTGGCCCCCACGCGTTACACGGAGCCAAGAAAGACACAGCTCAAGGCATTCTGAGACTCGGCACGGTCGCTCCGAGCACTGTGCTGCGGTGTTTCGTTGTTGGCACCATTCGGGTGCATTGCTGGCTTGTTTTGAAACGCGTTTACATCATTTGGCAACCCGGCTAAGGGATGACCACGAACATACCCTATGCCGTGCTCGCCTGATGCTATCGAACAAGCTTAGCTCTCACTCCCCGCCAACCTTACTTCAATTTACATATTTCTTGGCCCTAATGTGACATCATGGTATTGGCATTGATCGACTATGTTCTAACATAGTTCTCTTACATGGTCATAACACATCATTCAGCACCAACCAGCCAAATTTAAATCTTGCTGGTAGCAGATGCGGTCTTCGGTAGGCCGAACTTTGAGATATCCTCCACTGTCTGACCATCCACGGCCAGCTCCGCCAGAACTCGTCCAAAAGCCGGGGCAAACTTGAAAGCATGGGCCGCACCTAGACCCACAATCACGTCCTTGTGGTTGTCCAGTGGACTGATAACGAATCGTCGATCGGGGGTGATAGTATATTGACAGGTGACCGTGCGCAACGGCTCACGGCCCTTGTCGGGCATGAGCCTTTGCAGGAATTCAGTCAACTCCCCCTGCAACCGGGGCGAGGGTACATATGTACGCTCTTCGGGAGTCATCATATTCTGCGCAAAGTCGTGGGCAGCCTTAATAGTTGGCTCACCATAACAAGGGAAGCCATAAAAGCATGGAGCACCACCCCAGATCCAGGTCGGGAAATGGGGGGATTCAAACTCGGCTGGTTCGCTGGGCTTGAAGTATGTCACTTGCTCCTGCATGATCTGCAGAGGAATATGTACGCCGAGAGGAGCGAGCAGCTTGTTTGTCCAGGCGTCCGTGGTGAGAATCACCTTATTTGCATGGAAGGTTCCCTGCGACGTTTGAATGACAACGCCCTTTCCGGACGACTTGGGCGTAACGCGCTCGACACGAGTCCTCTCCTTCAGCACTGCACCTCTGGACCGGGCCACCCATTGCATTGTCGCAACTGTCTTAGACGCATGGACGATTCCCGTATCGGGGTCATAAACAGTATCGACCGAATCGGGTACATTGAACTGAGGCCATCTCTTATTCACCTCCTTGTTGTCAAGAAGCTCATGTGGGACATCGTTCGCAGTGAGAGCTTGTGTGTAGTTACTGGCTGGGATCGGAGCGTCTTTGGGGAGGAAAAAGAGACCGCCGGTGGTGGTTAGAAGCTTCTGACCGGAGATCTTCTCGAGCTCAGCCCAGTCCTTGTAGGCAGCCTTGACAAGCTTCACATATTCCGACTCGGAGTTGGATTTCCGGACGATACGCGATGTATCGTGAGATGCTCCGTGGACGTGTCCGAATTCGAATTGTTCCAGCCCAAGGACCTTGGCACCCTTGAGGGCGGCGTGGTATGAAGCTGCGCTTCCGAGGACACCAAGTCCAACAACGGCAACGTCGAAATGCTCCATTTCTTCTTGCGTGGTCTGTAGAAAATAATTAATGGTCTGAAAAGGTTTGATAGGCTACAACAAGACGACACAAGCCCATTTAAGAGCTAGCGATGGTGACTTCGTGAGGATGGCGGGGGCTTCCTCCGCTCACGTGGAACCAGCGATGAGGCGGGGGAGGCGGGCCTAGATGATACCAAAGCTCCCTGAAGAATGAAGCGAATGAGACCTTTATCCAAATCCGAGCTGATAGGGTTGGACAGCATCCACCCAAGTGGGACATACAATCCGGGGATCACCCCGTCCCCGCGTTTGGCGTATAGATATCGCTGCAAACCACTGGTGAGATAGCTACTCCGCACACGTGAGCGGAGATCCCCCGGTCACCCACCAGAGCCAAAGTAGAATATTCTTGAATCATCCCAATCAAGAAGCTAAAGTAACTTTTAGTAAGCTCTATCCCCGAGTTTTCTCTGAGGCCGGCAGAAATGACCTGCAAATTCTCATTATTCAAGTTGGATCTTCTGCACTCTTGCAATATCGGGGCAGTGGACGGAAACGACTTTCGAGGTTGAAGCGAGTATCATTATCTTGCTCTCAAAATGTGTCAAAATATTTTCCAAAAAGGTAAAGCACTCATAAATATTGGGGGCAGACGTAAAAGATCCCAACCAAGAGGATCCAGGTATTCATCAAATCGACCTATCTAGAGAAAAGTCAATTTCATACCCATGAGCTGTGACTAGTGCGGAATTTTAGGCTTTATTATAATATCATGGTTTTAACGTATTGATAAATAAACGTTTTCTGAAGAGAGATATTCGAAGTGACCGATACTGCTAAGAGAAGTTCCAGAGCACTGCATCGGATATTCTCCGATTGTCGGGATTTTCCCGCATTCCAAGATTGAGGGCGGTGCAATTAACACTACTCGATGCCTTTTAACAGGCCACAGACTTAAATTTCTCCATGGCACGCATCGAGGCAAAAACTGCTTGAATAGACCGTGAAATGGATTCTAAGTATTCAAAATACCCTTCGTTTAGCGACCTGCCTCTACAGCAGAATGGTCCGCACGGCAATTCTTGGGGGCTGTGGGGTCCTAATGACCAGATCGGAACTTTGAATCATCTCAGTGAGGACGTTGTTGCAAAGGCCGCAAAGCAGGAAATCAAATCTGGGAAGCGAGTCTGTCTAAAGTACGTTGTTTCATACCATTCCTCATGTTGAATTATATCAGCGAAGCGCAGATCCATTGACACAAGGGCGCATCCAGTTGGACTTTGACTGGCTCTTCCTATCCAACATTAGGTCGCAAAACTCTTGAGATCAAGTTGAATAATAAAGCCCCGCTCAAGATCGCACATGACGACGAGGTATGTTTGAGTCTTTGAGATCGCTATCTTTCAGGAAACGGAATTTCTAACCATGCAATTTCCAGTGGACCTTCAACTCTCAATGCAGCTCCCAGTGGGATGGATTTAGACATTATGCTTATCAAGAGGAAGAAGTTAGTTGCAACAGCATCATGGGTCTCTCGATTTATTAATACTGACGTATGTTTCAAGCTCTATTACATGGGCCGGAAAGCTGCGGAGTTCGCAGAATCTCCAGTTCCCAATGGCATCCAACGTGAGACAATTTGCCATTCCTGCTATTCCGACAAGACGAGAAGCACATCCAGTACTTCTTATGCTATAAATAGTACTGACTCTATACAGATATTGCAGAGAAAGGCATTGCTGGACGCGGCATTCTGGTAGATTGGTACAAATGGTCCCAAGAGAATGGCCATACTGTCGATGCCATGACTGCTCACCCGGTATCATTCAATGAACTACTCAAGGTACTAGAAAGCCAAGGGATTTCTGAAAATGAAATTCTTCCTGGCGATGTAATCCTCATCCGCTTTGGCTATATTAGCCAGTATGAAGAAATGGGCGATGAAGAACGGGCTCGTCTGGACCAACTCTACCGGAAACAAAAACCGGAAAACATCGGGATTGAGCCCTCGAAGGAGCTATTGGCATTTCTATGGGATAACAAAATTTCTGCGGTTGCAGGAGATACGCGATCCTTTGAAGTTTGGCCCTGTTCGCAGACAGAATGGCATCTGCATGAGTGGTTGCTGGCTGGTTGGGGAATGCCAATTGGCGAATTGTTCGATCTGGAGAAGTTAAGCAAAGCTTGCGAAGAAGCCAACACGTATACCTTCTTCTTTACAAGCTCTCCCATGAATGTAAGTATTTTTATCCTGGTTCCTATATCCACCGATGAAAATAAGAAGCTGATACCTCTCATGCGATCCAGGCACCTGGGGCGGTTGCAAGCCCACCGAATGCATTTGCGTTCTTCTAAATGACATTTATCCGCAATACTTGTCATTTAAAGCTGTCTGCCTTCGAGATTGACTTCAATTGTTGTGTCACGTACAATTTTGTGTTCAAGTCTAAACGCGATAAGAAGCCCCGGGTACGCCGGGGTAGTATACATCTTTCATGAGAAAATCTCAGAAGTGAAGATGGCTGGTTGGATTGTAAATCTTTAGTTCTCCTTTCTTCTAAATATAATCTAATTATATCTGGCTTTTTCATGACATTCAACCCACACTGATGTGGTATAATGTAAATAAAATATCAATAAGAAAAAAAGAAAATCAATCCTCGGCTATCAGCTACACATCAATTGGCTACAGTGTGTATCTGTATAGAGGACTGTTTTCTCCCATAGCCACCAGCTGCTCCGGGCTATACTGCTCCCTAGCCTCATTTTCATCCATTCTGCTCTTGGACTTGTTCAATCGCCAAAGACTATATTCAAGGGTGGAGGCGGCAGCTATACCAATGCAAATAATACCAAGACAAACCCCGTACCCAATCGTGTAGTGTGGCGCTTGATCTTCCAGGAATACGTTCGTTCCAATAAAGCCTGAAATTATCAATATCTTTCCTCGCTCTTCTGTGTTAGAAAAGGAAACTCACTGGCAGTATTTGCTGCGGCTAGAAGCCACGCAATTCCGATTGAACGTTTCCATGATTGGGGCAGATTGTTGGTCGTCCAACTTGATATTCCAGGAAGTAAGGGGTATATGCCGATTTGTGCAAGAACAACGGCAAAGTACATAGGACCTTTGTACTCTTCAATATTGGCCGACAATATTAAAAGAATTATGAAGGCCACTAGCAGCAAGCCCATTGGCATGACAATGAATGGAAATCGCCAAGCAAAGCGATCGGCGAGGCGGCCAGAGAGCCAACTTGAGACAGCACCGCAAAAGTAAGGCGGGATGGTTAGTAGCTGAGCCTGTGATGCTTGGAAGCCTAGTTTGTTGATGATTGTGGGCATGGTATAAGAAAATGCCGCATTTGGAGCCGCATTTACCATGGCCATCAGTACGGCCAAAAGAATTTTCCAATCACTCATCGTTTTGAGAAGAAGAGACCAATAAAACTTGTCTCCTTCTCCTGTGGTGGAGCGATGACCAGCCTGTCGGAATCGTAGATCTATGAACAGCTTCTCCTCAGCGCTGAGCCATCCTACCTTTTCCGGGGAGCATGGGAGAATCAATGGCAGAAGCAAACCAAAGATTGTCGGGACGACTCCTTCCAGTATGAAGATCCATCTCCACCCAGCCACGCCACTAAGACCGTCCATGTTGGAAATTGCGTATGCGAGGAGACCGCTAAAGGCCCCAGAGATGGCAGAAGCAGTGTAGAGAAGGGCTAGACGTTGTTGAATTACATTGGGAGGGTACCATTGTGTGACCAGATAGACGGCACCGGGGAAGAATCCTGCCTGAGGTCGGTCTGTTAGCTCTGAATTGTCCAAATAGGGAATTCTGGATGGTAGATTACCTCGAAAACTCCCAACAGAACCCGACACACTGTTAAACTTGCAAATCCTTGAACTGCGCCCATGCAGGTCATGACAATACCCCAGGTAACGACCTGTGAGGTTAGCCAATAACTTGGGTCGGTTTTCTTCAGCATCACGTTGGACGGAATTTCTGAAAGTCAACAGTCAGCGGTAAATGTGAGATCGATAAACTCGAGTCAATAGAATCATACCAAATATAATGTATGGGACAAAGAAAAGAGTACTCGCAATATTGTATTGATGTCCTACCAACCCCAAGTCCGTATTCATCCCCTCAATCTTCGCATTGCCTAAATTGTTTCGATCGACATGGGAGCACAGGTAAAGAAATGCCAAGACAGGGAGCAGATGAGCGTCAATCTAGCGATGTGATGAATAGAAAGCTTTGAAGTATATTGAGAAGAAGATGAAATACCTTTCGAATCACTTTCTTCCCTTTAGAGCCGTCATATTCGCGAAGAATCGCAGCCTCTTCTTCCGAAAATCGTGTGTAGGCGAGAGACTCGAGGTGCTTGGCATCGAAGTCCTCTTTTGAGTCTTCGGCTCTTTCTTGTGTCATTTTCTGATTTCGGCCGACTTGAATGACGAAATACTCGCGATTTGAAGCGTCAAAGTCCACGGGTCTAGTTAACGGCTCTTGTGAAAGGAGGTCGAATTGGTATAGAAAGTGGAAATATGTTTGCTCGAAGCTAGGGTCATACGATCGAAGCCCCTTTATCTTGGGAAATTCGATAGCTCCTTAACATCTGGGGTAGGGCTGGATCCATAGGTACCCCACGGGGTCAGTCCGACAAGGGAAATTTCCGAAACAAATCTGAAAAGCATTTCCTTCCACCAGAATGCGTCGGGAAAATACCGATGGATTTCCGTCATTGTCAACAGCGGTGTAGCCTATAAGGGCACCTATTTATCTCGGCTACATCACTCTAAAGACCAGAGTCGCCTGACAGCGAGATGGAATAATGATGAAAACTTACTGAGAGACCAGCCGGGACCCCAAACTAGCCGATTCTGCTGTTTTGGAATTTCAGTTTACCTGCGAGGAATGGGAGAGATACTTCTCGGAGGCTGATCAAAAGCAAGATGATTCGAGAAGTTAGGATGTTTCCGTGCCAAAATGCTCCCGTTTTTGTATTTAATTTTTAGCCTTATTCCTGGTCTACTATTCCGAAAGTGTCATGCTCTTATTCTTGTTGCCCCTAAAGAACGACGCCCAAATCTGAACTTAAATGCATTCAAACTCCAAAACGATGATTTGCCGGCCCGGCCTCCTCATTTCCTCCTTCCTCTTGTAGAGTCCACAGGGTAGCACTAGGTCTCCTCCATGCACGTGGTTGTTCGGAATGACACCGTCGATGTCGTCGCTCTGCGCCAAATCTTGTATCTTCACTCGCAGATAACACCGTTGGACGTCTATTTGTCATTGCGATCGGCCGCGCAGAGCTTCTCGCAGGCATCCAACCCGATATCATGAATTGATCGCGAGTACTTATGGTTGGCATAACAAATAGCGATCTAGTCTTATCGAGCGGGGGACGCCGAATTAGACGACGTAGGACACTGCGATGAACATGCTTCCGGGCTTCGATCGCAGATTCAGATGCTTCCAAGTCCTCATTTCTGTCCCTGAGTAAAGGTCGAGACCAAATCCGGTGCGTCCGGGGTATGTGTGATGGTACGATACCTGCCATCTCGGCGTCGTCGTTGGCAAACTCCTCCGTGATGAGAGGAACCACTGTTGCTTGCTGAAAAGACCATGGTGTATGGCCAGGGGCTCCAGTTCCAGGTTTGGAAACACGTAATTCGATCCTGCGTGGCTCTCGCATGCATATTTCAGAGCCGCAATGGGGCCAGGAGTGGTGTCTTCTGTGATTGCGAAGGTACGGCATCTTTGTCGCTGACATAGGGCGATCAAGTTGAATTAGAATTTCGCGATTTTGAGGCTCTTTACCCCGTCTTCATCATGCGTGTCGTGGATGGATTTGCTGGGCTAAGATGCGCAGATCTGAACAAAATTTCTCAGCTTACATCCGGCTGGCAGGTAGCAGCATTATAAATGAACGACAAAAACCCCCCTACGCCTCTTGGACTCGCACATGCTAGGTCAGGGTGCTGCGCCCAGGCCCGGGTGACTTCAATATCATTCGCTGTTTGAAATGACCCTAGGTTTGGGGCAACGTGGGGTAACAAAAATGCAAAATTACTACTAATAGGTACCACTGGCAGAGCTTCAAGTTCCGAGTCAACTAGAAGTTGGGGGGCGGTTAGACAATGGGCTCTTTAATTAATATATATCCCCGCTCAATGATTCTCCAAAAATAACAACAGAACTTGAAACTACCAATGCCACCAATAACGGTATAAACCTTGGAATAGTAAGTAAAACTCCGATTTCCAATGAAAAATCTTGTAGGCACTAACGGGTGCGGGATTCCAGTTTCAAATGATGACCGTTGGCGATGACGAGGTCAAGCGGGCTCGGCTGAGCGCCCGGGTCATCACCGCGGGCAGGTCGCATGACTAGGGACTCGAGCAAGACAAGACTTGGAATTTCCGTACATTAATGGACAAGACCGGAAATAGATAGACTTCCCTTAATTTCCTACTGACCGGAAATAGCTTGTAGGTGGCCATCTTCAATTTTAGCAGATGATGGGTAGCTTTGATTCCTTTGGTAGTCATCTAACTCATTTTAAGCACATCATAATGTTTCAGTGTAAGTCATATGACTGAATCAGGTTTCTTCAGATCGAGTTGAATGTCCAGTAGTCTGTCGTACTTGGTGCTTTGACAGACGAATTTTAATTATAGCGTTAAGATATAGGCTGATGTGGTGGTTAACAGGAGGATGTTGTAAATGTTAGGGTATGGGGCGCTGCTTCAAGCCGTTCATGATGCATAAATGTACGAATTCGGTATCAACCACCCCCAAGTGGTCGAGCAGTAACTCGACTATTTCATCTTCCTTGGTCTAGTGGTCATGATTTCCGCTTGTCATTAAAACCGATAAGCGCGGGAGACCGGGGTTCGATTCCCCGAGGGAGAGTTTCTTTTTGTCATTTCGTTTTTGACCTTTGAAAGGTTCTTCAAGAACCGAAAATGAAAATAGTTTTTTTATATTTTTTTTTTCGTTTTATTTTTTCCCTTCTTCCCAACCACAAAGCTAGAGAGCATGCTTGATTCATGGCACTGGCACTATGTATGAAGTTGCCGAAATGTAGATGGTATATTACAGCAGGCATTCAACGCAGCGATGCGATCTCATTAAACAACTCTCTCAATATCTTCAACATGCTCTGTCGCAAGTTTTACATCAATGGCCTTTGTGGTTGCAACGCGTAGTGCTTCCGCCTCCATTGCCTCTAATGGGCGCTTGGACTGCTTGGCTACCTTGTCACGTATCGGAATAATCGTGGGGTGATGGGAATCTCGATCAAAGTAGACATCGAGATCTTCCAGGGTCCGGTACGCAGTTTCTGGGTAAAGAAAGTAAACCACAAATATGAATGCGAGATTAAATACCGCAAATACTAGAGACCAGTCAGTTTTCCATAATCTTCCTGATGCAATTCGACGACATACTGATATAAAATCGATAACCGATATTCTCGATTCCGGTCGGAGTGAATTGGGTGCATATGAACCCAGCCAACTAAAAAGACTTGAGATATAGAAACATGGACATTAGAAAGGAGAAGGACCCTTACCCAATTCGTTGCAGTTGCAGACGCAGCACCAACAGTTCTCATGGCCAGAGAGTTGATCTCTGCCTGGTAAACCCACGGGACCATACCCCAAGTGCAACCGAATGCTGCGTAATAGAAGAACAAAAACGAGACAGCAACGATTCCCCACTGAAATAAGACTTAGCTTAGAATAAAACAAAATGCACTAATTCTCACTTACCTGGAATGGTGCTTGATCAAGGAGAGCAATGGAGATTGCAACCATCACATATGCTAAACATTGAAGGGACAGTCCGCTCAACATGAGGACACGGCGCCCGCATCTTTCAATCAGCCAGAAGCATAGGCCGGACGAGATCATATAAGATGTAGCATTGCAGCCAGTGAGGATTCGAGCCATCATTTCATTCATGCCGACATTTTTCATAAGAATGATGGTAAAGTAATAATTGAGAGCGTTTATACCACCGAATTGCTATGAATTGTTGAGCAACAAGTTTTCAATAATCAAGGCGAGGACCTGATACCTGCATAAACTGGCCACCACACCCGAGAAGAAGCCGCTTCAAGTGGCTAGATCGATCGCGCCGAGCCAAAACGTGAGTAAAAGAGATTTTTGATTCGCGCTCTATGAGAATTGCACCAGTGATAGAGTGATATTCACTTTGCACAATGGGATCATCAATAGTCAGTCCTTTCCCCAGATAGCGTCGTATAGCTTCCAAGCCCTCTTGACTTCTGTTCTGCATTAAGAGCCACCGTGGGCTGTCAGGAACTAGCGGGAGTAGTGCCACTAGAGCCGAGCATGGCACAAGCTAGACCAGTACGCATGGAATATTAGCGGTCTTGCATGTGAAAACTAGAAAAGGCAATTCAAAGTACCTGCAGTGCTAGAGGAAGTCGCCACTGATACCCTCCTTGGAGAAAGGAGCAACCTAATGTTATCCATGTCGCGGCACAGTAAAAAACGACGTTGTGAAGAACAACTATCACGGATAGCTTGCCACGACGATCGCTGCGACAGGACTCGGCCTGAAACACGCCACATGTCGAGCTAGTCACTCCTGGAAAAAGAAAACAGTCAAAAACTTGACGAGACTTTAGGAGCTACTAGATTGAACAAACCGTTTCCTACACCGTTTATAACTCGACCAACAATAAGTTGAGGGAAGGAATAGGCAGAGAATTGCAGCACAGCGCCAAGGGCGCTGATCATGGCACCAAATCTTAGCGTATTCTTTCTGCCCAGGCGATCACCATAGCATGCTGCAAGTAAGCAGCCCACTAGATTTCCAAGCTTCAAGATGATAAGAATCAGTGCATACTTTTGTGGTGTTGTGGTCATACCGAGAAGCAGCTCGCTGTGATTCCTTGGACAGATGAGACCTTGGTCTGAGGGAAAACATTGAGAAAATCGGGACTGATAAGAAGACCCGCGACAACACCCTGTCTCATAGCATTAGCGAGATCATTGAGATGGGAAACGTGGCTTTAAGAGGGAGCACAGGAACACCGACCTGATCCCACCCATACCACGATTGAGCAGCTGAGTTGGCGCCGGTTAATGCTATCTCAAGACTATACCCGTCTAACATCATGTTTAAAAACTTGAACCGACCAGAAGCGAGGTCGACAGAATATGTCAGAATTGAAACTTGGGAAATGGGGGAATTCTCACCATTTAAAGCTCCTCGCTGGGATCGCCGAGCATTCCTTTAACCAGCCACAAAAGGGGATAGGGGTTGTATAGTCAACCCCGGATTTTCCCCGCATAATCTAGCCACACCCTAATCCATCAAAGACGAGTGACCGATTGGACCGCAATCTACACTGCCGGGCCGTCTCCACAGGAGGAGCAATTTCTTACCCGCGCCGGAGCAGACATGGCCCGCGAGTTAAAGAGCTAAGATAAATTCCACACCAGTAGAAGATGATTTATTTTTTGGGTGAGAAGACTCGACGCACCTTAAATTTCAAGTTGGGAGGGCCTTCAGTATAATGAGATACAAGGGTGTCAACACTTGTTTATCTAATAGGTCAGGAATTCTCTCGAGATGGATGTTTGAAAACGTTTAGACGAGGTGTGATTTGGAAATATGCCTTAAATCCTTAACCTTGGCGGCACTTTCTAATATAATATGAAAGAAAATTCCTAGTTTTCATATCACGGAGTTCTGCTATCTTCATACTGCTAATCCCGGTGAAACATGGAGCCCGCTATCGCACCAGTCCCGCAAATCGTCCTTGATATTCAATGTAGAATATCGCAAATCAAAGAATCGCGAGGGGAGTGATGATTCTGAGATTAAAGATCTATGCTCTGAGATTGCCGTACGAATAACGCTTTCGTATCTTAGAGCCAATGGCCATCTCTTGCCTGAACAAAGTAGAGCATATGCCATGGATCTCACGCCGCTCGGAACATCGGCGTTAACTGTTTTCGCATAGACTTATGAGAAATTAGATGGTGTAAAAGAAATAGATGATTTAGGATTGAAATACCGATATAGTACCGTGCGACAGTGAACAAGCAGAACACCAAATGTGGATTACTGACACTGAGCTCTTCGTCAGTCATCTGGCGAACCTTGAAAACCATGTTGTCACAGGCATAAATGCAGCGATTGGTTGCATATTGCCACTAGAGATGTTAGAGGATTGAATAAAACTATTGACAAGAAGCTCTCACTGGTTCTGAGGACCGGTCAATTTCTTTAGGAATTGTAGACATTCTCTGAAAGAGAAGAATAACGGCCCTTCAGAAGTTAGCGAAAATAATGCGAAAAAAACCAGGCTGAACATACACATCAAGAACACAATTTGTTAGGACGATATTCGGATCCATTTCGGCACGCTCCTCTTCCGCATATTCCGCGTTGATCAGTCTATAAACCGCCGCAACAAATTCTTCACGCCAAACTGTGAGGCGTTCATCAATTTTCTGAGCTTCGGTCTGCCACTGGATGCGGTCGTGAGTGTTGCTGAGGTTCCATGTTTTCTGAAGGAAGTGATGAATAAACCACAGCTCATTTGTGCCAAATATTATACACAGCGAGAAGGCCGAAGAGTACCGGAATTGACCGAATGACCACACGTTAATTATATGTTCGGGAAAGGCCCACAAGGAATCGCTGCATGGTAGAATTCCATTTGGTATGGGCGGTGACGAGCCTGTATCCCAGTCCACACCGACAGTTGACATACTGTCTAGCATTTCGGACATCCAATATGCCCGGATCCGCTCCTCCCGATCAATGATTGTAGTCGAGAGTGGATGAAGGCGAGGAGGCACAGACGCAGAAGAGCTGAGTTGTTCCACTTGCTTTTTGACCAAAGTTCCACAGCCAAGTTGAGACGAAATGCTGATTTATTTTAGTAAGTACTATGCTAATAGGGTTGATCGACTAACCGTTTACATAGAGCAATCAAATTCCAGAATTGCTCAAATCGACCCTCTCCGTAATCAAGATTAGAGAGAATTAGTAAAGCCTGCAGACACTGAAGGGAAACCTGCTTCAAGGCTTGGCAACAGATAGCATCGCACAGGCTATTTGACCACTGCTTTCGCTCATCTATGCTAACCAGTGGTGACTCATAGTGTACTAGTGTTACCGCACAGATGGCTTTAATAACTAGATACTGATTTGAAGACTCTAAGGATTCTAAATGTTGCAATGAGGTGGTTAATGACGGCTGATGCAGAATCGGAAACCATGGATGGTATTTTTTGAACCAGATAGAGCAAAGCTCAGACAAGACGGGATATGATAGTGGATCAAATTGAATCGAGCGTCTAGAAAGGGTGTCGTTCTCTGAATTCGTATTTGGGGATGCAAGAAGCGGCCTGTTGGGTGGATGGGAGACTGAAAGCTCTTCATCTGGCGAGTAGACACCCCCGGCTAGTGTGACATCAGGCTCACTGGCAATAGGGGTAGTCATTTCTTGACCATTCGCCGAACTCTCTAAAGTTAGTTAGCTTCCATGTTGATATTCTGTATTGGGGTTGGCATGATTTTACCCTGAGAGGTACTATTTCCCTCAAGCATGTGTACTCGCTGCTCCAGTTCCACTGATACAGAGTTAGCAAATCGCATACCAAGACAAAATATCACGAAAAAGGGCATACCTAAACGTCGGTCTAATTTGGAAATATACCCTGCACGAACACCGGGCCGTCGTCCCGCCGCATACTGACATTCAAACTGATTCCTGGAGCAAAAGCCACAGTTTGGCTTTTGCCGATCGCAAGCGACCTTGCGGCTTCGGCAAGTAGTGCAACTAGATATCCATTAGCCTAGGATTACGATTCAAAAAACGGAGTCGACTGACGCGGCATTCAGTTTGGCCGACATGTTGACATGAGGGGGTTGGGAGTTCAATCTGGCCCCAAAGGCTGTGCGCGTTCAAGCTCGTGCGACGGGGTAATGCGGAGAGAATGCCGACCCTGCGAAGAGATGACGAGGACAACAATGTCAACAATCCTCGGGCTATCTCCCCTGTTTCGTGTCCCCAGAGGTCATGGGGATCCTTGGTTACCGTTGGGTATAGCTTGGAATTTGAGAAAAGACCGAGGATATTCCTAGACTTCGACCGAGTGCCCCCACTCTCTCCATATTTTGGCGTTGATCTGGGGATTTCCCCACATGCGCCCGTCTTTGTCTGAAAGCCGGCTTAGAGATGGCCCGCTTTACTTGAGCTGATTGGTGTCTCGATATTCTCTCCTCGATCAACACGGAGAAGCATTGCAGTCAACGCGCGACACGGAGCTCTCCTCTCCATCATGCGTGAAGGTGGGAAGGGGAGGGGCAGATGATGAAATGAATTCTCCAGCTTGTCGACATCTATTTAAACGCGACATGAAACGGGAGCAAGTCGGTCTTTCTCAAAATCTACAAGATCCATTTGAATCGACTGAAGACCGATTCCAAGATTTCATTTCTCTTCTACAGACTTTTTTCGCGACTTCCACGGCCCATCCAGCAACATGACAGCTGCACGGTACGACCACATTATTGATCTCCCCACGACAGCGCCTGTCGATTCTGTTGTGGATCCGCATCAGATAGCAGAGAAATGGCTCGGCAAACTCGAATCAATTTTTGAAGATGGAGATTTCTCACAGATCAAGGACATCTTCAACAAAGATTCGTGGTGGCGGGACATCATTTCGCTCCAGTGGGACTTTCGCACTATTCATGGAAATGAAAGGATTGAACAATTCCTAAGACAAAATCAGAGCCTTGGACCGATCACCTCCTTTAAACTCGAAGAGACCGGTCACTTCAAACCAAAGCTTGAGGTTGTTAAAAAGGACACCGGCTTTGCGTGGATCTCTTCTCTTTTCCATTTCGAGACACGCATTGGCCGAGGATCGGGGGTTTTACGATTGACCCAGGAAAAGCCCGGAGAATGGAAAGCATTTTCCGTCTATACATCCCTCCAAGAACTTAAGGGGTTTGAAGAGCCACTAGGAACAAAGCGCGCCTATGGAACGCTCGATTCCATGCCTGGTGGTATAGAAAAGGGAACTTGGCTTGAGCGCCGACAACGTCAACTTGACTTTCTGGATGATGAGCCTCAGGTGTTAGTGATAGGAGCCGGTAAGTTGCAAGCCAAATATTTCCGACCATGAAAGCTAACCCACAAAAGGCCAGTCTGGTCTCAACATAGGAGCTAGATTACAATCACTTGGCGTCTCGACTCTCATCGTCGAGAGAAACGATAGAGTCGGGGATAATTGGAGGCATCGTTATCGGGTAAGATAATTTCTCATTGTTATTTTCCAGTAAAAAAACATTTCTAATACAGATTTAGACTCTTGTCACGCACGATCCCGCCGAATTTACTCATACGGCCTACCTCCCTTTCCCAAAAAACTGGCCACAGTTTACCCCGAAGGACAAGCTTGCAGATTGGTTCGAGAATTATGCATCGATAATGGAGCTCAATATTTGGACAAAGACCAAGGTGACCAATACAAGCTATGAGGACGTGAGGGGCGAATGGACCGTGGATATCGTCCGTGATGGGAAGCCACGGACCGTGCGGCCTCATCATGTTGTATTCTGCACAGGCCATGCAGGCGAGCCCTTGATCCCTTCTTTCCCAGGCCAGACCGGGTTTAAGGGGACAGTTTACCATGGGAGCCAGCACGAAGATGCATCGAAGTACGATGTCCAGGGTAAAAAGGTAGTGGTTGTTGGAACTGGAAACAGTGGTCATGATATTTCTGAGAACTTCTGCCAGAATGGAGCAGAGGTGACAATGCTGCAGCGAAGTGGTACATATGTATTAACCCTAGACAAGGGCGTTTTTATTCTCCATGAAGGAATGCACTGTGAGAATGGGTGAGTTTCCAAAGCAGCATTTATTAGTACTTAATCGGCTCTAATAAGAAGGCAGACCACCCACCGAACAGAGCGATATAGTAGGCGAAAGTCTACCCTTCCCTGTTCAGTTTGCTCTCAATATAGATATGACACAGCGCATTGCAGACGAAGAAAGAGAGACCATCGAAGGCCTTCAGCGTGCGGGTTTCAAACTTGAATGGGGAATTGACGGCTCAGGAATTGCGAGACTCTACTACACACGCGGAGGTGGATATTATGTTGATGTTGGTTGCAGCAAGCTGATTATTGATGGGAAAATAAAGGTTCATCAGAGCCCCGAGGGTATCTCCGGATTCACACCTGATGCTGTTGTGCTTAAGGACGGAACACATCTCAACGCAGATGTTGTGGTACTTGCTACAGGATATGACAATATGAAAACAACAGTGCAAAAAGTGATGGGAAACAAGGTCGCAGATCGATGCAACGATGTCTGGGACCTGGATGAGGAAGGGGAGCTGAATGCAGTGAGTACTATTGAGCTTGCTTTCACTTCCACTTTATGGCTAACATCGATAAAATTTAGATTTGGCGACCCAGCGGTCACCCAAACTTTTGGTTCATGGGTGGAAATCTCGCCTTGTGTCGCATTTATTCAAAGTACCTGGCATTGCAGATCAAAGCAGCGGAGGAAGGGCTAATGCCATCGTCCATCCCCAACTAAATGGTGGACCGTCTTTTATTTACTGAAGATTCTAGATTGCCCAATATAGTTCTCGTTCTTGATTGATTGTTTCAAATATTCTATGAAAGCTTGCAGATAATTTGACTTGGCGGAGTAGGCAAATGAATGGGAATTCATGGGTATTCTGCTAGGTGAATCGAAGCTACCCGGAGATCTCATCCAGCGCAAACCCTTTCATAACCATTTGATCCTAAATTTGATATTAGTGAAAGATCAAATTAGTGAGCCAGGAATTTTACGCACCCTTATGAGAGCCCCTTCTCCCTCTGCCAGAGAATTCTTAACCATTTCTGCCCTCTCGCCGAGCTAAACCTTACCAGTCGGACCACCTAGTATATGGTCAACCACTTGATTTGCATATTCTTCTCGAGGCGTTTGCGGCATTCCATCAGTGGCCTGAACGACGGTCTTTATCTTCTCTTCGGCGGACTTGTATCGAGAATTCGCTGGAAGTTTCCAATCTCCAAGATAGGTTTGGCCATTTGTCTGGATGGCCCCGATCACGACCATGAGGCCTTTGAATTTGAAAGGCATCAACTCAAGACGGAAAACATCGGCAATCTGCTCCTGGGCAATCTTTGAAGCGCCATAAGTACCTGATGGTATTTTCTTCAAGTCAACTATTATTGCAGTATGGAACATTTCGGTTTGACACGCCCATCGTTGGAATAGCTCCGTGGCCTGCAATTGAAGTAATACTCACCAGTGTGCCTTGTGCCTCTATAAAAAGGGGAGCAAATGCTTGAGTCACAGCAAGAGGCCCCCAAACATTTGTTTCAAAAATTGCTTCCGCGGCATCAATATCATCATCAAGGAGAGGCATGAAATGGTTGCGTGCCGCATTGTTAACGAGACGGAAAAGCTTGCCACTTGTTTGAGAGGAGACAGCTTCAACCGCATCTTGAATATGGCTCTTATTAGTTACATCAAGGGCGAGGAGAGTGACGTTTGGAAGATCTTTTAAAGAGGCCATCTTGTTGGGTTCCCGGTTTGTGGCAAAAACATGGTACCCTCTTTGCTGAAACACATGGGCAAGGCTCGAGCCTATTCCTCCATCACCGCAGCCAGTGATCAATATCGAGTCTTTCTCCATAATTCCAACTTTCTTTAGAATTGTTATATCAGAGCAAAGATAATCAAAGTGCGTGAAAAAAATGAACATTGTTTCGACTGGGCGCGGGTGGATACCTTTGAATGCATTTTGAAAACGCTTTAGAATCTTCCGTAGAGCAATATAATCGGCTTTTCAAAATGATAGCCCAGAAATAAATACCATTCTGGCTCTAGTGGATATATGACGTGGATTCTGAGGTGCCCAGGTAGATCACTGTTTAGGTCACTCATAGGTCACATCTTGGGGCCAGAAGCCAACATCTAATCTAGCTTCTATATTTGTACTAGTGCCATGCACATTAGCGAGGGGACCAATCCGAAAGACTCAATGCTTCGTTCCTTTTCGCTTCGGCATATTGATTTAGAACGGTCTTCCCTGCAAGGCTGCCAAAAGGTCTTCTCGGTCTGTTGTGCATGAGACCCAAATTGTTAGCATGGCCCCTGATCGAATCTGGAATCATATAATGCTTACCGTGAGGTGTTTGGAAAACCATTGAAACAGCCCCTTCTCGAGAACCGACATTCATAGTTTTGGGATTGCGTGTTATGATGTTCGCCATATCTAGAACAGTTCCTCGGTTGTAAGGCAGACGTGGGAAGCTGACTCGGGTACCTTCTTTGGACGACTCGGAAGAATCTGAGGGCAAGGACATGGTAAACCATTTGTCAGGAATATTGTCGTCCCAGCGGGCAGCAAGCTGGAATCGATTTCCCCGACGCCAAAGTTGGGCTTCCGCCCCTCCTTTGCCAGACTTTTTAGAGCCAAACAGCGATTTGCCCTTGGTGGAGAGTGATTGGACCCGGCGAGAGAAAACGAGCTCGTATAGAGGGGAAAGTGAATTGAGAAATGAGCGAGAGACGGGCTCAGTATCAAAATGGATTATCACCTTCCTGGATTTTTTCTCACAATGAGAGAACCCGACTGGTTCATCAGCACGATAAAGCTGGTCAACGTGTGTGGAGATATAATCTGTATGGGAGATGGCAGGGAAACGGATGCTGAGAGATGAATGCTCGTAGGCGTAGTCGGTATTGCGATAGATGTAGTAAACATCGAGATATCGCCATGATGAGTGGTTCTGAAATAAGACAACTGCTTTGTATTGTTTATGTTCGGTTCCAGTATCAATGACCTCGTAAATACGACCGGAACTACTAGGCTCAGACCACGAAAAGTCAGGCCGGAAGCTCAGATCCATAATTGCCTTTTCGAAATCTTCGGCGCCTTGTTGTGTACCAAAATGTAGACTGAACCCGAGGTTTGGAGCATTTTCGTCGTAGCTATATGAGTAAAGAGTGTTGTAATTTCCATCTGTTCTGTCCGATCGTTCCTGACAGGCATCGGACCATTTGAGGAGAAATTGGCGAGACATATCCTCGTGATTGATTTGAACCCCACCTAATGGCATGAAAAACTCCAAACATCGTGGCATTGTTTGTGCGACGGAGGGGGTGATTACTACTCTTCGAGTAGACCGCCAAGCTTCCCCAAAGGTCCTTTCCAGGATACGAAGCTCGCAAGACTTTATCGTGACTGGTGGATTGAGGGGTTTCATAGTTGGAGGTTTCAGCTGTTCAAGCATTTCAACAGATCCTTTGAAGATAACGCTTTCGGTAAAGTCCTTAGAATCAATTGGCTCTCTCAGCCAAACGGCATCGAAGTAGGCCTTTGGAATGTTGATAAACAGCCCCATATCTGACTCAAACTGGAAGGATATTGAAACGCTCGTGTTATCGAACTTGAATGGCAATGGCTCTGAAACTCTAGCGCCCGGGAATCCAGCCCTTATAGCATTTTCGAGTACAATCATCGGCGGTAGATCGTCAGGCACGACTGGTGTATAGATCAGAGATTAAATCCCAATATTTGGTGAAAAAGACTTACAGTTTCTTTGGAGGTAAAGAGATCCACTTTGGTTGCACAGAATGAATTTTGGCTCACTTTCACCCTCTCGGGCGGCTAGCAAGAGCATATAAGGCGCACCTTTAGAGCGCATTCGGAACTTTTTGCCTCCAATTCCTGCGTTGACAAATGTCCTAAAGAGGACTATCTCTTCCTCAGCACCAGCATCTTCTTTATCAACGGATATCCATCGCGCATTGTCAAGGCCAAATGAAAAATCAAAGCTGCTATCAGGAGTCTCTTCCGGCTGCAGAGACTCCCAAATAGCGCAATTTTGCGAAAGGATATTTTCGGTATCTGGTATGTCAAGGGAGGTATACTGGGAAAACTCGTAGTTAATACTCTGTCGATACGTCAGTATCCAGGAAGCCACCACGTTGGCATTAGAAAGAAAACCGATGTACCTCTGAAAGCTCAGCAATTGATTTGCGATTCTCATCGGTCAAGAGAGCAGGGGAGCTTTCTTCTTTCAGAACAACGTCGTAAAGAATATACGATGCTTTCAGCAGGTCAACATAAGCCTGGTGAGAGCTCGAAGCGGAGTCTGTCGACGGGCTCAAGCTGCCTCGTGCGCTAGTATACTTATTCCTGCTACCGTTGGCGAGAGTCGTACGAGCTTTCAATAGCCACCAGGTAGAAATGCGTAACCAGTCTCGCGTGATTAGTCGCCGGACTTGGAGCTCTTCGTTGACAGAAACTTCGAATAAATAGATAACTTCTGGCATTGGCGTGTGTGCCGGGTTCTGTGGCTCATACCGAATTGGTCGTGCAAGCTGCTCCTTCAGGCGGACCTGGCGCAATTGATGCATGGCGTTTGATACAGCCTCCAGAACCCGATGGTGAGGATTTTCCTGGGAGCCCTCACTGCTTATCTCCAAACTTTGCTTCTCCTGGCTTTCCGAGTTATCTTCCCAAGACACCTTTTCGTGAGTTCGACCGTCAATCGTTTCGTTGGAGGGCTGCTCGCCCCTGCTTTGAGAGAGGCTGATTCTACCCATCATACTCTGCGAAGGGGAACGGGTTGTGTTGAAAGAGGTGGGAGAAGTAGGTGCGGTCCCTCCATAGAACGACCCGTCAGATCCGGAAACTATAGACTCGGAGGAGATCGAAGTATTTCTCCGTTTGCCGTTGTCGTGCCTTGCTTGACGCAGGGGTGCAACGTGGAGGCGATCTGAGTGGTATTTATCATGCGCGCTTGCATCTTCAGGATCACCGGATACAATTTCTCTGATGCTCCGAGGGGAGCCGAGGGTGTCGGAGTCCCGCCTAAAAGATGACTCCATGACATGCATGGCGTGTTCATCATCTTCCATCGCTTGTGCTATTGTTTGCTCTAACTGAGCGAGAGATGCACTGATATTGGTTAGTGACGACAAAGAAATTTTCGGCGTGGTCGCGTTCCCTCTGAACTTACTATCCAATAGAGCTCATGCAAAGACTCAAATTACACGTATGGACAATGATTTTAGACCGAATATCTTCGATCTGAACCCTCTGGGTAGACCATTTGATCCTTTGCCAGAAAGTCTTGCCTTCGCCAACACCCAAGTCGCGATATCGTCCGAGAAGAGATTTGAGGCGTTGGAGGGTTTGGTAGCATGCGCTCAGACATCTTTCTAGTGCTTGTCTTCGGCTTGTATCCATCTCCTGAAAAAAGAATGCGTTTGAGCTCACATCCTCACTGAGCGCTCGCAGGCTTCCCTGCAGCGACCCCAAATCATTAATCAGGTTTCGAAATCCATCTGGTGCATCTTTAGACAAAGGGTGAAATTGATTGTAAAGTTCCCAGGTGACCCTGGCCAGGGCAGGGATGTCGAGAATACCACAATTCGATGGCATGCTGGAAGAAGGGTCCCAAAGAATACTCAGTCTCCAGGTCAAAGGAAATTCCGTGGAGTACGAGGGCTCTGTTTCATCCTTCAAACGTAGAGGCTTAACTTTGCGCCCGTGCCGCAGTTTGAAGCCACCTAAGTAAGCGGCAGTTAGCCTCGCGGGAGAGGCGCCAACGACGAAGCTGCAAGAGTGGAAAGCTGCTAGTTTTTGCTCGGGGGGTTGGACAGCGCCAACTCGTTCCAAAGAAAGGACAGTGTTGGGGACAGCTATCAAGAAATTGACAGAGAGAGAATGACGATGATGGCGGAGAGAAGGATTTGACCCCTGTCAGTTTATTGAAAGACCTTGCCATGCTGACATCTTGCAGGGAAACCTAGTCGGGCACGAGGCGCTTGGAGCCAAGCCGCGATTTGGGGGCTGCTTCGACCATTCGACGCCGATCTTTTCGTATATTTCGTCATCTCAAGATAAATGCCCGTTTATAATTCTCTGAAGGTATTTCTACCTGGGAGAGCTCCCCTATATGAACTCACTTCTCCGAAATTTGGTAGTATTAGCATTTGTTGACATACTTGAGTGGAGTAGTGGAAAATAGATAAACTCCCAAAAGCGAAGAGCTCATCCCAGATTTATAGAAACCGCATAGCAAATATTCTGAGTCCTGACCACAATTTGATTCACACCTGGACAATAGTTGCTTAGGTAGTCTGAGCAGAAAGGGTGCTGCGAACTTGAACTTGAAGGGTCTTATGTTGCTTGGACCCCGGATTTCCCCGGATTTGGAGGATGCGGGGACGAGGCTGCGATTCTTCGCAAAAATGACGGCGCCAAAGCGAAAAATTGGAAGTGATTCGAAAGGTCTTTTGTCATCTTGTCAATGGGATTCAAAGCTACTAGTATATAATCCATGGATAATAGATCGAGGCCCATCTGCTCCCTGCCCTGTCATTTCTTTATCTTTCCTCCACAATCGAAACAATTACAATATCGACAAGGCTTTTTAAACCTCTTTTTGCGGAATGTACCAAATGGCCTTTTCTGTTCAACAAGAGGCTCGCCATTTTTACTCCTTTTTCTCAACTTAGTTTCGTGGTTCAGTTCTTCAGCTACATGCCCCACAACGACACCTGAGGCAGCATAAGTGATCGCCGTGCCCCTGATTGAATCCAATCCACATCTCAATCGCATCGCGATTGGTTTTTTTCTCTCTTATTTTTTTACTCTTCGCCCTCTTCCACGACCCCCGCGCTCTCCGCGCCCTCATTAACCTCACCTCAGCACCCCTCACACCATCGCGACTCGCGAAAATCCACCCACCATGTCGACAAGCGACAGCTTCGCCCTCGACACGCCAACGATGCTCTGCATCGCATTCGCGCTCTCCTTCATGCCAATCGCCTACATACTCGGAACAAGCCTAATCCCATCCACCCAAACCCGCAACCGCATCCTCTTCTTCTGGCACGCCTACGACGCCCTCACACACATCTTCATCGAGGGCTCGTTCCTCTACGAATGTTTTTTCAGCTACACTACCATCGCCGGCATCCACAACACGCGCGAGCCCTTCTTCCTAAACCAACGCGACCGCATCTACGGTCCAGCCTACGGCACCGGACCTAGCAGCCGTCTATGGCAGGAATACGCCAAGGCTGACCGTCGCTGGGCGGGCGCAGACCTCACCGTCGTCTCGTTGGAATTGTTAACTGTCTTCCTTGGTGGTCCGGCTGCCATTTATGTCTGCTACCAGCTTTATCGGGCTTCTAGTGAGCGGGTCGGTGCGCAGGTGCGTGGGTCTGCGAAGGCGAAGCTTTGGTTTGTTGCGCTTGCTTTGGCCGTTGCGGAGCTTTATGGAGGCTTCATGACTTTTGCGCCGGAGTGGTTGACTGGTAGCTCGCAGTTGGCGACGGAGGATCCGGTTTACATGTGGTTTTACCTTGTCTTTTTCAATACTCTTTGGGTCTGGATTCCTCTTTGGGTGTTGTGGGAGGGTGGTAAGGAGCTTCGTTCGGCTTTTATTGTACAGGAGACTCAGTCTGAACAGCGGAAGGGTCAGTGAATAATCAACCTGTTGGATGGTAATGTCACAGTACGGGTCAGGATGTACAGTCGTGGGGAGTTAGATCCTCCCCCGGAGTTTGAATCAGTCATGAACCTTGGAAGCCTTTGTGATATGTTGAAGTCAATGATGACCCGAGTTGTACATATGACCTCTTTGTTAGAGTGAAATTACACACATCTCAATTTGAACTGCCTGACAACCATTCTAAGGTCCAAGCTAAGGAGCATTGTTTCCTTATATTTTGTAGTATTATTAGTCTTTTCCCTGATAGAGCATCTACTAATATCTTTAATTCAAGCAGACTAGTACTACTAGTAGTACTTTGTTCAATTCGCTTTTACCTCAAAGTGGTACTAGTATCAATAATAAAATTTTGCTCAAGTCCAGATAGAGTAGATACAAACAAAGGAAAATGCAATTATATACTATACAACCAGAAAAAATAATAATCAAATGAATCACAGGCTCAATCTGGTCTGGCCGAAACGTGGAATCATTGAAATCAGCTCGGACCTATCCACTCACCCTCCTTCATTCTTTCCCAGGATTGTAACCGCGGTCTTTATCCCAAAACCAATGATAGAAGCTCTTCCATTCGGCCGCCTCATCCTCAACATAGTCACCAACAAGCTCGGCCGTCTCATTAATCTCGTCGTGAAGTGGTGGAACCTTCAGACCGGAAGAAGCATCCACGCCATGCCCAGCACTGGCATCCTTTGCTGCCGACGCCGCGGCCGCGGCCGCAGCATTAGAGCTAACATCAACATTGACGTTACCGGAATGGATGGTGAGAGCCTCCTCTGCACCCTCCTTTGTCCTCTCGACGAGATCGCGAGCGCCCTCGCGCGCGACTTCGCTGAATTCCTCCGCTTGTTCTCGCGCGCGCTGAATCAGTTCGTCTGGGGATGGGTAGCGGCGGAATACCATAAGCAGGAAATAATAGACCTTCACAATAGATGCATAGACGGCATCTTTGGCTAGCATGGTGAAACCATGAGAGAAAAAGCCCTTCAAGACTTCACCAGGAAGACCAGCATAAAGGGCCGAAATACCTTCCGTCCGAGCGATCGTTCCAACAGTAGACACAATCTTCGGCGTAACCGTAGAAAGGATCGAGCTCGAACTCTTTACCCCCGCGGCACTTCGCGAGGAACTCAACGCCTGCGCCCTCGTTTTCGCAAGTGAGAATGGATACGTAATCGACGACGCGGCCGATTTACTCAACGCGGCAAGTAGGAAGGTCACCGCAGCAGAAGGACGCTCGCGCTTGGCACGCGACAGAAGAGCGTATTTGAGGACTTCGTTCAGGAAAAATGTTATAGATGGGTTGAGGGTCAGGATCAACGTGGCCGAATATCCGGACCAAAAGCCACGAATGCCCTTCTCGGCCCTAATCTGCGCCGCGATATCGCTCGTTGATAATTCTTCGCCATCCTCTTTACCCTTGCCCTTGCTCTTGCCCGCCTTGCGAGCTGCGATTTGCTTTCGTGTCACGATATTTGACAGCGGGGTGGTAAATAACTTCGCGAACGAGCCCGCCACCACGCCAACGGCAAGCTCGTCGAGGATCGGAAGAACGATATTCTTGCTCTTCGCCGCCTTGGCCGCGCCCACGCGGGCGACTATCCGCTTTTGTCGGACTGTGTTGTAGGCGAGGAAAAAAGAGGAATGAATCCAGGACCGTCTTGAAGGTATCCTGTGCCAGACCTGGGTAGAATCCCGCAATACCTTGCTCCAGATAGATCTTGTATGCTGCATCGACGATATCCTTGTATTCTTCTTCGTCATCATCGGAGGAGGAGCCCTCCTTTGATTTGTCTGTCTTTTGTTGCGTTTGTAGACGCGCGACGATCACGCTGAGAGGGTATACGATGACGCTGGAGATGGCTGAGCCTACGGCACCGGCAACGGCATTGCCTAGGACTGGTAAGGCGGGGCCTCGGAGGGCTGCGGTTTTCCAGTCATCTTGCGGCTCCTGAGTTTCCCAGCGGTAGGAGGGGTGGAAGGCATCCTGGCGGTGGGCACCATGGTTAGAGTATGCGGTCGGAATGTGGTATTGCAAGACGTACCAGTTGTGACTCGTAGGCGAGCTTGAATTCTGGCATTGTGAAGGTACAGAAGGGGACCCCCCCTTGTCGTTGTTGAGGAAGGATCCGGGTGTCAGATGTCAGATGTCAGATGTTTTGGTCGTCAAGGGTGGTCAGATCGATCGTTTGGCGAGCTATACAGATGCCAGGGTGGAGTTTTCATGCAATTTTCGATGCCTCGCAATGCAAATTAGATGGCAGCGAAAGAAAGACCACGAGCGACCGGTAGATATTGTGGGAAGGGGTGTCTGAACGTGATGGTCTCGCAGTACAAGGCCGAGGTTGCGGAGATCGATTACATCATGCCGATCATGTGGTCTGTGCAGGGTGGGTTGGTGGATGTACGAGTACATACATTTAAGAATACAAGTTACAAAACTCCGATCTGGCATTTATAATAACAGGGTATCAGGGTAGTATTTTCATAGGGGTAGTATGATAATTGTGTGATCTTTGTCACCAGGTGGTCCTACTGATGATAAGAAAGTACTGGATGATTCATGCTAAGGCCGATTTTCCGATCCTATTGATTTAATAACACTAAAATAAATCCCATAACCTCAGATAACCAAGAGACCATAACCACCAAAACCCCAGCCAGTCGTGATCCAGTAGTGCCAGACCCGACGAGGCGAATATTGATTTCAGGACATAGAAAAAGAAAAGCAAGTTCCATCACACCATATCGCATAAAAACCCAACGTTGACCGTTAAAAAACAGCCATCAGGATGGGCGGACAGAAGTCCAAAAGAGTAAAGCATTGCAAAGCAACCGCTTAACCACCGAAACCGTACAGGGTACGGCCCTGGCGCTTGAGGGCATAGACAACGTCGAGAGACGTGACGGTCTTGCGCTTAGCGTGCTCGGTGTAGGTGACAGCGTCACGGATGACGGACTCAAGGAAGGACTTGAGGACACCGCGGGTCTCTTCGTAGATCATGGCGGAGATACGCTTGACACCGCCACGGCGGGCGAGACGGCGGATAGCGGGCTTGGTGATACCCTGAATGTTATCGCGCAAAATCTTGCGGTGACGCTTGGCGCCGCCCTTGCCGAGGCCCTTTCCACCTTTGCCGCCTGTTGAATGTGGGTCAGCATGGGGTTACAAGTTGAGAGAAGGGTATGGTAGTGTAGACAGAGGCCGATGAGGTCGAGGTAATGGATGGAGTAGATGGGGGTGATTTAGTGAGTGGGCAGACGATATGGGCTAGCCTGGTTGGGAAAGGTGAGATGCATGGTTGCCTTGAACCTCAGGCACAAAGGCACTAAGAGAAGGAACCACGCATCACGTGTTCTCCAGGGGCATCACCACCACGACCTCACGACAACAACACAAAGGGAAGACGACGAAAAAAAGAAATAGGAAGACCACTCACGTCCAGTCATGATGCTAGGGTATGAAAATTGATGGATTTAGATGGAAAATAGATGGAAAATGGGTGGGAGTCGCGTGTTGATGGTAGCCGAAGTGACTAACAAACGCGTGGAAAATGGGTGTACAGAGGATGGAAGAGAGAGAGAAAAAAAAGGGAAGCCAGTCAAAGAGCGGGGGGAAAATGGGCAATACTTAAATATGGGTGCCGACTACGCGTGATTTCGGGAGGTGGGTGGATTATCTAAGCAAGGAAATTCGCATTCTGCAATGCGGCGGTGATTGGCAGGACAAAAGGCTGTTATAACAGGCAGGTTTCGAGTGCATTTTTCTAAGCATGGGGGTGCCCGCATTTCCTGCTGGGCCGTTTTGCTGGGCCAGACGGCTGCACGGTCATGTGGTGATAGCTGCCGCGATAAGGGTGGGGCTGGGCTGGATTCCATACCCGCAGGGGGGGGGGGCTTGGCGCGCCACTTTGGGGAATTTACGTACTGTATGCACATACAGAGAAGTATAGAACTCATTTCCATTCCCCATTTTTGTATCAAAGGAGAAAAATGCAATACTATAAATCCCTGGGGCTGGGAAATACCCCTACCCTAACTACACTACCGCTTAAGGTCTACTTGGTCTACTTCATCTACACGAGGACAAAACCATGGCTCAAATCACATTCATTCGTATCCCTCATGTCAAGACTACGTCGTTGTGAACAGACCGTAGACATTCTGAACTGCGGATCATATCTCATGCAAATCAATCGCAACCTCCCCATCTGATCGGATCAGAAGCGATGAAGCATCTCACGCAATGAAACAACATATGAGAGAAAAAAAAACACGAGGAAAAAACGGCAAAGAAACAAGAAAACCACCCCGTAACACCATGCAAAGAAATCAGAAACAGGCAAACGAACACAAATGCATCGGGAATGGAGGCGGGCGAGACTAAAAGGTGACTTTTGGAGAGAAAATGGAGATCTGCGAACAAAGCAGAGAAGAAGAGAAATTGGGGCCTCAAGGATGATCATGTCGCTTTGCAACACAATAAGAACAATAACGGAGGAGAGGAAAGGGGGGCGCGACACAAAAAAAAAAAGTTGACAAACAAGCGGAAATTTCGTGTGCTCATCATGCGTAATCAAAACAAACGCGGGTGTGTTCGACAATATTCAAACACCCCGCGGTCAACGTGGCTAATTCTGGAGCCACATTGGGCAGCACTCACGTCGATAATTTCTCCCGACGCAAATTCTGACGGCCCAATGCCGGGCAAGTGCTTAACGACCAAGTTCCCGCGGTTTATTATACATCGCAAGAACCGGGATCGTTTCACAATTCGCCGCAGCATTGAGCAACCACGATCGGACATCAAGTGTATCTCGGAGCGAAAAACCTCATCCATGCAAAGTGGGAAGAAAGTGTTCATCACTGGGCGCCGACTAGAGGAAGGTATGAACAATCGGCAACAAGGGGGGAATAAAACGAATCAACCGGTCGATCCATCTCCAGGTAAGAAATATCGAAGTCTCTTTAAAGAAACTGTTAACAACATGCAAAGGTGTGGGCGAGGAAGGATAGCAGCCGGACTCCGTGACGGTCAAGCGTTTTCAAATGTCACTCACCCTCGGATGACTGGCGATGATTGAGGGTCCTTCATGAATCCATTCTGCAGGGAGTTGTAGGGGAAGCGAAAGGACAAAGAGGAAGGGGATACCCGCGGCGAAGATCGTGGACTAACAGCTGGCGACGATGAGGACCCGGAACGAGATTCGCGAGGCGCCTCAACTGCGGCTGGCTCTAATGGCGCGGGGGAGCGAGGTGAAAGAGGAGGCGAGGGAGATCCAGTAGAAAAGTACTTGGAAGCTGCCTCGCCATTCACGTTGACCGAGAAGCTCTGGGGCTTGGGGGGCGAAGATTTGGGGGTGCCGTACTAAATGATCGGGTTAGTCGAGCCCCATGGTGGACAGGTGAACAAGCGACCTACAAAGCAGTACTTATCCACCAACTCTTTGTACACCGAGGACTCCAGGCATGGTTTGCTAGACACCAGTGAGGATGGTTTCGGGACATCCTTCTGAGCGTGATCGCTCACAGCAGGCTTCTGGCTAGAGCCAGTCTCCGGCTCCTCCACAGTGGAACTTCTCCGAGGAGCGTCCGAAGTTTGACCCCATCGGGCTCGCGCGGTTAGCGTGGTCCGATCGACTGGTGGCTTAGTCTTCATGGCGGCGGTCAAAGACGCTCCAAAGTCATAGCGGTTGCCGAAAGCTTGTTGGCTCGGCTTCTCGCGTCGTTTGGGGGAGGAACGGTGTCGATGTCGTTTGATGAAGCCCGGCTCAACGGGGGTGACTTGACAGAGTTGAAAGGGTTCGAGAAAGGAACCTTCTTACTGGACTCGTCAAACGACGACGAGGGCATGGAGTGGGGACGAGTGTGCAGGCCGGTGAAGGATCGACTGCGGGGCAGGGCCGGGCGTGCTCCACTGGATGTTCTGGTATTAGATGGGTGGGCCGAGGCCATCGGCTTCTGAGTCTTGAGGAAGTCGACTCGGTAGTTCATGCCACAGTTGTTATCCCAATATTCTTGACCAGCGACATTGTATCGCATACAGACATGCATGGTCTTGCTCTCTAGCTTGGCTTGGTCGTCAAGCTTGATATCAAACGTGAACCGGTCATATCCATCATTCCCATAGGTGTGATGAACATCGTGACAATATGTGGCACTCACTTCCGACACCGTTCTCCAAGAGTCAAAGGTAAACCGCGCAGCGACGTTCTTGTGGAAATCAAGATTGGCCACCGCGACCGATCCAATCAACGTCGTCTTATCTGCAGACAGAAACAATCGTTCGAGGCGGACGGGGTTGGTGGAACGTGATGACGGATTCTTCGGGAAGTTGGAAAGTTGAAGTTCCCACTCCCATGACGAAGCACCCTTATTCGATCTGTTACCAAAAGGAAACTCGTCCTCGCCGTCGTGGTCGTCAACAGGCGATGTCTCTGCACTCACGGCCAAAGGTCGGTCGAGCTGCAAGAAGTGACGGATGTGTTCTAGTTGAGAGTCGAAATGCACGGCCTTTGCAAATACGGGGGTACCTGGCATGCTGGAAGGACGTCGTCGAGCCGTTGCCGGTCGAAGTGCTGGACGAACCAGTTCGCCAGACTTCTTTCGGACCATGGGTGGCTTTGGTGACAAGTCTGCATCGCTGTCATCGGGAGAACTTGTCAGTGCTTCCTCCCTCTTATAATCAATGGCTGTTTCGGTGGAAGAGCGGGAATGGGCAATCTTGCGGGCCTCTTTGGATAATCGGATGAGATTCGGTTTTAATGGCTTGTTCTCTGTTCTCGTTGTTGGTTGGCTCGATGAGGATCGAGCCTCGGTGCCCAGCTGGTCCGCAGGTCCCATTCTCTTCGGTTCCCTTTCCGGTGAGCTCTCCCGTCGCTGTTCAATCGATCGTACCGCAGCCTCTAGCTCCTCGAGCTTGATATCTCCAACAGGTGAAGATTCCTCGTCCGAGTTCTGGGTTGATTCGGGGGGTGAGATCACCGCCCCGGGTGGAATGGCAGCATTGGTTAACGGTGGCGGGGATTGACGGAGACTGGCATGGGGGTCAATAACAGGAGAGAGACGGGAAGCTGGTTCC